GACTACCATATTCTCAAGATAAGGCGCCACCGAAAGGAAGGCTGGTCAGATCTCTTTATCCATAACATCTACAATCAACCAGATGCTGCCCTAGAAGGCAAGGATATCAATATCCAACGCCTAGGGCAGGAGATCTCTAAGCGTCCTCTCGCCGAGCATGTTATTGTGGGAGACTTTAACCTCCACCATGAGCTATGGGGCGGCTCCAATCTCAAGCAACCAGTTGAACAAGAAGCGAGACAGCTTGCTGACATGCTCAGTGACCTTTCACTAGAGTATATCGGCGAGCAAGGCAAGCCTACATGGCAGACAGCGGAAAGAGAAACCACTATCGACCTCACATTCATCTCTGATAGCCTCCTCAACCGCCTGGTGAGCTGTGCTATAGCCCACGACGTCGAGAGCCAGTCAGATCACCTTCCAATCCGCACTAGCCTCGATATAACGACTCCTCCTCCTGCTATTATAGCACGCCGGCGAAATTGGGAGGCAACCGATGATAAGAAGCTTATTGAGCATATCGAGCAGCATCTTCCTCAGCTACCATCCTCTTTCTCCTCCTCCTCCCTCCCTTCCAAGACAGCTATCGAAATTGCCTGCCGAACGTTGATTCGAGTAGTCAATGCAGCCGTGGAAGCATCAACGCCATGGGCAAAACCCTCTACCTTTTCGAATCCTGGTTTTGACGACGAATGCCGTGCTGCTATCAAGGAAACACGCAAGCTGCGTCGTCTCTATACATGCACGTATGATCCCCACCATTGGATGCTCTACACAAAGGCTAGGAACGCTAAGTCCCGCCTCATCAAGGCTAGACTTAGCCGTGCTCACCGCCGCCGTGTGCAGGAAGTTATCGAGCAAGGCCCTAGGGACCTGTGGCAGCTTTCTAAATGGGCAAGGAACCGCAAAGGGACTTATGAAAGAAGCATTACTCCCTCGTTGAAGAAGTCTAGTGGAAATGCTGAAGACCTAGCGGAAACAATAGGTGAGAAAGCAGAAGCCTTCCGCCAGGCCTTCTTCCCTACACCACCGCCTGCCGACCTATCCGACATTCAGGATTATATATATCCTGAACAGATCCCTCTTCCTGCTATCCAACAACATGAAGTATCTGAGGCCTTCCTCCGTGCCCCTGCTAGGCGTGCACCTGGTGATGACGGCCTTCCGAATGGCATATGGCATAAAATCATCAAAAACTGCCCTGATGCCGTTGAATATATCACTATGCTGTTCAACGTATGTGTCTCAACTGGCTATAACCCTACACACTTCCAACGTTCTATCACTGTCGTGTTACGCAAAGCAGGTGATAGGGACTACCAACTAGCTAAGTCATATCGCCCTGTGGCTCTTCTTAACACGCTAGCAAAAGCATTGGAATCTGTCATGGCTAGAAGGATTTCCTATCTTGTGGAGACACAAGATCTTCTCCCTGCCGGCCACCTTGGTGGTAGGAAGGGAATCTCTATTGATCATGCAATTCACTTGATTATCGACCGCATTCGAACAGCGTGGGGAAAGACTACCGAACAGGTAGTATCTATGCTGTTTCTAGATGTGTCTGGAGCCTACGACAATGTTGCACATCCAAGACTACTACATAACCTTCGCAAGAGGAGGCTTGGATGGTTTGTTCTATGGGTAGAAGCCTTCCTTTCAAATCGTTCCACAACTATTCGTATGCCAGAAGGCTCGTCTAGTAGCATTCCAACTCCGACAGGCATCCCCCAAGGCTCGCCAATATCTCCGATCTTGTACCTTATCTACAATGCTGATCTTATTGAATTATGCAACGATCTAAACGGCAAGACCTCCGGCCACGGCTGGGTTGACGACGTCGGTGCTATGGCTATAGGCCGGAGTGAAGCAGACACTATTCAAAAACTTCAACGCATTCACACACTCGCTATGCAGTGGGCTTCCCGCCATGCATCAGTCTTTGACATCAAGAAATATGCATTGATCCACTTTACACAACGCCCTGAATATACTCCATTACAACTAGGGAGTGTGGTTATCCAGCCAGCCTCCAAGCTTTCGGCGGAGCGCTATCTCGGCTTCTGGCTTGATGAGAAGCTGTCATTCAAACAGCATCGAGAAAAGATGCTTGCTAAAGCTTCCACTAGCTTACAGGCATTGAAATCGCTATCAGGGTCAACATGGGGAGCTTCTCTGCTTACTATGAGGAGACTTTACCAAGCAATCATCATCCCACAAGCTCTCATGGGCGTGTCAGCCTGGTTTGAACCACAACAGTGGTCGCTAGCAAAGCAGCAACTAGTGGCTCGGCCCTTCGCTGCACTACAACATCAAGCTGCTTGTGCTGTTAGTGGTGCTTTCCGCACTACTGCTGCTGCTGCGTTGAGTGTTGAGCTGAGTCTAATGCCGATGCCTATCCTTATGACAAGAACAGCAAACGAAGCAGCGCTTCCGGATCCGCACAGGCCCTGCCTATGCAGTGCCAAAATCAATGCTTATTCAAAGGCAGAAGACTCAGCGTGAACGTTCAGGGTGGTCACCAATGGAGGCTCAAGCCTGGAAGAAGGGCGGATGCTTGACGGCTCCCCCGGACACTTTGGCGAGGGCATGGGAGAACCGTGTTGCATTCGCCCGAGCACCTTGGCATATACCTCCAACGGTGATTATCTCTGAACGGGAGGATGCAAGAGAACAACATACAAAAATCCTAGATGAATGTGAGAAAGAGGGGGAAAGCTGCAAGGTTATCTACACAGATGGCAGCGGCTACGAAGGCCGGGTGGGTGCAGGAGCAGTGGTATGGGGCAAGGACCCGACATGCTACCGCTCGCAGATGGGAACAGAGGGGATCTCCACTGTCTATGCCGCAGAGCTGCGAGCCATTGACATAGCGCTGTCAGTCATTCATCAATCAACAAACCAAACATTACCAAAGAAGGTGGTGATCTTCTCCGACTCCCAAGCTGCACTGCAAGCCCTCCGCCGCCCGAGGATGCCATCAGGGCAGGCATACTTGATCTCAGCGATTCAACATCTCCAACTCCTCACCGGGGAAGCGGGGATTTCTGTTGAGTTCCGCTGGATCCCTGCGCATGAAGGTATCCCTGGCAATGAACTTGCTGATGCAACAGCTAAGGAAGCTGCCCTTTCCAACACCGATGCTTCAATCCCCGACAACCGATATCTTATCCTCGCATCCGCAATCAAACGGCGCATTCGACAACGAGCAAAACAGGCGTGGGAGGCAGCATGGTGGAAGGAAAAGGGCGCAAGGTCAACGAAGCGGCTGATATCGGAGGAAGCGGCAGGCAAGAAGGATGTTCTTGACTACTGGCAAGGCCTGCGGAAAGCGACATCGTCAGTGCTGATTCAATTAAGAACAGGCAAGATTGGGCTGTCAAGCTATCTGTCAAAAATCAACGCGCGAGACTCACCAAGATGCGGATGCGGTTTGGGCAACCAAACAGTGGCACATGTGCTGCTCGAATGCCCAGACCTGAAAGAGATACGCAAGGTCATGAGAGATAACCTAGCAAATGCGGGTATCTCCATGCAGCTCGGCACTGACGAACTGCTTCGCCAGCTTCCCGCGAGGCTACATCTAGCCCAGTTCATGATTTCATCTAGCCTGCTTGATCAATTCAAGCACTTGGATCCCGCCGCATTCGGGATGGAACCGGAAAGCGCAGCAGACCAAACATGAGCCTCTAGGCAGTGGTCCTGCAGGACCGATGGGGCACAAAAACAGGAGCAGGGTGCCAGGAATTCAGCTTGCTCTCTTGAAATGTCACCGATAAGCGGAAGCGGTGACGGCCGCGCATGAGAAGTGGTGGAAGTGGGAATGTGGGAGCAGGAGTGGGAGAGCAGCGTGAAATCGAGATCTGGTGATTCGGATCTGCCACTGGCAATGACAACTGGCAACCTGATGATTCAGAACTCGGTGACACGAGCTGCCAGGGAGTGTGGGAGCGAGGAAGGGAGTGGGATGTGCATGCGGACTGGTGCATGTGGGATGTGGGAGTTGTGATAGGAGTTGTGATGCGGGATGCGGATTCTGGGCGGTGAGATTCTGCCACCATATGACCTTATCATCAATCTGCAGATAAGGCCGGCGGTGTGGTTCTGCCATATCATCACTCTGCAAGATAAGGCCGGCACTCTCCGCCCCCGGCATGTATGGATGTTGATGTAGAATGTTGATGCTGGATGCTGTATGTTGGATTCGCCGAGGCCACTGGTGCGTGGCAGGTGCACTCGGCTCCGCCGGACTGTCGGCGGATCCCTTCTGTCGTTTTGTTTCTTTCCTTTGTCATTCGATTTCATCTGTTCGTTCCAGCGTTATGCTGGCCCTTGCCTCGATGGCACCTTCTCATGCGCACTAGGCTGGCACTAGAAGGCGCAAATCCCTGCATAGCACCTTGTAAATAGAGGAAGCTCCATCAGGAATAAGATTATTGATTGATTGATTGGATGTGATCTGGTGTATACGGATGTTCACATACGGGAGTTTCTGCCCGTGATTTCCGCCTTTTGTATGCTATATCTACCATAACCTTACTAGTTTCTGTCAAGGAAGACTGCATAATACGGGCGAGACCCACATATCTCCATGTGCGTCAGGATATTACAGGGATACTCGATTTGTTACGCGTTTTGTATGGTATCCCGGGTATACTAGGAACCCAGCGCCGTAACACGCTAGACAGCGAGGTAGGGGATATTCAACATTCCCCCGCCCACACACTTAGATAGTTCAGTCACCCAATAAATACATCACTATATTGAGCATCTCGTTCCATTGGATCCTAGCTTTCCTAGCCGATACCGTATCCTACTATATTGACAGTTTCTAATATCATGCAACTTCCACCTACCGTCCGGACCACATTTGATTGTCATTCCTTGTTTAAATTTCAACTATTCAGTACTTGAGGAATGCCGATGTCACATGTAAAAAATTTACTCAAAAAAGTGGGATGAGAAATCATGAAGAATAGCTCCCGAGATTTCTTTTCTTCAAATTACGGGCTGTCCTCTTGACGCCTCTTAATTTTCATCGAAAGACCAGGCAGGGGAGTCTGGGACCATCGAGCATACTGGATGAAAGGAACGTCTTCATCCATGGATCCTAGGTCGTAGTCATTTAGAAGTTTCCCGATAATAAGCTGGCATATCCGGACTGCAATCGACGATCCAGGACAAGTTGAAACCCCTATGCCAAAAGGTAGATAATTCTCGGAAGGTGTTGCTGCATTGCGTGTGTTATAGGTCTCCGAATCGGCATTGTAAAAGCGATAGCCGTCAAATGTGGTCGGGTCGGAATAGTGATCTGGATCCAAGTGAATACAAAAGGATGCTAAGGCCACATGGCTCCCGGCTTTCACAGTTGTACCCAAAGATGGAAAATGCATGTCCTTCAGCGCATATCGGGTTCCAGTCACTGTATTTGCGTTAGACTTGAATGTTGTTCGAAAGCAAATCATAGCAATATGGAAATACTTACAAAGAGGAGGAATTCGAAGGCGAAGAACCTCTTTGGTAAAACTCTCCAGTCTTGGGGTGTGATTGAAGATTTTGAGGCTCCATTCACCCTGGAATAACGCTAGAGCAGCTGTCAATTCGGTTCGTAAAGGACCTATATATTCCGGGTGTCGCATTATTTCGCATAACACAAACGTCGTGACGAAAAATACTGGAGGACCGGACTCCAGTAGCATGAACAAAGCCTCATCCACGATGAGGTTCGATAACTTTCTTTGATCCTTTTTACTCAGATCATTCTGCTTTTTGGTCGCTTGATTAATCATAAGATCCAATAGAAAATATGCCCCTTTTTTCACAGCGCCGTCTTTCTGGTTCTTGATACAATTCAATTGAAGTTCAATTTTCGGCACCAATATCTTCTTTGCTGCTGCCGTTGTCTCCCTGAAAGAACGACCTGCGGAGGAAAACCTCCATATTAGAGGTCCCAAGATTTGAGGATACTTCTGACGAACTTTCATATGATCCTCACTTGCATCCATATATGCTAATGCGTGCCGAAAAAGCTCCGAGTTTTCTCTCAAGTCAGGGGGATAGATAAAAGAGAACAGAAGCTCGTTGCATATATTATACATATTATTCGTCATATCAGCCACCTGCCATTCTAGTATCCAATCAGCTTCTAGGCAGTATACCATGTTGTACTTTACGCTTTGTACGAACCTTTACACCCCGACCGAGGGAAGAGTCTCAGTAAAATACTATTGAGCTGATTAACAGCAACCTTTCCTAGTTTTTCTGGACAATTACATTGGTCAGTGACTATCTTTTGGCTCTTTGGGTGGGGCTCTGCAGCTTACCCATTTGTGCACTCTGAGCACCCATGTGAATGGCGTCATAGGGGACTTTCCATGTTAAATCGACGATACCATTCATGAATTGTTCCTTGGAAAGTAGGCCGGCAATTAGAATAAAAAAGAAATTGCCTTGGGAATAGTGCCTCATGCTTACATTCATTACCGCCCTTAAGAAGCTGGCGTGGCGTTTGGAGAGCTTGTAATATTCGTTGCTGTATTTCAAAGGAAGAACGATAACAGTGTCTATATCCGGTGGTTCCGTAATTGCAAAGGGTTTGCCGTTTTTAGTGTACTGTCAGTTGAATATAATATCCCAGAAGCAAGGCCCGACTATAAGCTCTTACCTTGTTGTAAGCACACTGGATTTCTTTTGCCCAGTCAAAATCCGGCCTCTTCCACTGCAGGAACGGGCTAAACCATGTCCCATCATGGACAAGAGGGAACTGCCGTACAGCTCTTCTTTTTCGCCAGTGATGGAAAAAGTCTAAGAATACAATCAAACAAGAAAGGACAGAAATACTTGTTAGAGCATGCCTGCAATAACTCGTAAACCAAGAAAAAATAGTCTCAACCACTGTCATATTATTGATAGTAGAGAGGTGCAAGTCATATCAATGCTTTCCTAAATATAGACTCAAATCCGGGCCATTTTGCGATTAAATAGAGAAGCATGGACTGGTGTTGAAGAGATGATGATATCAGGCTGTTTGGGAGAAAGAAAAAGCAATATTTTTGATTGATATAAAGTTACTTGAAATAGAGATGATCGGCAAATCTGTCAGTACTCAATATTTGGCCGAGATTTTGTATTTTCACGGCTACATTCTAAATTAAAATAATGGAAACAGCATGGATTTTGCTTAATCAATTTGCGAACTTCTATTTAATAACGTAGTTCATTAGCGGGCTGGCTACACTAGTGGGCTAACTCCCTTACTAGTAAACTATGCTTTTTGTGTGTATAACAAATATGTTGATATTGTGCTACCATGTATGGGGACTAAATATTGCAAAATTGAAAATTACAACAAACCATTGTAATGGTACAACTCCAGCTAGATTTGCATACAAAGCCTATTAATACGAGAAGGTAGGAGGTGATCTACAAAATAGGATTATCCTGAGTGTCAACTATATCTCTCCGCAGTTTATACGATAGAACACGGACCGTGGACAATCAAAAGTAATTTTATACAATCCTGAATGAAAATCTCACATCATAGCAATAGTACATAAATTTCGCCTTTGATACAAAGAAACTCCCCGTAATCAAGTTGAGAGTAAGGCTATAGAAGATGTAATACACCGCTGATCCTCATATATTGCGTGTGAACCCCTATATCCATAGCATTTCATGATTGACCCGTGTGTTACCTCGCTTGCATGATATTTTTACTTGTAGAATTGTGATAATAGTGTCATCACATCTTTGCTTTTCACAGCTTATACGTAACCCTTGTCCACAATCTGGAAAAAGATGCTCCTTTTTGCCTCTCCTGAATTTTCTCGACTTCACATATAAGGAGAAACTCTCCTAGCCTATATGGCGTAGAAAAATTTCAAACTCGAAGAAGCTGCGCCGTATATTTTGCCTTGGATGCGGAATCAACGTTACACGATGTCACCTCTCACATTGACCGGTAATTTCTCCTCGCCCAAGACTGTTACAGTTTACGGAGCCACTGGCAATCAAGGCGGCTCCGTCGTCCGTTCGCTGGTTCAAAACAAGTCCTTTAATGTAATCGCCATTACGCGAAATACTTCCTCCAAAGCCGCAGAAGATCTGCGCTCGTTAGGAGTCAAGCTCGTCAGGGCCGATGGGTGGAAGAAAGAAGAGATTGCTAGGGCTTTTGCCGGCTCCTGGGCTGCATTTGTGAATACTAATTCCGACGACCCGGTAATTTATCACTGCTCAATTCGTAAATCAAACAAAACAATGTTTCTCATGTCATTTATCTTATTCATGATAGCTCTTTTCCGATCATCAGGGTCCTACCGAGTTCGATCTTGGGAAAGTAATCATTGACGGCATTGTCGAAGCCGGCACCGTGAAACATCTAGTCTACAGCTCATCAATCTCCACGTTTGCCTTCAGCGATGGGAAGGTTTACACCCAAGCAGCTGAAAGTATGTTCTGAAACTATTTCTCCACAAAACTGAAGATAATCTGTGCGATGAAAGCTGACTGTTTTGTTAGTGAAATCGAAGATCGAAAATTATGCTAGAGACATTGGGGGCTTTGAGACAGTATGTTCCGTATATCCAGGATTTTTTATGGAATTTTTCTCTAGCAGAGAGATGGCTGTGCTGAGTGGAGGGTTTCCTTTCTTCCCTGATGAAGATGGGGTTTTGACTTTAAGGCTTCCTCAATGGGGCTCTGAGTGCCACAGACCTATTCCTTGGATTGCCGTGAAAGAGGACTTTGGAGATATTGTTCACGGAATACTACTGGAGCCAAAGAAGTATAACAAGAAGCCAGTCCAGGCATTCAGCGATCCTAGGACATTCGCAGAGGCGACGATTGCTTTCCAATCCGGTAGGTCTTATAGAATTTCCTCTTACCCAAACCTAAATTTCGCATTTAAAACAAACGCCTTATCTTTTTACTCCAGTGTTTCCCAAAAAGAGGGCCAGATATATTCCGCAAAGGTCTTGGGAAGATTTCGGGGCTGGCATTCCTGGTACGGAAGAAATAAGGTCCTTATTCCAGTTTGGCCAGGTATGTGATGCGAAATACTTTGGGGAAGAGCCCATGCGGGTGGATGTTCCAGCGCATCTCAAAGCTCAGGCGTCAAAGGCGATGGGAAAGGGTTTTCAGAGCCAACAGCTACTTCAACTTGAGGATTGGTTTTCGAATAACCTTCAGCATGAAGTAAATTGATACTTTCCGCTCCCCTCAAGTAGCAAATCTTGGCTGACTCCCGTTTATGTACTTTTCTGTTTCTCCGTCATGCCTTTTCCTCGAGGTGGTCTTTTGGCAATCTATCCTGTCTTAGGTAATTTTCGGGCAGCTTTTCAATCTTGAATGGTCAGAATACCCATTTAAAACAGTCAAAAGAGTTTACGTAAAACCATTGTATTTCATAACTCAAATCTACAGGAAGCAGATGGGAGGAAAAATTTTATGATGACCTGACGAGCTTTCCAGGAAGGAAGGAGAAACACCTAGACAGCAGGTGGTGAGTCGGTGGAAATGTCACATAATGTTCGATCCACAGCATCAATAATTTGTGAGGCTATGCAGGCCGATAAATCCCCAAAGTATTATCGCGTCGTGCAGATCTAAGGTGGGAGAAAAACGCATCTACGCTTATAATAATCGAGATGCATTTTATAGGTAGAAAGTGAAATAAGTATCTCTCTCATTCTCTCATCGTTTCAAAGAGCAAGGCCTGGTGTAAGTTCTCCTCTTTTCTATTTCCATGCATTATCTCTAAAAACAGCTCAAAGGATATATCAGTCAATTAAGGAAAAAGTATATGAACCGGCTTTTTCATGAGCAGAATTTGTTAACTAACTGACTGAATACTTAATACTTGAAGCCTCCGAACTTTCAAGTTTTGCGATATCATGCGAAAGTATCCCTCGTGATATATATATATATATATATACATGAACCGAAACAATCACTTCTAGGTCAAGTGTCATGCTGGTGAGCAATGTCAAATCGCCACTCATTCTAGGTATGCATGGAAAACCTTAGCCACCATCTGCCATTTTCCGTTGACTTTGGCCAGAGATATGAAATCCGTATACTCATACTCCGGTTCCTCAATATCCATCTCGCATTTAACAACCGCAGTGCTAGGTGTCATTCCAATGATGCTTAGGTGGGCCACAAATTTAGGAGCCTCTTTCTGAGAATCCATGTAGTTGTAAATCAGGTTCACAGATCCCTCTTGGAATTTCCCCTCAATAAATCCATAAACGCTAGCAGTGTCACGGAACCCAGTTGAAGTGTATGCTGTGTCTCCAAGTCGCATTCCCTGCACGTAGATGTTGGCCACTTTCAGAACTTCATCATACTGACTTGCAGGGATTGGTTTGAGCCCTCGCGCCATTATAAATGCTATTCATGAGAGTGTTTTTAGAAAAGCGCTTCTTCCAATAGGTGTGCCTGGACGATATGAACAAATACCTCGGTTCCGTCCTATTTTCTATCTGAAAAAAGCGTGTGAAGTCTTGTGCTTGTGCTTCTGGCCGGATTTTCACTAATTCAAATATGTATCTGAAAGATAACAAGCTCAAAAAGGCATAGTTCTCAAATTTATAGTCCCGAGAGCTCTACCACTTGTTACCACCAGATGGTTTAAGTTTGCTTTCTTTTTCAATAGCTCAGCTGCGCCATGCACGATTGTGTAAGGTATTCAAAACCAATAAAAGCCATTTGTAGCACGACAGCCTGAAGAATGATTGGATGGATAATCTCCTTATTTGATCATGGAAATGTACACACAGACATCGCGAAATATTGAGAACATGTGGGTGTACAAGAGAGAAAAAGCCGTACGCATGTTTGACTTCAAGATACAGACTGCAGTCATAACATCGTAGAAAAAAAAATCACTTGCGGTGTTACGGAGAATAAAAATCACGAGTTAACTTTCAGCTACCGGCGGTAGTGAAACTTCCTAAACCTTTCTTAGACATTACTGTTGGGTCGCGGAACAAACCTTCACGGGCTCCATGTAAGATCTGGCACCACCACCTGGTCAGTATTCAGTACTAGCAGATCCCCAGCTTGCTTTTTCTATCTTTCCTTTCCAAATAGGTATATCAATTACACCAGTCTCTAGTTCCAAAAAGATAAGTCAGGTCCATGGGTTGGGCTTGAAAGTTGAGTCGCTGTGGACAAAGTTGTTTTGGCATGTACCATTTCACTTAGGGGCCGATAGCCCGCATTTTTACAGTATTCACTATCTTTATGGAGAGCTCATCCAATTAAGCGCTCTAAAATATCCATTACGATCAATGATAGTTCGCAAGTACCTTGTGACTATATGAATGTTTGATCGGGCGTCTTGGGGTTGGATGTAACCTCGAGATTCACTCTCATTGTTTGCTAGTGATGGACATCTTGCGTATACAGTCACATAGCAAAAGTTGCGATTGGAACATCCAGGGTCTCCTCTTCTCCTCTTCACTGACTTCCCCTAATAAATGTTACAGCCTACTCAAACTTCCTAGTGAAAATTAAGCTCAGAATCAGCAATGTGGTTTGTTGCAAAGTTGTGGGGAAAAGAATGATATGGAACATTTCTTCTAAAAGGATCAGGTGGCATTAGCTGATAACTAATTAGATTTATCAATATCATGAAGCTTTAGCGGAAGTTTGTGACCTGCGGATTATGAAATATTATGCTCACAGGCAAATCTTACAATGCAGGTGAGGTAGGGCTAGCGTCACGCAATTTAGGCTTTTTCTCCATTACAATAACTAGAGGGTGTAAGGCTGGTATTTCACAAAAAAAAAGTTTGCCCTGACACTGCATGCTATTTCTGCCAAGGAAACGGGAGAGGAAGTGTTAATTGCCTCTCCGCTCAATCAACGAACAAAACCTTTCATTAATATACCCGGTACGGGAATACAGCATAACTATATCTTCATAGTTCGGCCAACCTTCATATTAGATATATGTAATTTGTCACTCCTGTTACACTCGATCTGCACCAATTTATCATGAAAGACAACTTCTCATGCGCACTAGGCTGGACACTAGAAGGCGCAAATCCCTGCATAGAACATTGTATATAGAGGAAGCTCCATCAGGAATAAGATTATTGATTGATTGATATCATGAAAGACGCGATTGCGAGTATGGGATCAGCCGACAAACGGCGTTGTTATGGTCATGTGATGAGAAGTTCATTACTGGAAGGACAAGCAGGATGATCTGAGGAAGATGTCTCCGGGAGGAGACGCCATCTTTTCAGTAGGTGATGGATTGACTATATGAAAGCTAGCGCCTTAACATGAAAATATTAATCATAGGTATCATAGATAATAACTAATATACGAATCATAGTCCTTATACTTGCTAGATATCAATTCAAGATACTAGGTATTCAAAACTTCTGTTACTTTGAAATATACCCTCAACGAGCCCCGTCTGGTCTCTGTAGCCGTGGATGCTCCTATTAACTTAATGTCTTCTGGCTCCGTGTCATGAAGTTCCAAGTTAAATTGTCGCACAATATATGCAATTGTTTTATATATTTGCATCAAAGCGAGACTATTTCATTAGTTCAGGCTTAGAACATAGAACGAAGAAAACTTACTTCATGCCTAGACACATTCTACTTCCCCGCGTAAACGGGACCAGATGCCTCGTCAATGGAGTCTCCCGCTCATTAGCTGTGATCCATCGCTCTGGATCGAATTTGTCAGGATTGGGGAAAATGACGGGATCCCGATGGATGAAGTAAGAGCTTGAGCTCGTAGGCGTCTAGCTAATCAGTCCAAACACATGAGGGTCAAGTATGAATGAACTAAGCACAAGGTTTCAATTCAATACTTACCCCTGCAGGAATAGTATAATCTTTATACCGCAGCTCCTCGTTAGGGGCGATACGAGGCAAGCGAATAATCAATCCATAAGAAAGACGAAGAGCCTCATTTACAACGCCTGTCTGTTATACTGTATTAGCCTCCCGACCATTGTGCGATATTCATATCGTGAAGCAAACCAAGTAGGGTAATTTCTCCAGATCTGACCACGCAGCAGTGGCTTTAGGAGATGGGATAACCTGCTTCAACTCTTCCTGAAGTCGGTGCCACATATCTTGATTTTCTAGAAGATAATATATAGCTTTAGTCAACGTAGATCCAGTTGTCTCTGTCCCTGCGAGGAGTACTTCCAGAGCCTCATCTTGTATCCGGCGCAATGTTCGTTCCTCAATTGGCAAGCTAGGATCGGTCAATTTATCAAACATGGTGTCTCCTGCGCTTCCTTGACTTTGTTTGATCCCTTTTGATGACTCGGAGAATATTGCTTCCTGGTAACTGAACAGCGCAGCTATACCGGGCTGAAAGAAGCACCAGACGGTAGCAGGAATAAGAGGAAGCAGGTGCTGTAGCCATGGAAAGAAGCGGAAAAGGTGAACAATGGCGTTGGAATCATTAGCAGCTACACGTATCTCACTGCGAAAGCTTTTATCGTCCAGGAAGTTCCAACTTTTTCCGTAGCAGTAGTCAGTGATCACGTCAGACGTCAAGGCAACAAAGGCATCATCCGCCTGTATCACAGTATCTGCTATGTAATTTTCATGAAAACGATTTGCGAGTTTCTGAATTTTGGCGTCCACAGAATTAGACAGTTCTACTATGGAGCGCCGAGAGAAAAAGCTATTGAGAATATTTCGTCGTGCTCGGTGATGTTCGTGGCCTACAGTTGCCGCGATAGACTGGGGAAGGCCGAACATAGGGACAAAGTGAGGATCCTTTTCTCTCCTTCGGGTGCTCGATGCATATATCTCATCATAGAAAGTCGCATCAGTTATATGTACTTCCCGGGGATTGATGCGCACAATTGAGCCTGTTAAGCATGAGTGACAGTCACTGAATAAAATGCACATATAACCTTTACCATATCGCTGATGCATCTTCTCCATCTGCAGTATAAATTTGCCTCCAAGGATGACATCATAATAGAATTCATAAAGATGTGTAGCAGCAGCTAGCTTCGGTCCGGGAATGTGGCGAAGGGGATGGAAATACAGGCGATATATAACAGTCAGACTTGAATATATAACCCAAGCAGCGGTGATAAAACTGAAATAAAATGATAATGGCCACATAGTGACTAAGGCAGCTGAAGATTTTTCTCTTTGTTTATTATCAAGGGGAATTTGGAGAGATATGCCCTTCGAACTGGTGAGACTAATAACTAGATCTTCCCTCGCGTCTTTTCGAGGCAATGTTTAGTTCATTCGTGAGCATACATTCTTTGCGATAGCTCAGGATAATTAACTACACAAGCGAATGAGCGGACTTGTGCTGAGTAATACAGGTTACCCAAAAGTTTAAGTACATTCAATATCTCTTAGTTTGTCTCAGCCTCATCGTTTGACGAGCCGTCATGTCTTACAGAAGCGTTGACTACAAAACACAGCATATCGTTAAATGCTTTTTCGTATTGATTTATTGTTATATTCGGGACTTGGCGTACGTATAGTCATTTCTCGAGTCTTGACGAAGCGGACTAGGCTCTTTCAGTATACGAATGGAAGGTATGACAAGATAATCAATGGTTATGCGCTATCCAATAGGCCGAAAACGGGCGGTCTTTTTACTTTTGTTTTCCACATTCTAGGTGTAGGCCCAGGAGCGATCAATATGGCTCGAATGATATTACCCCTCACGATATAAGTATTGTCTTGGTGATTCTCGCACAATCGATAATAGTTTCTGATTTTCTTAGCTCAATCTCTCAAATCTGATCAACCATGGATACTCTTTCGCCAAATCTTGACGACTTGTCCAACAGGGTTTCAAAGGCTGTGCAGGAGATACAAAAATTCCTCACTCAGCATGGCAAGTCTTTGTCGTTTGATCAACAACAACCCTCCCCCTTTTCGATAGAAACGACGGAATTCCGTCTCTCTCGCATGGCACTTTTTGATGCTGCATCAACTTTGATGCATTTGGCTTTAAGCCCGGCGGAATCCATTTTGATCCAGAACTCCCAGGCATGTTCTCTTGCACAAACCGTTGCTTGTATTCGGTAGCTGATAACATAATCAGGCGCATATAGTCACGGCATTACAGATAGCCTATAGATACAAGTTTGCGAGTTTTGTTCCCCTCGATGGCTCTATCAGCTATTCAGATATTGCAGCCCATACGGGATTGAACGATAATACAGTTGAACGAGTCTTTGGTCTTCTCATGATAGCCCATTACTTCTACTCGCCTCGTCCGGATTATGTGGCTCATACCAACTTATCTAGACTGATGGCCGTAGACGACAGGTTTGAGGCTCTGATCGGCCTTGAATTTGAAGATCTTCACCTGTGGACAAGCAGTATTCCAGATGCATTGGCTAGATGGGGACCAAGTGGAGAGATAACGGAGACCGGCCTCAGCATTGCAACTACCAAGGGTGCAGCCACTATCACTCCGACCACCTTCTGGGACCACCTGGAGAAGAATAAAGCATCCTATGATCGATTTACTGATGGTAGTGCCTATCTCTACGCCAGTGACAAGTTCTGGACGCGTGAAATCGAAGAGGGATTTAATTGGTCGGCTGCTAACAATGCCACTGTCATTGATGTGGGTAATATTTGCTCTGGTAAAGCTTCAAGGGTGATATTTTACTTACAAGGGATATCGTAATCACCAGATTGGAGGGTCTCGAGGACAAGCATCAATAGCACTAGCCAGAAAATTCCCCGAGCTCCAGTTTATTGTCCAGGACTATGCACATGTCTGCAAGGAGGGCGAGACAGCTTTGCCTCATGAACTTCATGATCGCATCAAATTCGAAGCTCACGACCTGTTTCAGCCTCAGTTGAAGGTTGGAAATCAAAAGACTATCTTTCTTTTGCGGACCATTCTCCATGACTGGAGCGACAAGTATGCCTGTTACATTCTTCGAGCCATTATCCCTGCAATGAAACCCGAAGATCGCATTGTGCTTGTTGAGATGATCATGCCGGAGCCTGGAGACGGTGGAGAGATTCCTCAAAGACTGGTTAGGTGAGCATTTTTCATAATTTCACTGCTCATATAAAGAGATCTCTCAACATTCTAACCGGCTTGTATCCAAGAATGTGCGATATGGAAATGTGGGCAACCTTCAATTCGTTGGAGCGGACGTCCCGTCAATTCAAGATGCTCGCCGAAAATGCGGATTCCAAGCTTAAGATCGTCAACACCTACACCCCAAGTTGGGGTGGTTTGTCAACCATCGAGATTGCTCTCGAAGATTGAATTCAATACACATTTGGACTAATGTCAAGTCGCGACAAAGTATGGTCGACATAGACTTTACCGCAGGCTTCTGCTAGGCTTTGGAGACAGGCAATTATTCAGAGATATAGTTTAATATCTATCGAGGAGCTTTTAGGGGATCATTCAGTGTAGCTTGTGCCAACTGAGCGATGTTTCCTGAAACATTGCAAAGATTTATGAAATATTCCTATGTGTTAGACGTAGACCGAAAAAAAAAGAAGATTGATTTCTTGGGAATCCAAGCAGCCATGCAATCATGAGCAGATTGAAGTTTTTCAACAAAAACACAGAGAGAAATATCATGCAGGGAGCTGAAGCATGCCCTTAATCTATGTAAATTAACTGAGAGAATCCCCTGAGCCGGTATATCTATTACGCACTGCTAACTGGGCAACGTAAAGCGTACGTCATTATCACGTACCTTCCTCGATAGCTCCGACGATCTGTCTCACAACCGTACCGTTGCAAAGTCTCTGACGTCTTATACGGGCTCGGGTTTGTAGAATAGATTGAAGACGTCACCAGCCATAGTGTTATAGAACAACCAAATGTATAATACTTGATGTTGTTCCTTGTGAACCTTATCGTCATTCCGCTGTTTGCCGAAGTCAGCTGGAATAACATCAAGTGTTATACATTTGGTTGTTCTATAACAATAGTCCTTCTATGGAGCCTCTTACTTAGAAGCCCTAGTCGAGACGCTCCGAGAAAGTCTTTCGACGTGCTGAGGGATCCTTGTGTAACGGTATTACTTGTCAGCATAGTAGGCTGTCGGTTAGGTAAGGAGTCAACAAGGAATCAGGTATGAAGATGTAGTAGATCCTGTATTGAATAGACTGAACCTTGAAAGATTCCGTAGAGGGGATCTCGGATCTCAGACTAAATACACCAAAATCGCTTAGAAATATTCTAGGAAATGTGACAGATCAAGCGGGGCAGGAGGGGTAAGGTATTAAGCCCGTCATGGAAGTGTGCTATACGGAATCCTTTACAAAAGCTTTCAGGTGCCGTGGTAGTTATATACTGAAGCACGGACAATAAGTGGGAGAAAGGATGCAAATGATGTGTCTTAGTTGCCAAGGTTTTTCTTTGCTACATTAGGCTACTTCTTTTACCCAAGTCCGACAATAGTCTCTTAGTATTAGCTATTCATCTGGAAGATACCGCCTTCATCTACGGATACGTAAGACCCTTATAATAAGATATTCAGCTGTTCTAACGAATCATAGAGTCATATTTCCCTGAAATCCCATCCGCGTGGGCTATAATTGGCCGCTTTATGACATTTGAACCGATTGAAAACACTTGCGTTTCGAGATTAAATATTCAACCGATATGAATGAGATAAAAACCCAAGCATAAGATAGAAGACTATATTGGGTAGGCAGTGTATTCACACCCCTCAAATCTGTTCTCTCCGTGCTCTAATGCGCATATTGAGCTCAGGATTTGGAAAGAAAACCCTGACAAAATGTAGGTATAAGGTCTCATCTTTCTCAATAGACCCTAGATCGTAGTTGTGTAATATCTTGGCAAATATTAGCTGGCAGAGTCGTACGCCAAGTAGTCGTCCAGGGCAGGCTTGTTGACCTATGCCAAAAGGAATATATATATCTGTTGCAGTGATTGACCTCTTTGGATTATAGTGCTTGGAAGTTGCATCATAGAAGCGGTACGCATCAAATGTATCGGGTTCATGATAATTATCAGGATCCCTGTGGATTAAATGTGCCGGTAAACCGATATTGGACCCCGGCTGCAGAGTCATATTCAAAGAGGGAAGATATAGAGGCTTGATCACACGACGGTCGGCAGTTTCTATAAAGGCAGAATTAGCAAAGTCATATTTAATTGATGGGAGCAACCCGCCATATATTGGTCCATGAAAGCGGAAGATTTCCGTGGTGAAGCTCTCGAGTATTGGCGTGTGATTGAAGACGTCAATCCCCCACTGTCCCTGGCACTGCTCTAGAGCAGCAGTCAGTTCCTCCCTCAAAGGAGTGATGTAATTTGGTTCGCGCATTATTTGGAAAAGCATATAGGTAACCACATCTGGGATAGCCGCCATCAGCTCAAAGTAGCGCCACAAGAATTGGTTCGTAATCCATTCTGAATATTGTTTTCGGCCAGCCGCATCCCCTTGCTTACTATCTTTTCTTGCTGCCTGTTCAACCATGATATCTAAAAATAGAGCATTGCCTCTATTTACAACTTTCTCTTGTTCATCAAACTCCTGTAATTGCCGGGTGACTTCTGGTGCAATTAACTTCGTCGCAACGGCCATAGATGATCTCAGAGCGCGGCAACTGGGTGAAAAGCGCCAGGCGAGGAGACCTAGAATTCGAGGAAAAATTCGACGATCCGATGATTGGGATGACATACTTTCTAGATAGATTTTAATTTGCTGTGCAAGGACTGGGTTCTTTCTTAGTTCAGAAGAGAGGCTAATTGAATAACAAATCTCAAATGCGATTTTAGAGATCGTCTCCCATGTAGGGTATAGATGCCAGTCTAAAATACGGTTAATTTTCGATAATATTTGTAACTTTGGAGATGAACCAGTTCTCACCGTCATTATTTGCCTCATTTGCCTCATTTGAACCAGAAAGGAATTGTGGCAGAACATGGTCGAGCTCTTTTACAGCGACACCTCCTAAAAACTCTGGGAAGCTAGTATGAGCGGGATTTTTGAATTTTGTATCTCTTTACATCAAAAGACTTACTCATTGGAAGGTTCTGGACGGCTGTATGGACAGCGTGAATTCCAGGTTCCCAACTTGGGTCATGGATACCCTCCAAGAAGAAGTCCTTTGATAGAAAATTAACATGGACCTTTTCACTCATGATCTTGAGTTATATACCTGTATCAAAAGTTTGGCAAAACTGACATGGCCTCTAGGCAAATTGATATATTCTTTGCTGCATTGAGGTGGAAGCACAATTATAGTACCAATCCCAAGGGGGTCCGTATGAGCAAAAGGCTTCCCATTTTTGGTGTACTATCATCTAGCTTTAGGTATCTGAGATATGAATCCGGTAAACTTGTAATAAAAGTATTGAACATACCATCTGGTAAGCTCTCTGCAGTTCTTTTTCCCAATTAAATTCTGATTTCCACCATTGTATAAGAGGAGTAAACCAAGTTCCATCATGAACGAGGGGAATATCCCCAACCTCTTTCCTTTGTCGTCGATAATACAGAAAGTCGGAGAGTAATATCAGGACTATCAAACCAATAACAGCCGCCGGAATGGCACTCCATAACTCTTTCGAGTTTAAAAAAGAATTCCCAAGCAGTGGCATTTTTAGACGCTCAGTTATGTTGTATCAAGAAAAAATGTAGGACATTAGAAGAGCCCATTTATATTTCAGTAAAAGCAACCTTATTGATAAAGAAAACAAGCAAAGATACTCCCAGCTCTGTATCATAAGGTGTGAATACTGTACCTCTGAAAAAGAAATAGACGACTTATGGAACTATAATAATCAATAAATTACAAAGTAGTACAACAAGTTTCTCAACGGAAAGGATACGAAAAAGAATAAGCCAGGAAGAAGTGATAAAGGGATAACATGGGGGAGATGCTCAGTGTGGGGAAGGAATTTCCAATTTTTACCGGGAAAGGAAGGAAGAGGAATCTCAAAGAGAATTATACATGTTACACACGACACTACGAGCTCAGTCAAAAAAGCAAGTATCTATGTCTTGCCCGTGAATTGAGGATGGTGACCAGGGCAAGGAAGTTGTTATAAGCATAGCGGAGCGTTGCTGGTCAAATGGAGCGGAACGTAAGTGGTATCTGAGCCCCTCTCTATCTGTAAGTCCCATATCATGATTTCACAAAATTCCGAGAGTACTTCGAACTTGATTTTGCATACATGATCTTTGTATCTGAAATTTCATATACAGCCGGCATTGGGTTTACTCTTTTCTCCGCGGGAGGAAGCGTCTGCATGATCATTTTGCCACAAATCAGGTCGCAGTAGGTCAACAGAGCTTTGTTTGATTGACTTATTGAAGAAATCAAGCAAATTGTTATACAGAAATGTGTAACAGTGAATCCATATTGTGGTCAGGGAAGGGGCAAACCTGTCTGCGAACCTGTGTTACGCGCTGCTAACTGGTGTAGTGGGGAAATGGCCGACGAAGGGGGACCTCTGATTGGAGGATATCGTTCTAGTACACAGTCTTTACAGAATATAGCTTTGCATCTCTTATATGCAGAAAATCAACCTTTACACATCTGTCGCTGAAGCAGCTTTCGTTTCCTCTCTGAGCGGCTTCCTTCCATTGTGGTGTGGTGTAGTTGGTTCGCTGATGAATCTCATGCTGCCTGCATTCGCAGGTTTGCCGTAGAGTACCCTGATTCAGTACGATCTGTCTCGCTTTCAAGAATTTTTCGGAATGCAAAAGTTCAGGACCAGGAGTCTGGTTTCTATTCTCCCGATGTTACAGAGAGGAGACCACCATCTATGTTATAAACAATGCCGCAGATTGGCAGCATGATATATTTAGCAGGATTCTATGGAATCAGAGCCTTAAGAATCTTAAGTTCTATTTCAAGAACGAGAACCAGAACGAGAACCATGCCGTGGCAGAGCTTCGGCTTCGACTTCGGCTTTCCCTAGCATTATTAGATTGTCTTCCGCTCCTTTTATATACATTTGAAAAGCATCGCTTCGAAGATTTTCAGCGACCTGCCCAGATATCGAACTAGCGAAGCCCTGACCTTTCTGCGCTTTCAATACATCCCATCGCTACTAAATTTTAGACTTAATTGGGGAAAGAATAAGTTAACTATGACATCTAGCTTACTTTATCAGAGACCCAGAGGTACCATTTAGGCGTCTTCCGCCAATTGTCTATCCATTCTAAATGCCTTCCAAGCCAAACATTTTTACCTTGACCACTTTCCAAGTCCGTCAACTCTATCTTAATCTCTTTTTCATAGTAGTTTAGGCTGGAATCAAAGATTTTCAGTCTTCCGATTTTTTTTCAAATTCTTGAAAGACTGCATTTGATGCCATATCGTCGCCTTTGAACCTCTGCTTAAGCTGTCTCATCAGCTCTGCCCATATATAGTTCTGTAAATCTTTGGACATATCTTTGAGCCTTCCTTGGTCAGTAGTGATGTTAGCCAAGTAGTGGTGGGACCAGAAGGGTTTTTGATATTCTCATGGGGAGAACAGATGCTTTCTCCTTTATATAGACCAGTCTTACAATACCAACCGTGGAAATGGCGGAACTGCTACTTCACCTGAGTAAATTATGGAACCGTTTCCTGTCTTATGATGTATAAAAGGAATCAATATAGAACGGACAGAGGAAAGAGTATGGATTTTACGGGCCAATTAAAAGAACGCCGTTATGCCACACTTTGCTTTTTGAGGCAGATTGGGCAAAAATAGGAATCCTTGAGCAGGTTATTGTAGTTGGTTAGTTCGCTGGCAAATTAGCTAAAAGTGACTGTAAATAAAGGAAGTCACTGTAATTTCTATATATTGAACCAGGGCGCTCAGCGGCAAGCCTGAAGATGCAGGCAGGAAGAGATAGCTCAGCGAACCAACCAACAAACCACCACACACCACGATGGAGGAAGCCCCCCTCACAGGAAGCAGAAGCAGATAGAGCGAAGAGAGTGTTAGAGTTGATTCCTCTCCCTATTGGAGATCTGAAGCTATATCCTGTAAGGACTGTGTACTGGAAAGATATCCTCCAATTAGAGATCCCCCTAGTAGGCCATTTCCCCACTACAATATATATACAGAACCTTGATCGAATCTGACACAGAGTAGTGAGTGTAGGTATTGGTTTGTTGGTTAGTTGGTCTGCAAACTGTCTGATTAGCTAGTAGTTGGATCAACATGAGGATTGAAAGGCGCCAATATTTTCTATTTACAGATACTTCACGCGAAATCCAGGCGAAAAAGCTACCAATCTAGTGATACTTCATAGAGTTTCTATAGGATTCACTCCAGGCAATGGATTTACCACTTTATACCGGTTAGACTTACTTTGTCACTGCACGGCGAGACCCAGACTAGCATACTTATCCAGTCCCCGGTGGCGAAATAAGACTATCAACTTCTCGTCCCACGTCGGTTTCGCTTTGCTTTTGTCCTATTGGATGAGCATACATGCTCGAGCTCCAGTAGGCTAGCGCCAGAGTGACTTAAGCGTAGACCAGGTCCCAATAATAGGGCTCCATGGGTCTATTTTTGGGCGCCCCCTCAATCATAGAGTTAGGTTGTGGACTCAGGTGACGGTAATCGAACTGCATGGTAAGGCGCTACAGGTGGGTCCGGCGGCTGCGTGGTGGTACCTAAACAGCGCGTGCTGGGAGATAAAATCACGTGTTATCCAATAACTGCCTCAAATGGCGTCGACTGACGCCGAGAATTGCAGTCATGTGGCAAATTCAAATGGCTAAATAACTAGCGAGAACAATACAAATGATTCCAACATGCAGGAAGGGAGATAAGCTGCCGACCTTATCGTTGCAGATTGATCGACAACGTCATGTGGCGGCAGTCTCCCCGCCCACTCCCGCACCTAAACACCCATCTTTCTTGCTGTCTTATTCGCGGGTAATTTCTGCGAGTCGTAATAACGGCGTTGAAGGTCTAATAATTATGATTCATCAAAAGAGACCGAGTGCCCGGACAATCGGGCAGATCGGCATGGACCGGGCGTCGAGGGCTCGTCAGGAAGACGCATCCCTTCTGCCGTTCGGCGAGTCGTGATATGCGTTGCAATGTATACGACGATCATTCAAAGTCCCGGGATCGGATGAAGCTTAGCAATCTTTTCATACACTTTCATGAACCGCAAGATAGTCTCCTTCTTATCCTCTTATCCTCCCTGGCCACCAGACATAGACTAAATGGCCGGTTCTTGAAGCGAAGCTGTTCTATGGGGACTGTGACAACAAGGTACCCTGATCATAGTGTTAGCGAAGGCAAGTCAAACATAAAATCTATGAGTTTTTACCTGCAGCTGCACCCTGAACGCACAACGGGAGGTCTCCAGGAACGTCCGGCATATCGATATTTTCCTTGTCAAAAAGGTCATCCAGAATATGTCTCGCCATGCGAAGTTCCTGTTTCAGTTCATTGTTTGTTCTTTTGCTCCAATAGTTTTCATTGCCCCTTCCAGATCATTTTGCTCGACGAATGCTGCGTTGTGTTAGTCACTCTTCGCTTTATGATCGCAGGTTTGTGTCTTCTCTGTCAATCTACGAGCCGAAAGGGCCTTTTCGCTTTTTTTTTTTTTTATTTTTTTTTTATTGAATTTGACGATTTCTGCAACGCTTGTTACAGAGCATTTATGAAACCAGCGAATGAATCTAAGGATAAAAATAATCTTCAAATCCTAAGCTAGAAGTGGCTAGCTATCCTTACTTCATCTGATACTGTAGTGACCTACATGCGATTGACAATATTGTACTCGGTAGAACTGCGGGATCCTTGCAATGGATTGGGCATCTAAGAGAACAGCCTCCACTCCGTAGAGCAGAAACCCTTTCCTCGTACTCTTCTGCCTAGAATCAACTGTTGAAGATCCGAACTTTTAATGAAACGAGAGTGACGTACCGTTTGTTCTGTTGTACCCTCAAATTGCATACAAAATTGTGGTGACATGCTCCAAAATATGGGGTCTAGGAATCACACGGAAACACCTTCCTAGGAACCCAATTGGGGGGGGGGGGGGACTTGAAAAGGCGACCGAGTAGAATCCCAGAAAGAATGCGAAAGTCAGCTGCTGATTTTGCCACAGGGCCCGGACTATCGAAGAGCTCCGGCATGGTGTACAACCCTGTAGTATCCTGAGCTCCGATTGTAGGCTTGAGTGCATATAAACCTTTGGTCTCAGTCGCCATGCTTATAAGGCTAGATCTAGCGGCTAAAGCGACTGCAGAACCAGTGGATGAGCCCCCAGGAGCCTGCTTAGTATCAGTACAAATGAATAGCATATGTAATTTGATATACTCACGGGGTGGCTAAGTATCTTCTCATCATCCTCTATTGCAAATTTGGTGAGTGAGAACTCGGTGATCCGGGTTGTCTGCAGAGGGATGACGTGTGGGAGAGAGTGTGAGAGCGCATGCGCAGGGGTGCGGATTGGGAGATTCTACCACCGCACGCCGCCCCGCCAACCATCCCTGCGACAGGAGCGGCAGCGGCAGCGAAGACGACCTGATCTGCTTGGAAGCTGGATGGACTGAGGCCACAAATGGTGCATGGTTTGGTTGTGCCCTCGGTAAGGTGCCGAGGACTGCCGCGTAGAGCGACGACCACAGGGATGGTGTTTCGCCTTTTCTCGTTCCAGCTATTTCTTTGGGTTTGCGTTTGATTCTGTGAGTCTTTTTTTTTTTTTTTTTTTTTTCCAATAGGCGCTGATTGGCCTCATGTGGCTGAGAACATTTCGTATGCGCATTGGGCTGGAAGCCAGAAGGCGCAAATCCCTGTATAGCACCTTTAAATAGAGGAAGCTCCAACAGAAATGAGAATGTTATTTGATTGATTGAAGTCTACGGATCATGGAAGGCCTACGAAGTCCTGGTGGACTAGAGATTCCACGTATGAAGATCACGAATGGAAAATATTGGGTCCCAAAATCTGGTATTATTTGAATTTATGTGAGAACGTATCAAAAACGTGCGTAACCCTGGAAAATCGGGATCCACCATGGAGTAAACGCTAGCAACTGACCACCATGAGAATACCATCACAGAAAAGGAAAGCGAGCGAAAGGATGCAGCCCGCTACAGGAATTTGGCGAAAGGGTTCAGTCCCTTAAATTCCTCCTCCAGAATGGGCTCGGGTGGTGTCATCTCGCCTTTCGCCTCCAAAAACCGACGAAGAACCGCCAAATCCTCCTGAGCACGGCCGCAAGCGTCCTCAAGCTCCCGATAGGCCTTATGAGCAGGCCCATAATCTCCTGTATTGACCGAGTCCCGGATGTCACTGGCATCGAGTGGAGATCGGTAGTAACGGTTGAACGGAGGCAAGTGCACACGCTTGTGGCAGGAGTCAGAAAAGGCAGAAGAAACCGGGCGCTTACAAATAAGGGTGGATGGAGCTGGATGTTGCATAATGGAGGCAATCTGAGCCCGCTGGGAGAGAGTTAGAGTGTTCGAGGAATCCGTTCGCATGGAAGAGGGACCTGCGGCCGGAGGAGAAGACGGAGTCAAGTGTGCGGCCGCAGAGGAGGCGTCATCGGACATGATAGAGTCCTGGCCGGGAGCAACAGGAGACGGAGACTGCACGGAAGCAAGGCTGACCTGGATCGAGCGACCGATTGAGCGCAAATAGATCGAACCGGGACTCTGCGCACGGATGACCGACAGGATGAATTCGGGAAGAGTGTGACTTGAACGAAATGAGCATTTGGCTCCACCATTGAATCCGCAGTTGGCACAAGCCCCCTTGAACACAGGTTGACCCCCAACCACGAAGAAGCAACAGGATGCAAAGGGACCGTGTCCTTTGGCACAAGAAATGCAAATGTCAACGGTTGAAACCACCAGACCGACCTGCTGGACCAGAGCCGAACGAATCTGCTGGTTACTGTGTAGCGCCTTTGGCTGACGGCGCCAGTCCAGGGAACGGACCACGGGAGCTGCCAACAGCGCCTTGTAAAGAACCGTCGTGCCTACACGCGAGCGATCAAGATTCCCCTTTACATCCAAACCGTGGAGAACAGTGTTGGAAGGAGTCATTGAGGAAGGGGTCGGGCTCACAGTTGAAATCGGGAGCGGACAGGCGAAAGGACGCTCGAGGGGAGCAGCAGGTTGCGCGAAGGAAATTTGTTTCGCAGGAGAAAAGGTCGAGTGGATAGTTGGAACTGTGAGAGAACGCGTGTGAGAAGCAGCCGGTTGTGGGTAGGATGAATCGACTCTTCGGGGAAAAAAAGGCATCCAGTGAATGAAAATCGACCAGGAAGCAAAACCAAGAGCGCCGGGCATGGAAAGCCTTTGTTTTGGCAAGATTCTACCTCCATGCCCGAGAAAGGCCGTCTTGAAGCTCTACCCATGTCTACAGTTCCGAACAGACGTCAGTTACCTTTGACCCCCCGAGGAACAAGGATATCTCCATTTCCACTCCAGACGACGGCAACGGAGATGATCTGCCCATGAACCATCAAATAACCATACCCCATCCGATCACGGCTACCGTCAGCACCGCGATGGAGCTCATCTCTTCGGCGATTCTCTCCCCCAGCAACATTCCTTCCTAGAGCATTACGTCCCGAGAGCTGTCGATCCTGACCGAACCGCGCAGGACCACATTGGAAGAGTCAAGACAAGCACAGACGCTGACGTGGAGCTCTGCCTGCGCTCTTCCAAGCAGGACTGGAGAAACCTGGTCTCCAGCTGTAGGGACACCGAGACACCCTGGTCCATTTGCCAAACTCGTCATTTCCATAGTATCAGTTTTCGATGAATGCCGGAGTATTTGAATGCTCGAGTCCGCCTGAAAGATAGCCCATATTGCGGCATGTTCAAGGGGGCGCGCGAGACGGTGACTCTGTACGAGACGTCAAGTCAGCGTACGTGATTCCTCCGTCGATGAGGTTAGGGCCATGGAGTGTCTTGTCAAGCTTCAAGTTCTGAACTTTTGGCAACTCTAGCACTCGTTTGAAATTCTGAAAGTAAAGCTAGCTCCGCTCAGTGTTGAGCGACTGAAGTCACTGATTGACAGCCACGACGACGACCAGCCTGCGTTTCAGAACTTGGAGTATTTATCTTCGAGTAATCACGGAGCAGTCCGTGAAGGCGATGTAGAAGTCCAGAGTCAAGCTCTCCCAGCTGCGCAGATGATTGAGGCAGGGTACTACCCGCCTAACGAGGATTTGGCCGAGGAGTATCAGAGCAAAGTAAGGGAACTTTATCTGGTCCACAAATGGTAGCTAATGTTAGGTTTAAAGTATATTCTCAGGAACCTTCACACTGAAGTCCCACTGCTTGCGCTTTTCCATGGGAATGGAAGAGAATTTCGGCATGATTCGGGCTCCTTTGAGCTTTCCACGCCTCCTTCCCGGCGAAGTCTACGAAGCAGCTTTCCCATATATGTTCACGGACGATGCGTCAAGGCATTACATCTTTTTCCTGTTGTACCCGCGTGGCTATCATCGTCGGGATTCAGCCCTCTGCCGAGACGAGGGTGTTGCGGATCGTCTGTATCTCGACGATCAAGTCTGGAGAACCAGCTGGTCGCCCCCTTCTGCAGCCACCACTCGGCGTCACCTCGTCACCTCGTCACCGTGATCCCAGCCTCACATGTTGACCTGTCCAGGCCTCAACCCTGCTGCTGACTCACCCCAGTTCGACACCGCACACAGTGCGCGAACCAGGAAAATGTGACCCTGGAAGCGCCCGCCGCAAAGTTGACCCCCTTACACACTCATCCCACGTCTCCTTTGCTTTCCAGATCCGATCCGGAAACCCTACGCGCAGATGGAGCCGTGGCGGCATCTTGCCCCATGGATTATTCCGCAGCGCCAGCTGCTTCAGGAAACGACTGACCGGATGGCCCCCTGGTTGCGGGACAACCAGCAATCCTCTCCAGACCCGCGAGTGATGGTGCAGGAGGTCTGGTTCGACTCGATGGACAGTGTCACCGGGGATACACGGCGATTGATCTATCGCGGCGTAAGATGCTCCTCCCCCAGGCCCCGGATATGGGGAGTGTTCACCTCCTGACCCCCGTGCTCCGTAGGCGGGTCGGTATGCGGTGATCCGCACCACCGCGGGGACCAAATCCCCCACGAATCGCACCCACGCATTCTACATCCCACTCTCCGGGAGTGATCATGGAGCCGGCGGCGTGTATTTGGGTGATGGAGGAGGTTGCGCTGAGCGCCAACGTCACCTTTCTGATCATTCAGCCTCATTCGAGACTGGAGGTCGTGCCGCGAGATGACCAGAGTTCTCGATTGCAGCATCAGGTGGACTGGTGGAAAAGTCTGGTCCAGCCCCCGACGAAAAAGCCCGTGGTTGTCTGCCCTGTACCCAAATGTAGGCGCATCTTCAGTGAGCCACAGGAGTTCTACAAGCATTTTCGCGATCCTCAAAATGGCATCGAGCCGAAATTGCACCAGGAGCTCGGGTAATGTCGGCGCCACGGAGACTGGTCAACCTTCATTCAGGCGCTCCGAAGGGCAGTTGGACGCGCGATTCCGTCCAAGGAGGTTCCGGGCCAGAGCGCAGATTGTTTCTTGCCCGCCTTTGTAGAGGAGCAGTTGTACCGAGATGCGTTTCGATGAATGGGATATTTTCCCTCGCGCTCACTCTTCGGTCGCCGTGTGTTCTGTTCGCCTGTGCTGCTAAGAGCCGCGATGTAGCTCAAGAGGAACGCCGGGTTGAACCCCTTACTCTCCCCCGCTGCTGCCCGCCGCAGGTATGATCTGCCCATGCGGCCCTGATCTCGCAAATCATGATTGGTTTCGTGTATGGTTCTAGCGTGTGACTTTGCTGGGCGCTTCTGTTGCGGTGCCGGCTACAGAGATTTCAAACGATTTCGAATGCGCCTTCCTACAAGGTACGGACGCGTGAGAACGCTCCGCCGATCCGAGATGAAGAATCTTGATACTGCGTGCCTGGTCTTGTACTCTCTCTTCCTCCTCTTTTTTTTTTTTTTTTTTTTTTCTTCCCATTTTTCCTGTCTTGGTTTTGAACGTGGTATGGGATGTGATTCATCAGGCGGGCCGCCTCCATCTCAGAGCAGAGAACTTTTTCGAACCTCGGAGCTGACCATGTCTCGCTCAACACCATTGCCTCATTACCTGGTTCCCCGATGCGATTGTGCCGTAGTCAATCATAGGTGTATTGTTCGTTGGCTCCTTCCTCTGTATCTTTTCTCGTGGACGCATATGGTGACCAACGATCCTCTCCAGTACGAATGTACTTCGCTTCGAACAGCACATCACTTCCTGCTCGATCGCGGCTGATCCGGGGGAGGTTACTAAGCTTCGATAGATGTGGCGACAGAATACTTCCCCCACGGTCTAGATGAGATCGAAGCTTCATGGCTGCGAGGAGGAGAAGGATTATGAGTGAGGCGTTGACTTCCCAAAATCGGGCTATATCCCCCCGCCATGACCATCTGTCGGTTAGTTGACAACAACGTCGCCCCGCCGAAGATCCGCCTCTTTGCCTGGAATGCCGCCTCCAATTCTCACCATCAGCGCAGACCCAACCAATCGTGTAACTGTACGGACTGGAGGCAGCGCGCCACCTTGCGGAGGTGTCAGCTAACCTGACTGTGGGCGGGGGGAGAATAGCTCGCTGGGACGTGCAAGGAGGCTGCTTCAAGTTAGAATGCTGTATAGTCATTCTCGAAATCGGCTTCACCAGTACACACTTACACTCTCTTTCTCGGCCCCACTGCCAAGGCTTTAGCGCAGATCATTTATTGAGCGGGCCGCATTAAACTGAGGGAGCAGTAAAATGTACCTCTGTAAATTACGGTATTAAGCACTGTAATACTGTAACACTTTGCGTACGAACTGTCCGTTGAATTCCATAGAACCACATAGTTCCATCTCCGCCAATCCAACAACACGGATTCCGTGTTGCCTTGTTTCGAGATCTGCCACATGGTATCAACTCTCCATGCTAGCCTGCACGATGTAGATCTGAAATACTGGTTGTTACTGTACACAACTGCGGCCGTTATTTAGCATTATCATGTCGCCCCCAACACTCCCGTTAGCTATCATTTCAGGTACCTAGAGGCTGTCGAGATTCCCATGTGAGTCTCCGAAAGAGACTGTCTACATAGTAAGGGGTTTCCCTTCAAACGAAGGGAAATCATGTACTGAACCAACTACTACTGTAAGAATTCACGTGAGCAAACTAACCACGTGCTATGTACATTATAGGTAGGGCACAGTAATAGACTATTTTCAATTCGCAATATTCAACGCATTCAATCTCTGCGTAACCTGCTGCGTCCTACTGTGATCAGGACCGAGGGCATTCTTGTAGCCTACCAGAGCTCGCTGGTACATCTCCTCTGCCTCCTTCAGCTTCCCCTGATCAGAGTAGAGAAGACCAAGGTTATTGACTATATCCAGAGTGGACGTGTGATCGGGACCGAGAGCCCTCTCGTAGCCTACCAGGGCTCGCTGGTACATCTCCTCTGCCTCCTTCAGCTTCCCCTGATATTTGTAGAGATTCCCAAGGTTGTTGACTGTATTGAGAGTGGACGTATGATCGGGACCGAGAGCCTTCTTGTAGCCTACCAGAGCTCGCTGGTACATCTCCTCTGCCTCCTGCAGCTTCCCCTGATCAGAGTAGAGATTCCCAAGGTTGTTGACTGTATTGAGAGTGGACGTGTGATCGGGACCGAGAGCCTTCCCCTTGCCTACCAGAGCTCGCTGGTACATCTCCTCTGCCTCCTTCAGCTTCCCCTGATCAGAGTAGAGAAGACCAAGGTTGTTGACTGTATTGAGAGTGGACGTGTGATCGGGACCGAGAGCCTTCTCGTAGCCTACCAGAGCTCGCTGGTACATCTCCTCTGCCTCCTTCAGCTTCCCCTGATATTTGTAGAGATTCCCAAGGTTGTTGACTGTATCGAGAGTGGACGTGTGATCGGGACCGAGAGCCTTCTCGCAGCCTATTAGTGCTCGCTGGTACATCTCCTCTGCCTCCTTCAGCTTCCTCTGATTAGAGTAGAGATTCCCAAGGTTGTTGACTGTATTGAGAGTGGACGTGTGATCGGGACCGAGAGCCTTCTCGTAGCCTACCAGAGCTCGCTGGTACATCTCCTCTGCCTCCTTCAGCTTCCCCTGATCAGAGTAGAGATTCCCAAGGTTGTTGACTATATCCAGAGTGGACGTGTGATCGGGACCGAGAGCCTTCTCGTAGCCTACCAGTGCTCGCTGGTACATCTCCTCTGCCTCCTTCAGCTTCCCCTGATCAGAGTAGAGATTCCCTAAACCATCAAATGCTTTCCATACCGTAATATCAGTGTTGCCACTTGCCCAGTCCCCATGACGTACATAATTTGCGTGTGGAAGAAGACGTTGCTGCAGCTCGGAATATTTTCTGTCACTTGAACTTGGTACACTGTATCCAACTGATATTAGTGCCAGTTCATTGAGCAAAGTCAAATCCGTATTTTTGTCTATGCTAGAAAGATGAATGCACCAGTCTTGCACTACTGGGTGTATTGCATAGCTTCCGACTTGTTCCTTAGTCTCAAGCAGAGAGAAGCCGATGAGATTCTTGACGCCGGCGCTAAATGCAAGTCCGCTCGATATAGTCCTTTCAAGCCAAACAGGAACATCTGAGCTATGTTGACTGCCTTTTATCAATTCATACCAGATATCCCGATTATCAAAATGAGCAAGTAGGAGGAGTAACTTCGCTGCATACGGGTCCCGCTTCTGGATCTCATAGTATGAGATCATCCATGTTTGTAGCAAATTACCCTGTTGATACTGGCGTTGCGGATTTGACTGCAGCTGTAACTCGGACCAAGATTCTTGGTAGTACTGCAAGTACTCAGTGGCGCTAGTTCCAGTCTCACGCATAAAGGCCCCGGCGATAACGATTGCTAATGGAAGTCCGTCTAGACGACTAGTAAGAGCAAGGGTATCTATTAATGTTAGTGTCATCACTGGGATCTGTGTTTTAAAAGACTTAGTACCCGGATTGTGCTTAAGTCTGCCAGTGGTATCTCTAGCTGATACGCCGCTGCTTTGCAAGAGTAGTTTGATCGCATCATCGGAGTCCAGTTTGTTGAGCTGAAATGACTTCCCTAGCTCAGTCAACCCTTGGAGCCTGGATGTAAGAAGAATGGAGCCATGGTCGGCAGTAGGGAAGTATTCTGCGATATCATATGCATCACCAGTAGCACTATTAACAGGGGAGTATTGATCGATGTTGTCAAAAATGATTAGCCAGCGCGAGTTTCCCTCTAACGCTAGCCAGCGTAATACATGCCTAGCTTGTTGCTCTACCTCCTCATCATTGACCGCCTTATTATTCTGAGGCTGTCCTGGTAATCGGGGCAAGATGGAGCTCAAAGATTGCAAGAGTGTGCCTCGATCCTTGCCACTTAGCCAAAAAATGGCAGTAAAATCGTCCTTGTGTGAGCGCGCGAAGCGAATAGCTAGCTGCGTCTTCCCTATTCCCCCAAGCCCATGGAGAATCGCAACTTTGCGTGACTGGGGATTTGCGGGCCGTAAATACTGCCATAGCTGGTCTAGCGTGTCTTGTCGCCCGAGAAAATTGTCAATCACTGGCACAGCAGTAAGGTCCAACGGAACATCAAAGCGATGAACTAAATATATTAAGCATCATTCAGCAAGGATTTCTCATCAGATCAGGAGTAAAGTTGCTTGACTTAGTCTCTTACTAGAGTCTGGTAAAGTATGTGCCGTTGGGGCACTGTGAATTTTATCGGTTGGGACAACTAGGAGAAGCTCCTTGGCATAGGCCGCCGCCACGGCTGCCGCATATCCTTGCCATTCTTTATTCTTATGTGAGTCGGCGTAATCACAAATTCCCCGAACCACCAGACATGGAAAGTCATTCATAAGTCCCGCTGCTTCCATCTCCACACAATAAATCCCTAGGTCCCTAGCTAGCTGGTCTCGCTGCCTGCCATCTCTCATTAATTGATTCGCGGAGCCAATCAGTCCATAGTGTACAGCTGGTTCTTGGTGATCTCGTGGAGGTCGTGGAGACAGTTTAGATCTATCGCAACTAAGACAGGTACCAGATGCGACATCAGATACGACATGATCATACTCCACTTGGAACAGACAATCCTCTTGGGTTGGTCGCGCGAATGTTGTGGCCTTGCGAGGTGGCATTTTGGCTTGGATGTCGGAAACGAACTCGACCACTCGGCTTTCTTCTGTGAGATGATGAGCTTGGAGGGTAGCGAGAGCAGTTAGCAGAACTTTCGGAGGCCGATTAAGCATTCCCGTCCGTTGTAACTGCCCACCGCTTAACACTTTACCAAGATCGTACTGAACCACCCCTCCTAAGGTGTCTGATGGTTGGCTCACTACGATATCCCCGAGTCGAATATCCGCATAGTTGCTGGGCACTCCTCCAGCAATGCCAACCATTAAACCAATACGAACGCCGTGAAAGCTAGACAGCAGCTGCATCCCAACTGACGTAGCTGAAGTGTTGCCATATGCCCCACTCGGTAAACCAGCAATAACAACATTGTGCTCCCCGACATTTCCCAGGATATATGTATTTTGATCGTTTGGCGGGCGCGGTAAACTCGGGTGTATTACGTCCAACATCAGCTTTGCAGCTGCCATCTCAAGGGGCAGGGCGCATATCCATCCAACGGTGTAATCTTCGTGAGAGAGAGGGATCCTGGCTTCCATGATAGGCTATGTTGCAACCCGGTATTCGCCCTGCGATAAGAAGCCAATCGATTGGAAGGCACCGGAAGTGAAAGTGGGATATTGTGAAGCGCTGAAATGAACCAGATTGTTAGGAGAAAGCGGGGCAATGTGAGGCTGCACACAGACCCCCAAGCTGCCAGATACGAGCTCACGTGTCGCGCGCTGTCCTTGGCCTACCAATCTCAAAGCAGGAATGGCTTAAGATATGCCGGCCCGGGCCGTCCCTGGGGTTACCAGGCGTAGTGGTTTAGTAGCTTAAACGCATAGAACTGTCGCGAGGTCTACAGCGCTATTGTGCATTACTTCACGTGATAACTCATGAGAATTCCATCGAATAGAAGACTTATAATTAGGACCAGATGATGTCTTAGGCTCGGGACTATTGTCGGCCCGCCTTACCAGGGGGGGGGGGGGGAAACACGGTACCTTACTGAGTCCACGTAGCGCGTTCATCCCAAACAACCAGGCCACTTTGTGTCGAGCAACATGGCGCCGAACCTCAAAGCCCCACAACTCGAGTTGATTCATCATATGATCGAGGATCGAGAATAACTCACTAACGTCGTCGCAGATGGCCCATGCCGCCGGCTGCAGCAAACGATCCGTACTACACATTAGCTCTAACCTTGCAGTATTTGGGAAGGTCAGGGCGCCACGAAATGGTGTTGGACGCCCGCGAAGTATTACGCCGTCCATGTTCGAAGCTCTTTGTGAACATTTGATGGAGAAGCCAACTCTATATCAAGATGAAATGGCCCTTTTCCTCTGGGATGAATTTGGGAAACATGTGACGATTCAAAGCATCAGCAGGGCGCTTGCTTCGGTCGGGTGGTCGAAGAAAGCAGCTCGACAGATTGCAAAGGAACGGAATGCGGATCTACGGGACTTCTACCTCCACAACCTATCTTTTTTCAAGTCGTACCATTTAGTATTCGTGGATGAGTCGGGATGTGACAAAAGGGCTCGGTTTCGACGGATAGGTTGGTCACCTCTCGGTGTGACACCAGTTCAGATCTCCAAATTCCACCGCGACAGACGCTATCAGATCCTCCCTGCCTATGCCTAGGATGGAATCGTCCTATACCGGGTATTCCAGGGCGCTACTGATGCCGATGTTTTCGAGGATTTCATTGAACAACTTCTTCAACACTGTAACCGTTAGCCTAAACCAAAGTCTGTCCTCGTTATGGATAATGCTTCTTTTTATCGTACGGAGAAAATCCAGCGGATGTGCTTGGATTCTGGCGTTAAGCTGATATATCTCCCCCCTTATTCACTGGATCTGAGCCCAATTGAAGAGTTTTTCTCTGAGTTCAAGCAATTTATCAAACGAAAATGGAATGAGTATAAAGTAAACCCAAACCAAGGTTTCGATGCGTTTCTCAAGTGGTGTGTTGACGTGGTTGGCTCAAGGGTATCGAGCGCAGAGGGTCATTTCCGAAATGCAGGTCTGATAATTGACGAGCTTTGATTTCTCGCCAAGCGTATAGAAAATATGTCAAATCATATAGCCGCCCAAAAGAACCAGCCAGGTTAACTAATGCTCGCATTAAATATCCGCTTCGCTTCTCACGCATCCATTGTAGTTGTCCACCCAGTACCTAATGTCCTTGAAAAAACACCGAGCGATACCCCACTTGACACCACGCGCCTTGAAATAATTAGGATCTTTGTCTTCATCAATCTGCGCCAAGTCTAGTCCATCCTCTAGGGCTACGTCGCACGCCTTTCTGACCTCGGATTTCAAAGCCTCGTCGGCCAAACGTGACTGTTGCCAGTTGCTGTATTCTCTCACAGCAACATCGAGAAGTCCAGAAATATGAATAGTCGGAGAGTCGGCTGAAGAACTAGCAGTCTCTGGATGTGCAGATGATGACAGCCCAGGTGCTTGTAAGGCTTGTGTTGGAAGCACATTTGTGATAGTAATAGGAGGGCGGCTTGTCTCTGCGGTGGATCGATTATTGGCTCGCGGTCTATCGAGCCGTTGTCTCTCTGCTCTATAGATTTGCTCGCGAATCATACCAGGCACATCTTCATGCGACTGCAAAATCCCGCCGCTCTGCACATATTTAACCAGACTCTCCAGCTGATATCGGTAGAGCTTGTAATGCTTCTTTCCATAAGGATCCTGCCAGCAGTGCGGACCTAGTTCACAAGACCCAGGACAATGCATCAAAGCATATACCTCTTTCCAGGCAGGCGGCTCTCCTGAGGCTGCTTCCTCAGCATAGATCTGTCAGTCTCGTTCTTGAAGCATCCGCTGGGTAGCAGACGAATTGCCTCGTTTATCAGTGGTCCTGTTCGAAGTGTTCTCCATATAATTGAATGAGACAACCAGTCTCAGTTTCTTGCCAGCAAGAACAAGGTCTCCCCAATCCAAAAGCTGTTTTTCTATACAGTCCCAATCAATGTCGGTTCCATCAAACCTCAGAGTGAGGCCTTTCTATCGAGTGGCGGATACGACAACAGAAGTGTCATCCGATTCAAGTGTTCGACGTGGATACTTTCGTACAAGCAGCTCCTTTAGCTTTGGTTGCAAAAAGAGCCTCCAGTGAAATCGAGGGGCTAGAACCAGATCTTGTTCTGTGTCTTTCGCCACCGTCCTGTTATTGAGAGTGACCTTCCACTCGATCAAGTAGTGGATACAAGTCGGTGGATCCTCGTCATATGTTCGACCTTCCTCCCAATCACCAAATTGGAGTAACGGAAGACTATTCTTTTGCGAACCAGTTTGTTGTGGGGAGGAATAATCGATAGGGGGAGATGGGATCGACGTTGATGCTGCCCAAGTCGGACGGGGAGGTGGGTGACCAAGAAGGGTTGCCGGGTGTTGGGCCATAGCCAGGTGTTAGTGCATAGCCGGGAGTTAGTGTATATTGTGATGTATTGTCCCACGGGTCAGGCGACATGCTTCGTTGAACGCTATGTTCACAATGGCAGAGAGAACTTGGAGTCATTCTCTTGGGGCTACTGTAACGACAGACTAAGGGTGAGTGATGGTTAGTTCAGGCTTACACCATCAGGCACCGTTGAAGGTGCTGTTTGCCTGCAAACAACCTCCAACTGGTTAGGATAGTCGTTGGCTGCTAGTCTCACTTGTTGAGGTTCTCTGGGCCAGAGACGCCCTCGAAAGTGATGACTAGCACACCTTGTAGAATAGGAGGAAGAGAAGGAGAACGGTTTCTCCCAGCAGATCTTCGAGTTACTTGGCACAAGGTGGCCTTCCCCACATGATCTGCAGCCATCCACCGAAGAATTCCATAGAATTTCCATGACTTTCCTTGTCATACGTAGTAACGTAATCTTACAGGGTTCATTACTTGGACCATACACGGGCGCATTTTACTGCTCCCTCAGTTTAATGCTGCCCGCTCAATAAATGATCTGCGCTAAAGCCTTGGCAGTGGGGCCGAGAAAGAGAGTGTAAGAGTGTATAAGTGAAGCTGATTTCGAGAATGACTGTACAAGGCTCCGCGCTTTACACAACAAATGAAGGGCCCGCTTACATTGCTAGTTTCCGCGTGGCGTGGAACTGAAGCTGCAATGCTCGTCACTGCTCGTACGCTGTAACATTGCGCCAAATCGGCGACGATCATTACTGTCCCGCCTGCGCCAATGGAATTTTGACATGAACTGTTGTCATACGCCGACTCGGGGTCCAGCCAGAATGCTCTCTGCGCCGCTGATATCGGAGTTGGTTGCACTGTCATGGAAAGTTCCAATTCCCTTGGATTGACAATACAATAGGGCCTACACACCTTACCCCCCCACTGCTTCCTCTCATGAGTCCATCAATTGCACTCTGAACTCGTAGATCTTCTTCGCCTGTACCCGTTCAGGTGGATGGTGAACGGCTCGCTTCGGCTTGTCGACTCGGCAGAGGGAGCGGTGGTTATTCTACTAATCGAGTACGCACCCGACGCAACCATGATCCCGCGAGCCTTGATGAGCATGTCGGCGTGGTTGGAGAGGGGTGCCAAATTGAAGCGAGCCCAACTCAAGATGCCTTGCGCATGAAGCCACATGCGCGAGAGGCGGCGCTTCAGAGCACCTTATAAGCAGAGGACCCTTCAACCAGAAGGAAACGATGGACTGGATTGATTGATGGAGAACGGGACGATGTGGTGCCCCATGTCGTCAGGCGGATCGTGCCGGCGCGCACTGGATGAGAACAGAGTTAGGGTGACAGAATGCGGTTCGCGGGTGCAGTGGACATTGATGATGGGCTGGCATCGGCGAGAACATGGCGCTTCGAGCTCAGCGCGGCGGGGCCGCGATTAGGAATAGGTGGATCGATGGATGGAATTGTACATGATATTCTCTTTATGTTCGTCTCTCCGCGAAACTATCGACGAGAGGTCTATATGATCTATGTTGATGTGTATATATGGGTCTATTTGGGGGCGGCTGCCTTCCAGAACAGCCAGCCGAATGCGGCCACGAACTTGAGGCCCGCGGCCATCCACAGGGCCGACTCCATCCCGCCGCTGCTGCGGCTCAACCACCCGCCCACGATGGCCCCAATGAGCAGGAAGACAACACCTCCGACGCGGCGGTTGCGCTTAACATTGCCCGTAGGCTTCTCCGTAATCTTAGGGTCGGAAGCGATATCGAAATAGACGCTGGTCAGAACCACCGTCGGAATCTCATTGTACCCCAAGGAGCGGCTGCAGGTCATCGCACCGGCCGACTGGAATGCCAGCAGGGCGATGGGAATGAGTTCCAGGAAGAGCGGGCCGCCGTCTAGGGACGCGTCGCTGGACGTGTGAGGGATGAGGTCGGCCTCGATCAAGGCGACGGCGATGATAATCAACGCGGTCTGGACCAGGAAGGACACAAAGAGCGTGCCGCGACGCAGAGCCCCGACATGGCGCATCACCACCGAGAAGATCATGGCGCCCGAGAAGAAGGATGCGATGGAGACCAGCGATTTCAGCCAGCCCCAGGGCTTGCTGGTCGGTTGATTGGAGGCGCCAAGGCCCAGAAAGATAGTGTTTCCTGTTTCCACCATCGACGTATGAGCATCACGGGTTGTTCAAAGCTGATGTGTGGCGGTAAGGGGGAGGCGCTTACCGGTCTGCATGCCAAGGAAACAGGACCAAGCATTGTACGCGCTGCTATCGCAAAGACCCGTGAGAAAGCATAGCAACAGACAGACGAGATCGGCATGAGTTGGATCGAGGGTTTGCTTCCATCGATACGCCACCCCGGACTGGCGTGGTTGGGCGGGCGGGGAGCTGGCCTCGAGGTCGGGGGCGACCGGCGGCGCGGGTTTCTCCATGGGGGGAAGTGTCAGGGATGAGCGGCTGACAAAGATGGGGACGGAAAGGGGCGAGCGAGGAGCAAGGGAGAGAGAGGGTGACAGGGAAAGAAGGAGAACAGCCGAACAGGCACAGCAGAGGATGTACGTGATATGAGACAGAGAAACACGGAGAAGACCCTGCGCATGGCCACGGGGAAGGCGGAAAAGGCCGACGTCCGGGTTTTTTTCTGCCGGTGTGCAGTTCTAGCGCCGAGTTCGTGCGGGGGCGCGTGGGGGCGCGTAGGGCTGACGCCACCAGGATGAGCCTGGATTGGACTGGGTCACCGCTTCAAGTCGGCTCCTATTGGAGATCCCGAGACACAAGTACATAAGCTATACCCGAATGATTCTCGTAATTGTGTCACTATAGTAGGAGACAGTTTGAGCTAGTAAAGGATCAATCAATATTCTTATTCCTGTTGGAGCCTCCTCTATATACAAACTAGTAAAGGATGGCGTCCAATGGAACGTGATGCTCAATAAGATGTCTAACTGGGGAACTATCTGGCAGGCGGTGTAGAACATCTCCTGCCTCGCTGACTAGCGTGTTATCGCGCTGATGTTGGAGTTTACCCGGGACATCATACAAAACTAGCGAGGAAACAGGTAGTCCTGTGAACGCGAGACGCACAGCGAAATATGTGGGTCTTTGCTGTATTCTGCGGCTTCTCATTCTCAATGTTTTGTCTCATCACGCTAAATACAAGTAGTTTTCAGGTCCACTGGCCCCACATGTATCAGTCAAAGACCAGACCTCTCACGACTCCCGAGACTATCTCATTTCATGTGAGAATACCTATAGCATGATCCTTTTTCCTGGATGACACTCTCCGAGAAGGTATTTCTGCCTCTACGCGAGTTGGTTTCATGACAGCCACTGATGACCCGAAGTCTCACAGTTTCTCAATGTGAGAAAACGTACCCCAGGCCTTTTGATCAACAGTCTCCGGGGCGTTCATGTGCGATCACTCGATTGCAGCATTCTCGGAGAACTGTGGCGGTCATCCGATATGCCAAAAGAGAGGGGTCGGGGCATCATTTAAAGCCAGGGCTGATTGACCCATGCTATGACATGCGCCGATAGGGTGACACAAACTCTCTGTCCTGCGTTGGCATAGCAGCGGCTCCCCTACTTGCATCGTAAAAAGGCTAATGGTGTCAGGGATATCACAAACGGAATAGTTGATCAAGAAGATAGTCTGATCATCTTTTAATCAACGAAATGAAACAAAATACACTAAAACTCATGTGATTTGAATAATTTTGAATATAAGAGTAGGAATAGCTTTCCTCTTAAAATGCCCTCCCTGGATATAGCTTTCACATACAGGGCTATAGGGTGTAGAAAGTAGAGCCTCCCGTCTAGTTAATCCTATCTTAGCCACGTATATTCTGAGAATAATTGTAATCTAGCCCTATATCTAGGTGTCTACAGGCTGGTGGAATAAATGTTTTTACTCTCAGAGCATTCGCTTCCTATTGGAAATCGGCTGATCTTCTGTTTTCCTTTGAAATAAGTATTATAGAAACTGCGCCCCGTGCACTGAGATATAGTGAAATAACATACAGCCACATAGGAATTTTTGGTTCAGAACCACGACTCTCGTCGTATTAGAAATATGGAAGTCCTTTGACAGAAAATAAGGCGAGCCTGGTGTGCATCTCTCTTCTTCTTTTTGCTATGCTTTTATCTTCAGATATTGGGTCTTGAGGATTCATTTATAGGAAAATAAGATAGGTTCAACTAGAGATCAAGCGATATGAAACTGGATGAGCACTCCTTACTATGAATAGACACAGATATTGACCAAAAGCCATAGCAGAGAATCGGTATATTATTCCTCATCAAAGGAGAATTCTTCCACTGGTTCCTTCAACAGCCTCACCGTATTCTGTCGTGTAAAAAACTCTACTCGGGGGTTCTTCAACCTGACTGTCTTGTGATAGGAATGGTGCTTTCCACCCTTCCAATCTTCTTTCGTCCCAAATAGCATAGCTCCATTCCCAGTCAGTCTCAGCTTGTCGATCGTAGTCAATAGACTCTTCAAGAGAGTTTCCGGGGCCATAGCCTACCAGCCATGCCTTCATCCAGCCTACAGAAGGCTTTTCAAGAGGCGGCAAAGTAGACCAGAGCTGTTCAAAATATGTAGTCTCATGCAGGTCCGCCGGTTCAATAAACGGGAAACGGTCCTCCCACAAAGATTCGATCCTGAGTCCAATGAATGGTCCGGCCCAGAAAGCCCTTGTATTTTGGCAAATGATGTTACGTCGTGATATCCGATCTGTATGTAGAATGCGATATAAGAACTCCGGTCCCAGCCCCGCTAATCCATCGAAATGGTCATCGAAGTGAATAAGGTCACGTTCAGATTCAATTTCGCAAGGTGCAGGTGGTCTTTGTTCTTTAGGAAGGACATCGCTGAAGTACTTGCATGGTGTAGCTTTACAGAGCTTTCGTAAATCATCCGCAATCTCTTCAGAAATAACAGTGATTTTGTCCGTGAGATAACCTAGTACGCTGCCCATTTCCTCGTATTCCCAAGGGGGCATCGTGCCATAAAACAGCCGATATGCGTTCTGCATAATAGGCCGCTTTCCCTGCGATCTTGGTCGATCTATTGATTTATCTTCGGCGTCACCAAATTGCCAGACTTTTCCATGCCCACATGAGTCACAGCTTGGGTTGTTGAAACACCTAATGGGATCCCCGAAGATATTCTTCATAATCTGAAGTCTGCATATTGCCCTCAAGAAACGATACTGTTCTAAAGGAGACAGTTGCAAGGGCAGATAGTTATTTCGCCATTTAACAGGCTCAATCCATGGAGGCCTCGGTGGATTGTGTGAAAAGTCCTCAATAAAGAAAGACAACATTTTCCGGAAATTGAGCAGCTTTATAATTTCCTCTAGCCCATCCGGTTGGTTTAATTGGTTCGATGGAGATTGGCTGGACTCGCAGATCTCATCTCTACGACGCCAGCGATCCAGCAGGGCGATAGCATTCTCTCTCTGAAAAGTATAATGCACGCTTTTAGACCGTATTGCAGTGAGCGCTTCTGCTAGGCTAAGATATCCAAAAAATTGCTGCTTTACATGAGAGTCGAGTAGCTCATGTCTGACCACGAGGTATGCCTGGTGAAAGGCAGGCGATGAAAATACGATGGATTTGAGAGAGTCAATGTTATGCACTTGGAATAATATGAGAATCTTCAATTCGTTAGGAAGACCCTCAAGCGTCGGTTCAGCCTTGAGAAAGTGTTAGACTAACATGATGACACTAGGTGCTGTAAGCTCACCATATCTCATGAATATGCAGTGGGCAGATGCCTTGGAGGGGAAGTGAAGGAGGGGTTGGAGAAAGCAGAAATCTTAATCCTTCCGAGGCTTCAGAGTCGAGGCGCTTTGTCGTTCTTACGTAGGAGGATCAACTATCTGTATCCGAAACATAGAACCAGGCAGGAGCAACATCGGCATGATGCTCGTCAATCACCGCCGTATGACGAGAAGCCGCGCGGTTGTCAATAAGATATCCTCATCCAATCGATGGGGCGGTGAGTGACGGTGGTGCGGGTGGAGTTCCCCTCGATGGGTCTATTTCTGGACGACTGGCGGTTATCGATACTGGTCCCAAGCAGATGCGGACAGGGCGACCGGAGGGCCAGCGGAACATCTCATGAGTCTGGTCCATGACGCTACGAGAGGATTCCAGAATAGTCAATGGAAGGGGAGATGAAGGGAAGGAGGGTATTGATTTGGAGGGGACGTTAATTGTATTTTTTCTTTATTTGTTTTCATTTTTATTTCAGGGCCGCCACTAATTCATCCACGCTCTTCATCTCCCGGTCGTTGTTCTCGCCCACATCGAGGGCCACTAGAAAACGGCTCACGCAGTTATAGCCCGCAATGCCGGTGGTGAGTTCGACGATCTCGCGGTCGTTGAGGCCCACAGTCTGCAGCTGGGCAAACACCGCGTCCTGGACCTTGATGGTGCGTGTCATCTGGTCGGTGTATCGCAGGACCGCGCGCTGTGTCGGCGTCAATGGACTTGTCTCTAACTCGGTCACATCACCCTCGGCGGTGCAGGGCAGCGTGCGGGCGGCTTGGAGCTGATCGGGCTGGACCCCGCCCTTCAGAGCGAGAGGGGCATGAGCGTTCCACTCATAGACCGCCCCGTTCAACACGGCGACTCGGCACACGGCGAGCTCGAGGAGGCCCAGATCAACAATGGTGCGCGTGCGGATGGCGCCGAGGAAGCTGTTCCAGCCATCGGCGACGGGTGGACTATGCAGCAGCGACAGGTCGAGCGGAATTAGAGGGCGCGGGTTTCGCCGCGCAGCGATGCGGGCATAGATTTCGGCGGTGTCGGCATCATCCGCGGCGGGCGGGGTTGACGGAGCGTAGGGGAGACGCATGGCGCGGATGTGTGTCGCGCTTGGGAGGAGACGAGAGTAAAGAGGGCCGTGAAAGAGGTCGAGGAGGCAAGGGAAACCAAAGCGTGACGGACGAGGGAGTCGTCGCAGTGCATACATCGGCCTCTGGGGGGGTTTTGGAGGGGAGACCGGCTATCGGGTCGAGTCGTCACTACCGAAATGCCTGACCAGCGTCGCTGCCGAGACCGGGAGAGGGTTTAGCCGGGCTCTGCAGCACATTGGGTTCCCATCGCTTACTTCGTTTACGGAGTATACACCAACACCATTTCTTTGTGTGCTGCTAATACTGTGAATCGTCGACTGGGAATTCTGGAGAAAGGCACCTGTTCACTGTGTTGATCCACTGTGTCCGGGGTGGTAATTCTCTTGAAATATCTGTAGTTCTGGACATGTTAACCCAAGCCACAGACAAGCCTTGGTCGTTGTAGAAGCGGTAGTATACCAACAGCACTATGGGGTCTACAGGATGCCTATTGAGCAATGACCCGCAACCACCGTCAGGGACGACCCAGAGACAGAATATACAGGCTGGGAACGGGAGAAACACAAGCGGGTTGGAGTGGGGACTTCCCCGTGGGGTTTGAGAAGGTAAATCGCCAAACTACGGAAGGACAGGATTCTATCGCATCATAGGCCTAGGCTGTAAGGCCATGGATCCAGAGAGTATCATGCAACCAATGGCATAGATAGCTTGAGATTCTGCATATGAAGGCTACGGGCTAGATAAGTCTGCCAATCGACCCGCTTAGTATTCGTCGGAGTCATATTCATCGTCGACCAGCAACGATCGGTACCCCCGCGAGGCAAGATTCGCCTCCAATCCACCATCGGATGCAGGGTCAAAGTATCCTGTGCAAAAGAAAAAAAAATTAGTCAGTAGGTAGAATGATACTAGGTCTCAGACAAAGAACGTACCGCCACCACCGAAATAGCTGAGGGTAACTGGAAGGAAGATGAGAGCGTGGATGGCAGCGAACACCACCAGCGCCAGCCATACTCGGAAGTAGTAGATCTCGAAAATCTTGCTGCGCGTAAATGCCAGAACACACACGCCAAGCAGTTTCGTGATCGTAATGCCGCTGAAAACACTGCCGCCCACGTTGACCAAAGCAGCCCAAGCACGAGCATCTTTACCGCGGAAGGAAGCCGGGGCCTTCTCGAGCAATGTTCGCGAGGGAAACATGAAGGCGCGGGCAATATGGGCGCAAAATTCAACTGAAATGCCAACACAAATGACGAGGTTGACCAGGGAGACCGCATTCAGAGACACGCCCGCAAGGGCCATGGTGCCAATGATGTCAACCACAGTCATTACCACTACAGTGGTAATGACCGCACCGGTCGCGATCGAACCCAGAATGGCGGAGGTGAGAACAAAGATGATGGCAACAGCCGATCCCAGTAAGGTACCAGTCAGGCGGACGACGGACACATACTGGTCGAAGAAGATGTAGAACTTGGAGTAAGGGAACACATCAATGTGGTGGGACTGTGAGAGTCCATCGGCAATTCGACGAGCTGCAATGTATGCCTGAATGAAGTCATCCTGGCTGCGAAGGGGAATGTGGCTGGTCCGGAAATGGCTGGCATTTATCATGGTATGTCGCGAGTCGATTACGAGCGCGTTGCTATAGGGAGCTTGCCCCCCGAGGGGGCAGGATGCGGTCGTGGGTGCATCAATCCATTTTTGGGCGTAGTGGATGAACTCCGACCCAGTCGGCATGCCATATAACGTGAGGTTCCATGGATGAGAGCGACCCTCAAAGCACGTCTTGCCGTTTTCTTGACAGCAATCTTGTTGGGGATTCAACCAGTAAAAGAAATCATCGATCCAGCTGGCCGCCGATCCAGTGAGGTAAGACACATTCGGCCGCTTGACTTCCTGTTCCAGAACAAATGGAAGGGAGTACTCTTCACAGGTGGTGAACCGTCCGCAAAGCTGCCGTTGGTGTTTTCGCTCGGTGATATTGACATCGCGAGTGACGAAGTATACCGGAGGACCAGTGCGGAAATACGCGTCGAGGTCATTAAAATATGAGATCAAGTATGAGTCGCTCGGGAGCGCAATTCGCTGGTCCAGCCCGAGGGCGACCTGGGGAATCAATGCCAACCCGGCTGTGAGGAGACCCAAGAAAGCAAGGACAACGACAGCCTTGACGCGGCGATCAAGAAGGAACGGAGCATAGACCCGACGGATGAAGCCTTGCAAGGTACTTTCCGCCTCATGCTCGTCATAGATCTGCTCCGCCGGTAAGCCATTTGAATTGGCTTTCCTGACAGTGAGGCAGGGGAAACAGTCGGCACGAAGGCTCTGTACTCGTCTCTGGTTGAGGGCAAGGACAGAAATAAACATGGTCATCTGCAGAATGGCGTTGATGAACACGGCGCCCGCTGCATACGCTGCGAAATTCTTGACCGCAGGCATACCAACAAAAGCTCCGAGAGCAAATGCCACCGTTTCAGTCAATGCGGAGAGAAATACGCTGGGTCCAATCCTGCCCACAGCGCGAGCAACTCTCTCATCGATCTCTTCGTCAGGGTGGCTGAAGTTAACGCGCTCGAATTCGTGGACGATCAAGAAGATATTGTCCACGCCCACAGCGAGAACCAAAAAGGGAATGACCTCGGCAATGATCAGGGTAACTTTGACGCCCGCAGCGGAAAAGAGTCCAACAGAGGCAGAAACCGACATTAATACAATCAGGATACCTGCAATGCCTAACGTAAATTTGGACTGCACAAGGGCATTGGCAGGGTTGTTAAGGAGAGATCGCCAGGTCACCGTGACGGAGCCCAATGCGATTGAGGCATAGAGAAACATGATGACATAGCTGATAACAACAATTTTTGCATCAGTGTTGGTCGATTTATTCAACTCCTGTTCCAGGCTGACTTCGGCATTGAATGAGACGCGTAAACCACGTTGGGAGGCTTCTTCTTGAACATCAGCAAAGAGATGGCGGAAGCTATTCTCCCAGTCAACTGCTTTTTTCTCTTTTTCAGTGCCTTGGGCAAAGTTATTCACTACCCATGTAACAACCAGAGCTCGGGCATCGAGGACGTTGTCGGTGTCTTCATAGCCGCCCAAAATCATCTCTGGTTTGAGAGGCTGCTTGAAGTCGGGAAGGCAGCTAGGGTCGCCGGGAGATTCTGTACAATGGCGCAGGCGATTCGTCCACGTATCAGGGTCAAGGTTGGCGACAGATCCTCCAAAGTAACCAGTTAGGGATTGCACAACACAAGTATCCCCAGTGGGCTTGAAGCAGACGTCATCCAGATTCAGGCCTTGATCCAACGAGATCATACGTCGCACCCGAGATTCCACATCAAACCACCACGCAAGAGTGTCATACTCGAGAACTGGGCCACTATCATTTACCAAGAATGCTTGCTCAGCCCGGTAGAAAGGCCCAAAGTTCTTGTCAAAGAACTCTTTTTCCTGTGCAGCAGCAGATGAAGGACTCACCCAGAGGCGGACCGGGTCGGTTTCGACAGTGAATCGTAGCCAGCCCAGGCTCAAAATCACCACAACAATAAGGCTGGAGCCAATGGTAATGGCTGGAAATCGAGCACACGCTCCTCCAATACGGTGAAATAAAGCAGAGAGCCAAGAGTTGGGCTTATAGACCCCATGAAGCTGTTCCAAATACCCGCCCCGACGGACAACCTCGCCTTCGTCATCATCGTCGCTTGGATGAGGGTCCTGTAGGAGACGCACTCGCTCCGGTTTGCGGAACCGACGTTCTTTGTATGTGACATAGCTAGCGAGCCCCATCACTAGTACCAAAAATGTCGAGTAGATGATAATCACCGCAAACGAGAGGCATGGCAGGAGGCCCACATGGCAGGCCTTCTCAATGGACACTGCAGGTAACTCCGGGCACACGTCCGGGCAGTCGACGCAGGAACAGCGATAAGATTTGTCTGGGTCGTTGCAAGACTTGGGCTTCAAAGGAAGAGCCTTCATGCTGTCGGCACCGGGTCCATTGGGCTCGGTCAGGTAATTTATCTGGAAGGGGCTCCCGAGTAATTTCTTGTCTCCCAAAAACTTGAGAAACTGGGAATAGTTCTTCGCACCCCCGCCGATGAAGTCAATAGCCTTGCCACCAGAAGCGCCATTCTTAACGTTCTTGCAACTGTCAAAAAAGCCGCTCTGGTACTCCTCGGTCCATACGTTGTCTAGCTCCGTCACGAGTTTCTTTCCGGAGTTGTTTTCTTCGGCAGTCGTGACGTTAACAAAAAGCGACTGGTCCGGCGAGCAAGTGAAAGTGCAGAATATATTAAAGAAGTTTTCTCGGCACGCTGGACAGGAGGCAATGATACCTTCCGCCAGTTTCAGATTGCTGGACAACGCGTCGATCTAGAAACGAGAGTTTTAGTAACACGACTGTAGAACATGGATGGCAACGAGGGGGATGTCACAACGGAGGCACTCAGAAAGGGAGTCTGACCTGCTCATCACGACAACAGACGGGGCCTTCCTCCCATTTGTGCCCGCATAATCCAACCAACTTTTTTCGTGTCTCCTCCTCGGGTTGGTGCGCCAGACCATTGTCAGGGCAGGGAAGCTCTCCACCAAAAATCGACTTCTTGCCGCAGTGGCCACGAATCGCACATCGACCTTTTTCATGGATCTTCGTTTCGCCCTGGGCGCCGACCGAAAGGGGTTGCAAGACCAGAGAGCCCAGGGCCAACAGGGCCGAGCCCCAGCCCAAAGGTCGCATCTTCTCGGGAGACTGGAGAGGTTGACGAATGATCAACGCGTTTGTTTACTCAAGAACCGGATTGCTCTGGTCATGTCACGGTCCGATCAATAGTCCATGCGGGCCAGCCCAGGCAAGGTGGAGACGGGTCGCGGGCGCGGGGCCGACCTTCAAAAGGCTGGGGAAGACAAAGTGCACCAGGAAGCACCTGATCACAAAGAGGACACCTAAATAACCAGGCCAAATCGACTGAGATAAGTCACAAGAGAAAATTTCGACCAGGTTTCAGCCAGGTGTGCGCGAACTGCCTGGGTGAAAGATGGAGGAAAGCTTCGGAAGCTCGGGGGAACCTGGAGACAAGTTGACGGAACCCAACGATGATGACGTTGACCCGACCGCCCTGACACGTGACCAGGTGACGGTCCCTTGGGAACATAAGTGAGCTTCTAAGACTAGTTAAACTGTCCTGAACAACTAAAAGAGGTTAAACACGTTGGTGTCACGTGAAGCCGCTCATACACATCAATAAGCATTTGGGGCATTTCGAAGAGGATACAGTCACCATAGAATTTTGAAGATCCAATGTGAACAAGGCAAACAATGGTGGATCACCTAAGGGTGTTGTCAAAGCAACCTCCATTTGCAGCATCCAAACACCCACAGTTTAACCCTATCTCTTTCTGTGAGGTATTTTCATCACTTCAAGCTCGAAGCACCATCGCATCATCCGGAACCTGTATCGTCTTATGCTAGTCAATGCGTAAATCTTGCTCACGTTGAAGCAATCTTTGAATTCGCCCCGGAGATTTACGCCGGGTGGTGCGCAAAGGTTGAGGATCTGCCTGGGAAACTACCAATACTCAGAACTCTTGGTGACTACGGTTCAGTGGGCGCCCACTGAGCCGTATTCTGGAACTCTTGCTAGGGCCGAAGTTCAGCCTCAGGCACAGAAATGTGGCATTCTCTTCTACGGAGATACGGATGACTTCAGCTTTAGATCGACTTTGAACCCGTATATCGCGAGGGTATCGATTACACTACCTTGCTTCGATACCGGCAATGGAGTCTGGAAGACTCAAAAAATCATTGAAGGATGAGGTGATGATCGGAACCAAGATGGCCATCCATTACACCGAGCCAGAAAGAGCATTCCAAATTTCCCATAGTCTTCATCTCAGAATCTTTATTGGCTTCATGAATGGATCACTGAATAGCCTCTTCGCAATATCGTGAAAGCGCTTCATTAGAATGAAAGAAGCCGTAGTGCAAACTTATTTTTGGAAGCTCCGCCTAGCCTACCAGGTGTGCAAACTTAGTACTTAATTACCACCTGATGTTTTTTTGAGTTCTATAATATGAGATGATTTAAATTGTTACAAAGCTGGGAAGATACTGTCCATATTAGCTCATTCGAGAAAGTCTGTGGAATCCACTTTTTTCTAGAAAAGAGGGCCAGGAGGCAGACAATTCCACATGATATCCCCGGGTAAAGAACGCCGAGAGGCAGAGGGTACCAGGAGGCGGGTAATGGCTCATGATATACACGATTCTAGAGAAACCGTGCTGTGGTTTCGGTAAACAGCGCCGGGAGCCAGGTGCTGAGACACGGTATGGTTGAATGAAACCGTAACGGGGCACGCAACATCGACGGAGGACTGAAAAACCTAAATAGCATAGTCTCTCTTGAAAAGCCTAGGCCTTTGAGTCGGCTGGACATGATATGCTAGGTTGAAAATCTGAAATATGTGATTAGTGATAGCAATTTATAATTCTCTTTAGTTTTTTGCGATGTCAAAGACAAGATAATCATAACAATCTCACGAAGATGTAGACATTTCTTCGCGTATTTGAAGCTGCAGGGAACTTTTGTCGGAGATTATCGTGAATCACATGTTAGCGGAATTATAATCCTCGTAATCCGAAAGGGATCTAAGCCAGCAGTTGGGTATTCAAGTTGCTTCACCCACCACCCCGCCGATAGGCCTATACTGCCATTTCATATGCCTTCTCTGTTGTTCTTTACGTCTCCATCGATTGTAATCTCTAAGGTCTGTCAAATAAGGTCTTTTACCTCCTATGGATTTCAGTGGCTAAGATCGCTTCAGATTCATCCTTTCAACCATGGCCCAAACCCAACTTGTTATCAATGCTCTATCAAAGTTGAAAGACCCCAAAGTCGAGTCAACGCTAGATCAATTAGCCAAATGGCTAAAAGGCGCCGAAATGGAGCAAGGGACATACAGACGCTAGCGAAAACAGCTTCTACCCTGATGACAACTTTTCTTTTCTCGGGTCCCACTGCCAAGCGACTAGCGCATGGTAAGTACTCCACTACTGTTATGTCCTCTTGAAGACGCAGCTTGGAGAGCATTGGCGTATTCTCCACCTTGGGCGTTGATCTCAGCTCCTTTCTCAACCAGCAACTGCACAATCTTGTCATGTCCTCCAAGAGATGCAGCATAGAGAGCATTGGCGTATTCTCCACCTTGGGCGTTGATCTTAGCTCCTTTCTCAACCAGCAACTGCACAATCTTGTCATGTCCTTTATAAGACGCAGCTTGGAGAGCATTGGCGTATTCTACATCTTGGGCGTTGATCTCAGCTCCTTTCTCAACTAGCAACTGCACAATCTTGTCATGTCCTTCATAAGACGCAGCTTGGAGAGCATTGGCGTATTCTCCACCTTGGGCGTTGATCTCAGCTTTTTTCTCAACTAGCAACTGCACAATCTTGTCATGTCCTCCAAGAGACGCAGCTTGGAGAGCATTGCCGTATCTTCCACCTTGGGCGTTGATCTCAGCTCCTTTCTCAACTAGCAACTGCACAATCTTGTCATGTCCTTCATAAGACGCAGCTTGGAGAGCATTGCCGTAATATCCACCTTGGGCGTTGATCTCAGCTCCTTTCTCAACCAGCAACTGCATAATCTTGTCATGTCCTCCAACAGACGCAGCTTGGAGAGTATTGCCGTAAAATCCACTTTGGGCGTTGATCTCAGCTCCTTTCTCAACCAGCAACTGCACAATCTTGTCATGTCCTCCAAAAGATGCAGCTTGGAGAGCATTGCCGTAAAATCCACTTTGGGCGTTGATATCAGCTCCTTTCTCAACCAGCAACTGCACAATCTTGTCATGTCCTCCAAGAGACGCAGCTTGGAGAGCATTGCCGTATCTTCCACCTTGGGCGTTGATCTCAGCTCCTTTCTCAACCAGCAACTGCACAATCTTGTCATGTCCTCCAACAGACGCAGCTTGGAGAGTATTACCGTAAAATCCACTTTGGGCGTTGATCTCAGCTCCTTTCTCAACCAGCAACTGCACAATCTTGTCATGTCCTTCAAAAGACGCAGCTTGGAGAGCATTGGCGTATTCTCCACCTTGGGCGTTGATCTTAGCTCCTTTCTCAACCAGCAACTGCACAATCTTGTCATGTCCTCTAAGAGACGCAGCTTGGAGAGCATTGCCGTATGTTCCACCTTGGGCGTCGATCTCAGCTCCTTTCTCAACCAGCAACTGCACAATCTTGTCATGTCCTCCAAGAGATGCAGCATAGAGAGCATTGCCGTATCTTCCACCTTGGGCGTTGATCTCAGCTCCTTTCTCAACCAGCAACTGCACAATCTTGTCATGTCCTCTAAGAGACGCAGCTTGGAGAGCATTGGCGTATTCTCCACCTTGGGCGTTGATCTTAGCTCCCTTCTCCAGCAAGAGCTGCACGACATTCTCATAGCCATTCTGGGAGGCCAAGGTAATAGGATAGCTTCCAGTGCTATCGGTCGAATTGATGTCCTTTCCACCAAGAGAGAGTAAGAACGCAACCTCCCGCTCATGTCCGTTAAGCGATGCCAAATGTAAAGCAGTCATTGATGGTGGATACCTGTAAGTCTCTATAGCCCTCCAAAAGATGGGGAACCATAACGAAAATCCTTTTCTACTTGTATTGTACATCTGGAGAACTTGACTGGTCGCTTCTTGGTCTTGGGTCAGACTCATCTTTCGTTTGTGGTCCGGCCAATATGATGCTGAGTAATTTAAAAAGCTTCGAATGTTAGAGTTTGAGTCCTCATCATCGCGTTCCAGATCCTCCATCAGCAGGTATCGCAAACAGATAACAGCCATTTGATCCTCGGAGTCAGTCAAGCTCCAGGAGTATAATAAGTTGGCGCTGTTAGAACTACTCTTCTGGACAAGAAATTCCCTTGCTGTCTGATGAATCAAGTAGATCTTGGAGTTGTTGATGAAAACAAAAAGACCACATAATCGACGCAGCTTTCTCTCGATCCGGGATGGCTCAAGTCCAGCCTCTGCTGCAGTCCGGGATTGTGGAGAGATGGCTATACCGAGCGCCATGGCCATTTCCGTTGTTGTCAAAGGGCGCCGTGCTGCCACGATAAGTTGTAAAATCTTTCTCGCAACTTCCACTTGACGGGATGGCACTCGACTAAGGATTTTCTCATATGCCTCATTTACTGATCGAGGTATTACCTGCATTGGCTCCTCAGCTGGGCGAAGGCTATCCTCGAGTGTAGATCGAATGTCATCCATAGCTAAATGTAGCCAGAGATATGTACGGTGCTCCATTTGCAGAAGCTGTTGCTCCAGCCGCTGCTCTGTGTCCCTTGACAGCTCCGCTCTTTTCGCGAGCTCCTTCACTCGTATCTTCACAACAAGATCAATTTCTTGGTGAATCTGATCATTTTCCTTCTCCCCCCTTAGGTGGATGTGCGGGAAAGTGTCCGTAATCGCTTGGAAACCATTCTGGATATCATCATAGGGGCGACTGGTGACCAGATATTTTAACCAGGTATCCTGTGTCTGCGGATGTGGCAAGCTGTGAAATGACTGGAGCTTCTCAATTAGCCGATTCTGATCAATCTCACGGCATTCATCAAGCGCATCGAATATGCAAATTGTCTTGCAAGATTGATCAGCTAAAACGGCGCTTGTGAAAATTCTCCACAATTCGTCAACCTCTTGTCGGAGTTTCTCCCCACTCTTTTCCCAAGACGGTATAGCATGACGTAACAGCTGAGGCCGCTGGCTAAAAAGCTGATGGAGTACCGAGCAAAGTGCTGGAGCAAGATGATTCTGTTCATCGTTGTCTTTGAAGAAAAAGTAACAGATTGTCACTTCTGGACAGGAAGTTTCTAAGCAGTCTTCGATTATCGATCGGGACAGTACAGACTTCCCACAGCCTGGGTCGGCCGACACCCAGAGAAGATCGTTGCAGCTGCTCTCCGACCAACGAGTGTACTCAGGACTCTGTAGAGCCCATAGGCAGGTTCCTTCCTCTTTTCTGGGATTGATGTTCTTTTGCTCCTCATAAGTTGATACCTTGAATGTTTGATGACAGCGGTGTTGCTGGTCCGTCAAAGCAAACGTAACCCTCTCGCGATGATGTTCTTCTTGTTGACGGTATGCATGGTCTAGGCGTTGATTTGTGCCTTTGATTTCGGCCTTTAACCCGTCTACATAGAGCCCATAGAGCCTTGTAAGCGAGTTATCCTTAATCCAGGACTAGCTAAGCTAGAATTCATTTCACTTACTGCATATATCTACTACCAAGCTCTCTTGTGAAACATGACCAACAGGGACATAGCCTAGTAGCTCTTTGGTATAAGCTGCGGCTGCTAGGGCAGCATATCCCTGCCATTCCTTGTTCTTGTGCGAGTCGGCATAGTCACAAATGCCGCGGATGACAATGCAGGGAAAGTCCAACATCAGACCAGCTGCCTCCATTTCGAAGCATAATGCTCCGGTCTCCAAACGAAGTTGCTCTCTTGTCCGCCCGTGCTTGACGACCTTGTTACCAGAAGCAATTATGCCATAGTGGGGTTGTGGATCATCATCTTCGCGTTCATCTCTAGTCTCTTCCCATTCCACTAGACATTCATCACAGCTGCTCGCACTAGTGGGATGATCACATGTCGCCCGAAAGAGTCGATCGGACTGTGCAGAAGGCCGGCTAAAATTTCTTCGAGTTCGAGCGGTTCTTCCGATTGCGCGTCGGAGATATTCCGGGTAGTGGGGGTCGTCCCTTAGTCCGGCAGCTCTCATTGTACCCACTGCAGTCAATAGTGCCCTTGGCGGACTGTTCAACAAGCCAGTTCGTTCAAATTCACCATTTAAAACAATCTTGCCCATATCATATTGAATCACCCCACCACAAGTAGCCTGGGGACTGCTAATCACAACATCACCAAGGCGGATATCATGAGTAGCCGAAGGAATTCCACCCCCAATGCCGACCATCAGTCCGATTCGAAGTGACTTGGAGAAGGATCGAAGCATGTTATTTGCGACCGTAGCGGCGGAGGTGGTTCCGTACTGGCCTACAGGGAGACAGGCGATCACGACGTAATGTTTGCCGATTCGGCCCAACGTATAGGTATTCGAATCCGCTGCATCTTGCTCCTCAAGAATCCCAAAGTGCTCATCTAGCATTTCGGCGGCGGCTGCAGCCTCGATTGGAAGAGCACAGATCCAGCCAATTTGGAAAGCATCTCGCGGAGGACAGGCCATGGAGATGTTCTGGCGTGGTTTCAGGAGAGGAATAGTGTATCGACGAGAATATTACGAAAGTTTGATTAGCGACAGAGGTTGAAGAGTTATCTACTGGGTTACAAGAGAAGAGCCCCATTGCAAGGCAGACAGCAGCTGCCCAGTCACCAGCAGGAGCGACTCGCTTGGGCTAAGGGGGGAGCACAGGGCGGCAATGGAGCGAATGCTAGTTATTGGAGAAAGCGATCGATCAGCCTGTAGCCTGTGGAGCCACACGTGACAATGTGGTCCGTGACCGACTGACGTGGCACGACTGACAGAGCCTGTCAGCAATGAATGGTAGCTGAGCACCGTCGAGTAGATATGGCACCAACACTTGAAGCATGGCGACTCGAGCTCATTCGCGACATGACCCAAGACTTTAAGCAGTATACTAACGCGCAGATTGCTGAAGCTGCCCATTGTACCCCACGATCAATCAGCACTGCCCGCTCGAACCTACGATGCTTTGGAAATGTTAGGGCCTCTACTAACGGTATTGGACGACGGCGGACGATCACCCCACCTATGCTTGAGGCTCTCTGTGAGCGCCTCCTCAAAAAGCCGGACTTATATCAGGATGAAATGGTGGTGTTCTTGTGGGATGAGTTCCGCATTCTTGTCACTATACATAGCATTAGCAGAGCGCTCGTATCGGTGGGATGGTCTAAGAAGGCTGCAAGGCGGATAGCGAGGGGGCGAAATATTGAACTACGAGACTATTATCTTCACACCATCTTGTCTTTCCGATCCTATCACCTGGTGTATGTGGAGGAGTCGGGCTGTGATAAAAGATCGGGCTTCAGACGGACTGGGTGGTCTCTACTAGGAGTGACACCCGTGCAGATTGCTCAATTTCACCGCGGGCAGCGATATCAAATACTACCGGCATATGCCTAGGATAGTGTCGACTTTGCACGAGTTTTCCAGGGATCGACTGATGCGGTTGTGTTTGAGGATTATATACGGCAACTTCTACATAACTGTCACAAGTGGCCAGAGCCGAAATCCGTTCTTGTCATGGATAATGCTTCTTTTCACCGTATTCGGCAAATTTGTTCCGCGGCCGGGGTCAAATTGGTGTACTTACCACCCTACTCCCCAGATCTAAACCCTATTGAGTTCTTTGCTAAGCTCAAGGCTTTCATTAGACGACACTAGCTGACGTATGAAGAGAATCCGGACCAGGTTTCAGTGCCTACCTTGAATAGTGTGTCGATGTAGTTGTATCAAGGGAGAAAAGCGCGAAAGGCCATTTCCGACATGCAGGCTGGAATATCGACGAGCCGTGACAATCAAAAATATTTTTCTTCTAGTTTATAGTCTATCTCCTATGTTGCACCTACAACTCTCGACCCAATACTGAATGTCTCCAACAAAACGGCGAGCAATACCTCTTTTGATACCGTTCTTAATGAAAAATCCCGGGTCCTGATCCTTGTGGATCTGGACAAGATCCAGTCCATCTTCGAGGGCAGTATCGCGAGCTTTCCCGAACTCTTCCTTTAGTCCGTTATTATTTACTTGAGATTGCTGCCAGTCACTATATTCAGCAACAGCAACATCCCGCAGACCAGGGACTCCGGGGCGGTCTTTCTAGACACGAAGTCGGCATCGGAGTCGGTGTAGCTGGCACAGAAAGAGGAGAAGCCTGCGCAGGAAGAACGTTGGTGATGTTGATAGGGGGATAACCATTAGTGGACTGAGCGCCTCCCTTTTGCCTCTCAAATCGCTGCTGCTCCTGTATATATAGCTTTTCACGGATTGATTCAGGGACGTCATCGTGGGATTTTAACAGACCACCTTCCTCCGCGTACCTCACAAGGGCCCTCAGATTTTGTACTGTCAGCTTAATATGCTTCTTGCTTATAGGATCACGCCAGCAATGCGGTCCCAGCTCACATGCTCCACTGGAGCACTGCATCAGGCTGTAAACATGGTCCTAAGTAGGAGGTTGCCCATTCGCCTGTTCTTCTGCACTAATATTTGCTTGTCGCTCAAGCAACATCAACTAGGTAGCAGATGAGGCCCCTCTTTATCTGCTCCTCTTGGACTAGGCCTTGAGATATGATTGCCCTCGGTATAGTTGAATGGCATACTCAGTGTTAGTTTCTTCCCAGCATGGAAAAGATCACCCCACACGAAAAGCTGTTTCTCCACAGCGGGCCAATCTATTTCTGTTTTGTCACAGGAGAGAGTGAGGTCTGGCTGATTTCGGTGATTCACCGATACGACGACGGTTATATCATCTAATTCAACACTTTTCTGTGCAAATTTCTTGCCTGCAACTTCCTTTAACTTGGGCCCTAGAAAAAGACGCTAGTGGAACCGTGGAGCCAACACTAGGTCTTGCTCTGTGCTTTTCCAGATAGATTTGTTGTTGTTGAGACTCATCTTCCACACAATCGAATAGTGTATACAGGTGGGTGGAAGCTCATCGTACAATTTTCCTTCTTCCTACTCAGTCAACTGAAGTAATTGAATCTGGTTTGTTTAAGGCGACCGGCGCTGTGGGGAAAATTCGTCATCTGGGCGGTCATCTGGGCTAATCGAACTAATCACCGAGGGGGTCTGACAGATGCCATATCCAGGGGTCGGGGCATATTCTGGGGTCGGGGCAAAGAGCGATGATTGGCCGGGATAGTCATACGAATCAAATAAGAGTGGATCATTATGAGCGTCGAATAGGCTACGCATATTAATGCAGCTATTCAACCAATAATTAAGATCATCGTGCATCGAGAGGCTTTCGCGGAAGAGGTGGATCTTTCGCTTTGGTTGATACTCTTTGATTCTTACCTAGAAAAAGCGGCCGCTGAAAAGAGAGCACAGGCAAACAAAAAAGTCTGTGGAATAAGCAGCATCTAGTGACAGCATTGATAGGCTACACAGCCGTTCTCTTCAGTCTGATCACAGAGCCCTACGCGGGACGATGAGGTTGGACGCCTAGGACGCAGACAGAACAGCGTGTTTGCCTTGTTTGCACGTAGATCTTCCAGGTGCAAGGGTATTCCATGAGATGATCGACCACTATTCCCGATTAGGATAGCATCTAAGATTAGAGGCCCTCACAAATCTGCGTCTCTTTCCCATATCATGACCGAAGAGAATAAAATTTCGATTGAGGTTGAAACGGAAAGTTTATCATAAAGCAATTAATAGACATCAACTTGTTGACGCTTGTATTGGTGCTAATTACAAGTGAATAATGCGTAGATATATCTTCCAACATTTGCGCAGTCAAAGAATTTGATGTTTGAAACCATCAATCTACTTTCCAAGTTATCGATGCAATATCAATTTCTAACGTACTTCTCTTAATCAACATACTCCTCGGCCTTTTTTTCTCAGGAAGATGGCGAGGCAAGCTTCAGTTGATAGAATGCCACGTCAAACCCCTTATGTGACCAAACACTGGACTCGTACAGTCCTGCAGAAGAAACAAGCTCCTCTCGCTCCTCCTCGTCGTATTTGTAGCTGCAACCGAATCGGACTTTCTCATCGCGCCGAACAACGACCTGATTCGAAGGGGACTGCAATGTCACCTCGCGCGAGGTAGGAATTAAAGAGGCTTCATGTCTGCCCAGGACAAAATTCCATTCACTGAGATATTGCCATTCATGGGGATTGAAAATGGCTGACTGGCCCAGGCCATACTGCTTTTCGGCAAGATGATTGCCATACTTCAAGGACGCGAGAGCAAAGGGAACCACACCATCTGCGGTGTATGCGCGAAGTACCTTGGTTGGAACTTTGCAACTATCGAGAGCCATGATGATAGAACTTTGATCCGGAGACCGGGCCAAAGCCTTTTGTGCAATATTGCGCAGAAACTCCGCTGCATTCGAGCGAGAGAAGTTACCGATCGTGAGACCGAATAATAGCAAGCAATGAGGGAGATTCTGAACATGAGGGGTCTCATCTAGCCAGTGAAGTCCGTCTTCAAAAGTTCCATGAAGACCACCTAGGCGTACATAACGAAATTTGCTTTGGGGGATTGCTTGGAGAGTTGATTCCAGTTCCTCGAAACTTAGATCGAGCGCATAGTAGGTAACGGACTTGCGCGCGTCTTCAAGTGCCTCAAGTAGCAGAAGAACCTTGTCCAAGGAACTGTTGAAACTGTTAATAATGACAATGACGGAACGGAACAGATAGAAAGGAGACTGACGCGCTTCCCAGATCAACAACTATGCTCCCGTCCTTGATGGATGCAGCCATCTTCGTTGCCTCATCCCGAAGGATTTGTGTTTCTTCCTTCCTGGGATAAAAGTCGCTGGCATGAGAGTGTTGGTTCCAGTGCTGGATTCCTTCGGTACTATAGAATAACAGTGCTGGAAGCGTTTTGGGTTGACTCTTCAAGCCTTGCCACACCTGATCGAGAATGGAATCATCAAAGTTGCTGCGACGGATGTCGAGGATAGTGGGCGAGTTTGGTTTCAGCATGATGGCGTCGAGAGTTGCCGTTATAGTTTGTCGAAGGAAATCAGGAACCTCGAAGCAGAAGAATGGCCTTTTCCTCCTTTCATAATTCCGATCCGATTGATCTGAATATAAATCTGGCCCGGTGCGTAATTCTTTATTTTAACTATCCACGCCATGCAGAATTCTATCTGATTCCTTACATGCGACCCACACATTGAACAGCACCTGCCAACCGCCTTTGGTGAGGCAATCTCACGGAGATAGAGCCCCATGTAGTACAAAATAGCCAATATCACAACTAATTTTCAATCTGTATGCTCCAATGTACAACATTCGAGGTTTCTCTTCTTTCATCTCAGCCACTTCACGTTACACAACACCATCCCCTGATCGGCAATGGCTCAGCACCGACAAAAGGACTCGGGTTGTGTCAATACGAGGCCCCAGTCGGCTGACATTCGAGAGCATATGAGGGTTTTCTGTCAGTAATATATGAAATTCAGTATGCAAATAGACTTCTTGATCGTTTGATATAAATATTGACCGATGATAGTATCACGAATTCAGCAGCCGCATGTTGATGAGGATGCGGATAACGAAGCTCTTCTGCCTGGCTATTTCACAATAGCGTCAGTAGTTATTGCTCAATAAAAGAATTCAATTAGGAAACAAACTCTAGGCGATCACGTAAAGCAGCTCAAATGATATGGAAGAAGCGAGAGAACACAAAAAAAAGGAAGAAAAAGAAAATCATCTCGCAACCCTCCACGTTGCTTTCTTTCAGCTGAGAACAAGCAATACCAGTCACTTCCCAATTGCGGATGACAAGTAATCAAACTTATTGTGGCCTACCACGTGCAATTTGCAGCTTCATTCTAATAGAAAGAAAGAGCAAGAGCGACCGCAGACTATACCATTCCGCCTTTTACTCCCTCCCTTCACTCCCTGACGAGATTCCAGTCACGCACCGGGGGAAACGGATCGACGACCCGAAACCACCTTGCCTTGTATACCTTCATCTTCTCCTTAGCAATTCACTAAGATCCCGATGGCAGACTACCAATCAAGCTGGTATAAATACCGGCTTTCGAGAATTGGAGACCTTATTGACACAAGACCGATCCCCCAGGTGATCGAATCATTAGAAGCTGATTATGATCTTCTGAATCTTACCGATCAGAATATTTTCCGCGATCGCAACCTCTCACATGTGAGTATATACGTATATCTTTACCACCTACCTATACTTTATCTCTAAAATACTAGTAAAAAGTTAGTAATCTACTAGTTAAATTGCTCATTTCTATTAGATCAATCATCACCCGCTGATACCTAGCACAAATCCCCTTATTCCACTTACTACTGCTACAAAAAATCCGATGTCTACCGCAGAGATTGAATTTGTACCACTCCTACCCGAGTATCCACAAACACATCCAAATGGATACGCATATATAGTGAATCTTTCACATATGACAGAGACTGAGAAGAAATTTGCCTTAGACGCGGTAAGCCTTGACTTTAAGATACTAGTTTTTTACTAGTTGTTAACTAGTATTATTAGGTCCAATATAGTTCTATTCGAGAAGGATCAAATGATAATGTTTGGTGCTCATTCTTAGGTTGCTTTACGAAAAAGTGACGCTCTATCTGTACTGGTATTAAGTGCTGTGAATTCCTAGACCCTTTTCTACAAGGTATTTCACATACAAAGCTAGATAATGAGCTTGTTGGGAGAATCTTTGCTTTTCGGAAGACACAATTTGATAATATTCAATTCTCACAACGTCAACGCGGAGCAACGGGGTAAGTCCTCTAATATACTAGTTGAATACTAGTAACTAACTAGTATTTAGGCTTTATGAGGCAACACAGGCTAAGTTTAGTCAGAAGAAAGCATGTGCTGAGTATCGCTCAACATGTAAGCTTACTTTTGGTCAATACCCAGTCGCCGATATTAGTGGTTTATACCACCCCTATCTTGCATGTGTAAATTATACAAAAGAGAATCGATCAGAGCATTTTCATATCAGTTTGATAGGAAGGCAGTCTAGTCTAGACCTAACCCTTCTACAATATCTTATTGAAAAAGGCTCTTATCAAGATGAGTTTGAATACTGTTCGAAAATCTATCAAACTCGGAATCGGAAGCCTACATGCGGTATGAAACCTCAGACAAACTAGTAATTTACTAGTATATTTAAGATATTATACTAATATATCTTAGATTTAGTTCATCCACAAGGACGAGGGAAGATTATAAGTAATTTTCCCCCTTGTAAGGTTCAATTTCGATCCTTTATTCCTCATGATCTTGAAAGATATCCGTATGCGATATTCTACTCACGTGGAGTCCATAATCATGTTCCACCACCACCAAATCGGCCACCGTACGAGCTTATAAAGGATATATCATCCTTGATTTGCCGTATGCAAAGCCCTGATCTTACATTAAGTAAGCTCTATTCTTAATTTTACTAGTAAAAAACTAGTAAATAACTAATTCTTTTTAGATACATTTCTTCAAAGTAATGAGCTTCGAGACTTTTGTCGACGCTTTGAGCAGCAAACCCTTACAGGTTTACACCAAAGCTTTGCTCGAACAGACCAATTTTCAGCTATTCTTTCTAAACAGAGAGCACTTCATTTTCCAATGGGTAGACAACTCGATGGGCTTCAATGGGAACTCCAAAGAGATGCTACATTGAAGGTAGGTACTCTTTTTTACTAGTATTTTACTAGTAATAAACTAATACAAAAGTATAATTTTAGAGCTACGTCCGTGATATTGTTACTAATGAAGCTGGAACCTTTATATTCTGTGCTTTTGATGAACAATTACGTTTTCTTGCTTCATTAGAAAGCTTTGAGGTTGATATGTCTTATAAACGAGTGAAGGGTATCTTTAATGAGGTTATATTTGCTACATTTGTTCCTGCTCATGGAAAGGGTATGTTCTAATTCTTATCTTTACTAGTTATTTACTAGTAAACTACTAATAACCTTCTAGTTATGACGCTTCTGCGTGTTTATACAAATCAAGAGACTACAAATGGGTATAAGTTCTTATTTGCAAGAGCCTTTGACCTTGTGAAAGAGCTTGTGGATATACAGATTCGGTTCCACTATCTACATGGTAGTGTAATTAAATCTATTGTATGTGATATGTGTCCTAAGCAGATGGCAGGTAAAGATCTTCCCCTTTTCTACTAGTAAAGAACTAGTCAATAACTAGTATTTTAGGGCTTGGAAAAATGCTTCAGGGTATCGGTTTACCAGGCGAGACTTGGCGATGGCATTCGATGAATATATTAATCTTCTGCACTATCCATTTTGCAAGAACGATTGATAGATTAATACCTACTACTCAATATCCTGACCCTATAATCTACAATGAGGTTAAGAGTAGGTTTATAAGTGTTAGAGAGTAACTACTTGTACAGGGTAGAAAGCCTGTCGACTAGGTAGGAAGATAAACGTCAAGTAAGGAAAGCAAAACACTGTTTCTTGCTATCATGGATCTCTCCATAATCCTCAATTTATGTACAAGCTTCAACACTTTTCCCACATGACCAAGCAAAGACGATGGATCACATTATAACATGCGGTCTGACGTGGCCCCCATGTGACAGAAGTAAGCAAAGACTACAGGGAAGAGGGGTTCACGAATCCCTAATGGAAGGGCATTGAACCCTCAGGGTCTTGTAGGTCATGCATCCATGTTGGGGAGAAATGGGGCTGTCATGACGAAGCCTGACCGATAAGGTGTCGAACTGACACCTGAGGCGTGAAGTTGGGAATAGCTTCATGTTGCAATATCATATGACACCTTCGGTCCGCCCTGGAGCGTTCGGAATGGAGCAGAACGCAGGTTAGAATTTTTTTGCCAGAGAGCTGGGGGTGCGAGACTAATAGGAAACGCACGGACCTATGGGCTAAGGTGGAAAAGGTATTTTTGTTCGACTAATCACATTCAATCAATCCTACTTTCCACAGAAGGACGCTGCTTAAACTAGCACCTCCTCATTACTATCTACGGCCTCATATTTTGAACTGAAGTCTGGATTACTCTTGCAACACCTCTATTTCCCCTATTCGTTGAAGTTACGATTAGGCGTCCTGTCCATATCATGCTCATTCAATCCGTCTAAGTGTTAATGCTATCAATTAGTTGAAAATCAACAGCAGCCGTAACAGCATTATCTCACACACAAATGGGGTGTTGATGAAGAGAAGCCGCATGAAGTTTGCAAGTCTAGTTGTTTATGTAGATGTGATAATCGCAACTTTGGTCTAAATATAGCTTGAAACCTCAACGAAAATTCATGAGCTATTTAAGATAATAAACATGATTAGGAGAAGGCCAAAACCTGGAGGTTGTACAGTCATGTATTCGTAGGCGACCGCCTCTTCGCGGGCGACTCCCTTCTCGTGGGCGACTCCTTCGTGGGCGATCGTTAGCCGACACCTTTGCTTGTTTATGACGTGCGGTCCTGCAAATCTGCAAAGCGCTCGCAAAATACGTAGCTAAGAGCAACCACTATGTAGACACAAATTACGAATTCTAGCTGTTGCGGGCTTGCTTAAGCTCTTCATGCTATTCATGTTTCATGTCACAGGGAATACATAAACGTATGTATTGCCTCACCTACCTTCATCCCCGTTTAGAAATTCTTCTCGGTTCTCTGTATTGGTGTTAGATAATAAGTACCCTATCAAAGTAAGTATATTTATTGAATGTGATCAAAACCTCTAGGCGCATGCGTACCAGATGAGGACCAACAAAGGACCAAAATCCCGACGTATCCGCGGAGAAAATGAAAACCTTCCCTGACTCTCGAATGCGAATGCCTAGGCATACATCTGCGCCGCATGACTGGCTGTACTCGTGCGACTTTTCTTCTAGGGATATCTTGCGTTGATCTCTTTTCTATCGTAGTGACTTCTTGGCCACGCTGTAAGCCTTAGACTGCCCACCGGAGCTTCCGGCCATTGTAACTGGGTGTTGTGAAGTATTATAGCCAAGTATTTCGACTTTGCCAAGGCAAAGTATTTGTATCATAAATGATAGGTATGTCTTCTCAGGAGAAAATCACGTAAAGGCATAAAGCGCTTTTAAAATGCTGCTTTTGTCAAAAGCTATGATTTTCGGGACCGCCATGGTAGGCTCTCTTCCATCTTCAACTCGGCCTAAGTCTCGAGGTGCCATCGATAAAAGTTCTTTCTCTTTGACTAACCGACCTTCTTCTGTAAGCTTTTCTGTCCAGGCTGTTGGCACGTTATCCTCTGAAGCTTTCGTTCAGATCTTATGACCCATGACAAAGACATTGCTGATACGTAAACTATTCCTGGCTAGAGAGCCCAATATGTAGTTCAGTGCTGGTCAGATAAGGACATTTTCTTCGGCGACTCCGTATAAAAGTTTCACTTTAATTGTCAACTTCTTCTACGCCATCTGATTCTTAGTCCATTTCAACGATACCTGATCTTTCGATTGAACATCCCTCAAGAATCGGATTTTTTTCCTTCCGCTTGAAAGAGAATGGCCTGGGCCAAATAAAGTTCATATGGAGGAATTGAAGGTTGAATTTGGATTGACGGAGGAGATGATGTGGTAAGCGGGGTAATCTGACGAGTACAAGCATGTAATTCAAAGAGAGAAAAACGAGAATATAATTGACCTCAAGCCCTCCCGATGAAAATCTCTTGAACAGAAAATGAAAAAGAAGGATTGGAGCCAGCGTCGAGTGAAAAAGCTCAAGAGGGAGTTTCTGGGGCCTATTCTGGCCTAGCATTTAGCTTTTTGAACTCCGAATCTCGGCTAAGCAAACTAATGGGATCATCGTATTCGATAAGCTCCCCACTTTTGAGCAGGGCCACTCGATCATATCGATCAATAAAACGAAAGCTATGCATGACGGCAATGACTGTATGCGTGGCGAATTCTTCATCAATAATCCTTTGCATTATAGACTCTGTTTCCCAATCGACGCTATGACACAAAATTATTAGCGTGGTGATTTTATCCGAGATGAATGTCAGGGTTAATAGAGAAAAGAACGCACCTGCTGGTTGCCTCATCCAGGATTAGAATAGGACTTTGGACGTTCAACGCTCTAGCCAACGCCAGTAATTGTTTCTCACCAGCAGACCAATCAGACACCTCCATGGGCATATCAAGACCACCGCTAGCGTCTACTCTCTTCCATAATCCAACCTTTTTGATAGCAGATTCGATGCTTGCATCAGAGAGCCTTTCATGAAAATCCAGATTGAATCTCAAAGTTCCCGGAATAAAGAATGACTCCTGTGAAATAACGTTTAATCGTAAGCGAATATGGTTGGGTTCAATTGAATTGAGATTGTTTCCATCAATCAAGACATTACCATCTTGTATCTTCACCATTCGGAGGAGCGTCATGATCAGGGTCGTTTTGCCACTACCTGACGGGCCGCAAACTGCAACTTTAGTCCCTGGGTCGATGACCATGGACAAATCTTTTAGAATTGGGGGGCTGTTCGGACTGTCTTAAATGTGAATTCAAGATTTCCATTAAGAGAAGAGAATTTCTTGAAGAGGTTTGCCTAACTTACTGGTAGGAAGCTGAGACACCTTCCAAACAAATTTTGCCCTCGGATGGCCAATCGTCAACTGTAGGCAAATTCGATAACTGAATTCTTGCCTCCGATGGCGTGCTTTTCTGGAATTCCTGTATCCGAGAAACGGCTCCAATCGAAGTTTCCAGTTGGGTCCAAGACTGAATCGTGCGTACCAATGACTGATTTAATGTCAAGATCAGGTTCAGGGCTACACCCATGACACCGCCACTGAACCGGTCTTTGAAGGAAGTTGTTATAGCGAGTAAAATGACCGCCATAGCAGCTACCACTAAGTCCAGCACAAGGTTGAGCCATTGTTGTATACAAAGAAGTGTGTAGAAGGGCTTCTGCGAATTATTAAGTTGCTTCTGGCAATCTGCTCGGAACATGTTCTGCCATCCAAATGCTTTGATGGTAGCGACTCCGCTCAATGTATCTGTGAAGATAGTATATAAAGGTGCTTTTGCTTCGATTTCAAGTAGTCGCATTTGACGAGAGGTTCGGAGGTAGTACAATTGAATAAAAAAAAAAGCCAGGATAAGGACTGGCAAGAAAACTGCCATGTACTTTCCAACTACGCAAAGGATGACGAGATTCATTAAGGTCTGAAAGCCGTCTGATATGGAGTCAGCCACGATGCAATTCATCTAACGAAATAGGTGGTAGGCGAGAGAGAAATTCTTACTCGCTACTGTATTGACTACCCAGACAGGAAGTCGCATATCGATGAGATCAATGTCTTGGCTAAATCGATTTGTAATCGATCCACTATCAGTTAATTGAAAAAAGCTGAATGGCGCTTCGAGTGTAGCTCGCAATAGATCTGCATGTAGGCCAAATGCTGTTTCGTTAATTATGCTGATGAAAAGTAAACTTGGGTGACCTTTAGTAAATCGTAAAACAATGTTGTCTCATCACAAAGCTTACTAGCAACCGAGTACAAAGCAACTGGTATTCAAGATAGTGAAAGCTGAGTATATCCCAAGGTAGAAGCCAACCTTCGCATTTGGCGCTTTCGCGTTCGAATCGGACCACCATTCGATCCAGATAGCTAACCAACGAATAGTTTAGGCCTCAGGATCATATGGAAAGTAAATGATGCTCCTACTTACTAGAAAATTTGCTTAAGAAAGTCGAAACAGTGAAAGATGTGACAAAAGAAAAAGAGACAAGAATGCCAGCGCTACGGACATAGTATCTGTATACTTGCCAAGAGCCATCTCGTCGCGAAAAATCCGGTCTCTGGGTATCGGCGTTCTCTTGTATTTGGCCCGCTTCAGTCACCTTATCGCAAGTCTCGTCTGGTTCGTCGACTGTTTGACCTGCACCACCTTGCTTAGCCCCATCCTCCATTAGCGATCTGGCTACGATTTCAGAAGTGGCCATCATAATTTCATGAGCAGATCCCCTCTTGACAACTTTGCCATCATTCAGAACGATCGCCTCATCGGCAAACTGGAGCAATTTTCCTGTAAAACATTAGTTCATGCTAAAGTTATAAAGTAAAGGATGCACACTATTATGCGTAGCGAGGATCACAGTTCTCCCGCTTTCCCTGAAGTATCCGCCTCGAGCAAAGAGGGTTGAGGAGATGTGGTCGATGCATCTGGAGTCCAAGCCGCTAAAGGGGTCATCTAGAATAGTAAAGCGCAATCGCGAGTAGATCGCTCTCGCAAGAGCCTATGACAATCGAGAATCAGAATTTAACTTTACATTCCAAATGGGATCTGGAACTTACCACTCGTTGCTTTTGACCTCCACTTAAAGAGACCCCATTACTTCCAATCACGTACATGCTTCCACCAGGCATGGTCTCTAGGTCATTTCTCAAACCAGAAGCATATACACAAAATTCATACCACTCGGGATCAAGCGCGACCCCCCAATGATATTTTTTTGTATTGTATCGTTGACAAGCCAGGGAATCTGTTGACAGTAAGCAACACTTGATACTGGTACATTGCTTGTCCCGCTAACAACACTCTCGCCCAAAATGGCTGCGATGAGAGCAGACTTTCCAGAGCCCACTGGGCCAATGATAACCGTCAATCCTTCGCTTATATCCAATGTGAGGTTTTTGAGCACAGGCTCGCCACCAATAGACCATGAAATATTGGCGTTCTTGAATGATACCGCATCGACACTACGATTTGACTGGACTTGACCATTAATTAATTCCATGGCCATGCCCTTACTAGTCGCAACCAAATCATTGGTTACTTTTTGCGATATTTTATGTTTGTCAGTCCGGGTCGCCAAATATACCTCGATTCTCTCAAAACAGCCCTTGCATTCAAACAAAGCAGGGACTGCCTGGACGAATTCTAGCAATGGTGCTGTTAACAGCGATATAAGGGAAAGTGAGGTAAAGGCCTGAGAAGCTAAAAGCGATTGATCGTTTCGGACAACAGAAATGATAGCATAAACTGCGAATGTCGCGTATGGCGCAAAATCACTAGGAATATTGGCTCCAAAGAATAAGTTTCTTTCCTTTATGGGAATTTGAAATACTTACATAAAACAATCGTCCAGATAAGAAGCCTGCGAAAACGGGAAGAGGTTTTCAATTCTGCCTCTCGCAACCTTGTGACCAAACCAAACAGCGGTTCTTTCACACCTAGCATCTTCACGGCTTTCATGTTGCCGAGGAAAGCTGATGTCACTGCAAGCCTGATTTGGACTCGTTCAACCCAAGCTTTCTGTGCTGGCGCAGTTCGAGTTGACACTGGACCAGCTGCAGAAGCACAAACTGAGAGAAGGTCAATCCCAACCGTTGACAGTCATTCAAATATAACAAGAAAAATTAATGAACACTTACCCATACAGATACAAGCAGGCACAAGACATGCAAGAAATATTTGACGTTCCAGAAGAAATAGAGCGACGGCGACTTCAACGATTGAGGCCCAAGTTTCATGTAACGATTTGAGACTCTCCACGATACGTTCAACATCGGTTCCCATCAATGTCAGGGCGGCAGTGTCTTTTACATCCCGACTTTTTAGTTCGGTCGTGTGGGCATATATCATCGACATCAGCCCAGCTCGTGCCATCGTGATCAGCCGATAAGTGAGACGCCGGTAAATAGCCGTAGATATCTGATTCCCAGCTTAGCAGATAAAAAGAACTCTTGCTGTATGCACATACCGCCATCCCCAGATAGACCAGCAGATAGGCCCCAATCAAAGCTCCTCCATAATCTTTGCTTTTGGCTGTCGAGTCTGACCTACCAATTTCAAAGTAGTTTATGGTAGATGTAATTAGAAAAGGTTGACAGAACTTGAATGCACTAAGAGCAAGTCGTGGGATCACCGGAAAGAATACTGCTTGTGAGTACGCCCGAAAAACGGCTTTAATAAGTCGAGACTGCGGTTGAGAATTCAACCAAGCAATCTCAAGTTTCTGAAGCGCTGCATCACCTTGCAGATCTTGATCGAGCTCAGGAAGCTCGGCAATTGAGAGGACTTTCGAATATCCCAATCGAAAAGTCGGATTCAGCCAGAGAAATAGACCTCGACCCCAGAAGCCGACAAGTCTTTCCTGGGTCACCTGCTGATACGAAGCACGAAGATTATTGAACTTCGTTCTAGATTCTAGAAGAAAAACAAGAACAGTCAGGACGTATATACCAGTTAAACAACCTCTGCATAGGTTGATTGAAGTAATTAACCATAGTGAGCGGAGACGCGGTATGGTAACTAAAATCAAACTTAAAAGGTAGACGCCGAGGAGGGCCGAAGGCTCAACCGAGCGCTGGTCTTCAACAAAGGATAAAATCACCGCAGCGGCTGAAGCGATGATTTCTAGAGTATCTGCTGTTGTCCCAAGTGTCGTTTGTATTAAAGACGATTGATGACGAAATACTGCGTATATCACATGAAGTGCGAAGAGGACAGCCAGCAAAACCTTTCATGGGAAGACTCGCGGTCAGAAAAAACGTAAATAAACCTGTGACCAAACTTACAAGTTTGTATACCGCCACTTTCAGAGTTGAAGCTTTGACCGAGGCCTTGCGAAGGATCCCTAGACGGGCAGGAAGTAGCAACAGAAAAAGAGATGAGGGAAGAATAGCGAAAAATGCGTCCTCGAAAAGTAACGTAAAGTCGAAGTCCCGACAATCAGGGCTGACTCGGGGTCCGAATTGGTTATCAGTATTTATGCAGGATCTTTGACTGGCCATCATATTTTATTGAAAGAAAACAGTGAATGTATCATAGCAATAATTGAGCCCACGAAGTGGTTTTCAATTCAGGAGTTCGTTTCTCCGAAAATGAAACGTGCATCAGAAAAAGTTCATACCGACCCTAATGTGGTATTTGACAAACAGAAGTAAGCAAAGTACCTTTCATCCTATCAGAAATATTGTCCTCCAATCAGTCAATGGCGTTGCGTTATTTGAGGAAGAAATGACGTGTCCTCTGATTATCAGTGTCTAATCGGAAAGAAGAGTAATTACGTGCCAAGAAAAAGGGTTACATCCCCCCTAGCTGATTATGCAGGGTCAGCTGACTGGATGCGGCCGACACTTTGCCCTTCTCACCACCCATATTTTTCTTTCGACGCTTACTGTCATTGCAGCAAGTTAAATGCATATCCCCCCCAAAGCCCTGCTTCGACCCTGTAGCGTTCGAATATATCCACCCTATTTTTCATCCAATCCAGATCTATACTCAGAGGAGACCAGGGATGACCGAACTACATGAGATGATCTGCAGGAGAGGCTTTGTCTTCTTAAAATCCACCCCACATCATATCGATATCTCGACCATTCCCCAACACCATTCCTTGCTCCTAGTTTCGGCTCATTCACGGACATGATTGTTAAGTGGCGTCAAAGCTCTCCAGCCACATAGCACAAAATGGTCCATACTACAATGTAATTCGAATGAGCAACCCGAGCTGGGTGCTGTTCATCATATGTTTTGATCTGAAATTGCATTTTGAAATATCTGATCCATTGTCTCGGTGCGTAACTATTTAACATAACGATGTAGTACCCGTCTTAAACTTTCACTGCAATAAATCACCTGAGAAGGTAATCATTCTGAAATCAGACATGCAGTGCCAGGTAACTACAGCAACCACACACGCCAGGCTTCCAGCGATACCGCGACCGCATCTCCTCCCATCCAGCTTGAACTGTTTACTCCACACCCTTTTCTCAAACACGGACCTGCACGTCGTTCCTCCAAGACTTGTGATTGCCTAAATATTGTTTTTCAAGTCGGAAACCTTGATTGAGGTACAGGAAAATTCGAGAACAATGTCCCCTCTGGACACACATGTTGTTTCTCGGGGTTTACCCGTTATGAGGCTAAACCAGATTAGAATATCTCTTCGGGGTTGTGGCCAATCATTTCTTGAACAATTTATGGCTAGAGCTTCCATTGTAGAAGTTGATTTGATTACATACATTCTAGAAGTGAAAGTCTGATTGTCAGTAGGGGAAATTGTTTTCGAAACTTAGTGTCATTCAAACTCTATCAAAAGATAGAGCTATTGATAATTGCAGCGGGTGGTCCTCCTGCTGTCGAGGAGTGCTTGCCTGAAAGCACTTTTTATCGTATTCGTTCTCCCAGTACCATTGTTGAAACGCATCTAGTTTTGAGATGTGTTTGTTTGCTATCCTCCGTAGCAGGCTTATAAACCCGTGTTTGACAGCATGAACTGACACCATTGCTCTAACATTTCAACATCATTTCAGAACTCGCATGTCTATGAGGAGTAAATGACCCGCAAGTTAATCCATGACCTGCAAGCAGATCCTTAATCACCAAGCGGATTCGTGACCAATAAGCATATCTGTGACCCGCAAGCAAATCTGTGACCCGTAAGCCAATCTATGACCCGTAAGCAAATCCGTGACCCGTAAGCATATCTGTGACCCGCAAGCATATCTGTGACCCGCAAGCAAATCTGTGACCCGTAAGCCAATCTATGACCCGTAAGCAAATCCGTGACCCGTAAGCAGAACCTGTGACCTGTAAGCAGAAATTGCCAGCCGTTTGGTATTTATGAACCAACTTCAATATAGGTACCAAATTTCTATGAAATTGATTTTCGGAATAAGAGTTACCTTTGCAACATTATAACTTGTTGAATCCTTCTCTCATCAGAAAATCCATTCCTTATCAAAATGGCAACTACAATGCCTCATGGTTGGAAGTTGACTCGGGCAGAACAATCACGTGTACACCACCGAGCTGCAGAATTTCTCAATACTGTTCAATCGGAAATCGAGGACGTCTACACTTGTACGCCTTTGCAAGAAGCTCTGATAACACTCTCAACCGCGGGATCCACGGCTTACGTGAAGCGGATCATACTCTCTCTGCCGCCTGAAATCGACCTGACAAAGTTTCGTTCCGCAGTTGAGAGCGTGGTCGAATCATTAGCTATACTACGAACTCGTATAGTGCAATTTGCCGACTTAGGTTTCCTACAAGTTGTGTTGAAAGAAAAAATCCAATGGCCTTCAGAAAGCGGTACCCTCGCAGAATTTCTCGAAAAAAGCCAAAACGAGGTTTGGAAAATCGGAGATCCATTGTTACGATATTCAATGATTATGGATAGCCAAGAGAAAAGTCGCTGGTTTGTTTGGAGAATCCATCATGCCATATATGATGGCTGGTCATTTTCAATACTGGCCGACCGTGTTAGCAAGGCATACACAGGTGGCCAAACTGATTTAACAATTGGATACAAGGCTTTCGTACAGTATTTGTTGGACAACGAAAACGACAAACATGGAACATACTGGCGTTCATCGCTTGAAGGAAATCTGTGTACCCAATTTCCTTTGCTACCAAACCAGTCCTATATGCCACATGTGAACTCAAAAATTAAACAAGATTGTTGTCTGGTGAAGAAGGTCCAGGGTATTACGAGAACGACGATGCTGAATGCTGCATGGGCGATTACTATCCGTCAAATCCAACACGTCGAGGATGTCATATTTGGAACGATCCTGTCTGGAAGGAATGAGCCTATTCCTGGGATTAAAAGCTTGATTGGCCCTACCGTCACGACAGTTCCCGTGCGTGTGAAAATCAATGTTGATGACACCATACAAAATTATTTAGAAAAGGTGCAAAATGAGGGTGAAGAGAGAAAGGTGTTCAGCCACCTTGGTTTACATGCGATTTCTAAATTGAGTGGCGATGCTCGACGGGCTTGCAGTTTCCAGACACTTTTTGTGGTGCAGCTTGGGGAGGAAAGTCATGCAATTACCAATGATGTTGGGGTTTGGCAACGAGTCGAAGCTGATATTGGCCGCTCATCCTACGCATTGACTATCCAGTGCTTTCTCAACAAAGAAGAGACGAGGATTGCGGCTGCTTTCGACTCCGCGGTTCTGGAGCCTTGGATGGCACGTAGATTGATTCAGCAATTATGTTTTGTTGTGGAGCAACTGATGAAGCCAGACAGGTCTCGGCCAGTCTCAGACATCATAAAAAGTGTGTCAACAACAGATATTCAAGAGATCTGGAAGTGGAACGCGGAGGTGCCAGCCCCCACCGAGACGTGTATACATGGTATTATCTCGGACCATGCACGCCACTATCCTCTCGCCCCCGCTATTTGCGCATGGGACGGAGATTTGACTTATGCACAGTTAGACAGCCTATCCACCCAGCTTGCAGATCAGCTGGTCGAATTGGGTGTGAAACAGGAAGTTTTGGTTCCGCTGTGTTTTGAGAAATCCATGTGGGTGCCCGTGGCCATGCTTGGTGTCTTGAAAGCTGGTGGCGCCTTTGTTCCTCTTGATACCTCGCAAGCTGTCGACCGTGCCAAGGCCATACTTGACGAGATCAAACCTGTCGTCGCCGTCGTGTCCAAAGGGAATCAGCAGTTCATCCAACAGCTGGGATATCCCTCTCTGGTGCCGGAGGAGTCTGCGACGGCAGGCCAAAGCAACAGGCGTCATTTCATCCCAAGAACTACCCCTCCTCATTCGGCAGCATATGTCATCTTTACATCTGGCAGCACAGGAACACCTAAAGGTGTCATTATCGAGCACCAGGCTGCGAGCACAAGCTTGTTAGCCCATGGAGCTAAATTGGGCCTATGCAGGGCCTCAAGGTTTCTTCAATTTGCGTCTCATTCCTTCGATGCTAGCATTATGGAGATTTTTGCGACTCTCATATATGGTGGATGTGTCTGTGTGCCCTCAGAGGAATCCCGGCTCCCAGGATTGACAATGAACATCAACGATATGGAAGTCAACACTTTGTTTCTCACGCCATCTGTAGCTCGTCTCTTGCAGCCAGATAAACTTAGTTCACTCACAACCCTTGCAATAGGAGGAGAGGCCGTATCGTCTAGCGATATTGAGCGATGGAGAAAGTTGCCGAGGCTCCTTGACGGTTATGGGCCAACAGAATGCACAATTCTGAGTGTGATGCAGCTCCTGACAGCGAACATTCCACCATTTACAATTGGAAAGGCGGTTGGCTCGGTTGCCTGGGTGGTAGACCCTAACAACCATGAAAACCTCATGCCAGTCGGAGCAATTGGTGAGTTGCTGATTGAAGGCCATATTCTAGCCCGCGGGTATTTGAATGATCCATCCCGAACAGCCACATCGTTTATCAATGATCCACCATGGCTGCTGCAAGGAGCTAGTGGCTACCCCGGGCGTTGTGGGCGCCTGTACAAGACTGGGGACCTGGTCCAGTATGATCAAGAGGGTAGACTGGTCTACATTGGACGTAAAGATACACAGGTGAAGATCCGCGGTCAGCGGATTGAGCTGGGCGAGGTGGAATACCAGATCCATAAATTCTTGAATCGTTTCAATGATGCAGAAATAGACACAAATCACGGGAAAGCTTCAGCATCTGAGATTATCGTCGTTGCAGAAGTCGCCATACCTCGCGGCAGGCAAAGGCCCAGGCTGGTAGGCTTTCTCTGTCCTGGAACTAGTACCATCAGAGATTCCCATTCACGACATAGCTGCGCCTTAGTCGTGCAGACTTTGGTGGAAAATCTGAATGAGAAACTTGCAACGGTTTTGCCATTCTATATGATCCCTAGTGCCTACATCCCTTTAGAGGATGTCCCAGTGACGGCAAACGGAAAGACAGATCGCCGTCGGCTGCGTCACATTGCCGAGGAAACTTACTGGGAGCATTCCGTTCGCAATTCTCAGCAGGGTAGGATCGCCCCATCAAATTCAATTGAGGAGAAATTGCTTTTCATTTGGGCTGAAGTGCTTAATATTGACTCAACCTCCTTGTCCACCGACGATACTTTCACTCATCTTGGGGGGATTCGATAACTGCCATGCAGGTGGTTTCCAGATGTCGGGCCGTTGATATCTTTTTGACTGTGAGGGATATTCTTTACGCACAGACAATCCAAAAACTTGCGATGTTGAGTAAAGAATCTGTCAATTTTTACACACCTAGACAACCCATTGAGAGAACATCTTGGACGCTGTCACCGATACAGCAGATGTTTTTTGACTGTAATCCCGAGGGCCGCTGTCGTTTCAACCAAAGTTTTTTACTGAGACTTAAAGCAACACTACCCACTAGTACTATACAATCAGCTGTCAATGCTGTCGTTGTACGTCATCCAATGCTTCGGGCGCGATTTACGAAACATGATACTGGGAAATGGGAACAATTCGTCTGTGACGAAAGCGTGCATTCATTTGCATTCAGCGAACATAGATTACAGACGACTACTGAGATTGCCAGCATTACAGAATCCCGGCACCAGGAGTTAAACATATACAGTGGTCCTGTTTTTGCAGCGGATCTATTTGTCGTCGCTGGAAAAACGCAGTTTCTTTTCCTTGTTGCGCACCATCTCGTAATTGACTTGGTTTCATGGCGTACCCTATGGTATGATCTCGAACACGCCATCAAAACTGGAAACGCCCCATCACAACCAATAACCTCCTTCCAGGCGTGGTGTGAGTTACAGCAAGCCGAGGCTCAATCACTGTCACTGGATGAGGTTCTACCGTTCCCAATCACCGAGCCGAACTTTGAATATTGGGGTTTATCCGAGTCTGAGAATACACATGCCGGCAGCGTAGAGTACAACAGGCATATAGACACTGAAACTAGTTCTCTTCTTCTTGGCCAAAGCAACGCAGCTTTCAATACAGAAGTGACTGATATCCTCGTTGGCATTCTTACCTACTCTTTCTGCGAAGTCTTCCAGGATCGTCAGCCTCCCGCAGTCTTCCTTGAAGGTCACGGGCGAGAGCCTAACGATGATGCCGAAATTCTTATCTTGGATACGGTTGGATGGTTCACGACTGTTTATCCTATTCAGATCACAAAAGAGGCTGCTCATGTGATGGTTCATTCTGTTAAGATTGCCAAAGATATCCGACGTGCGTTTCCTGGAAAAGGCAGACCATATTTTGCCTACCGCTACCACAATGCTGCAGGTCGAAAGCAGCTCAACAGCCATAATGTGCCGGAACTTGCATTCAATTATACTGGCATATACCAGCAGCTTGAGGCTCGCAAGGGACTCTTCCAACTTGAAGACCAACACGGTGGTTCCGGAAGATCGCTCAGTACGTCTTCAGACACAAGACGCCTTGCCTTGATTGAGGTCTTGATCAGTGTGTCGGATGGATGCATTAATATTTCGATTGGAATTCATCAGAAAATGCGCCATCAAAATCTGTTGGGGGATTGGGTGGACCTATTTGTTCACAATTTGAAAATTGCTGCTATTGACCTTGCAAGCAGATCACCACAGGCCACTCCGAGTGATTATCCTTTATTGAAATTATCCAACAATCAGCTTGAGTATGTTCTTCGCAGAATCTCGAGTGAATCAAGTATTGGGAGAACAGAGATAGAGAATTTGTATCCATGTTCGCCTCTTCAGGAAGGCATTCTATTGAGCATTGAAAAAGAAGCAGCCTCCTACGCGAACTACTTCATCTGGACCTGTACCTTTCGAGGTGACGAGTTGGTTTCACCTGCCAAATTGCAAATAGCCTGGGAATGTGTTGCCAAGCGTCATTCGATTCTATCTACTGTTTTCGTGGATTTACCGGGCGAGGGGCGGTTTGTTCAGGTGTTGCTTCAAGATTACACACCGAGGACCTCAGTCGAACTGGAACCATCTCGACAACCAGCTGACGTTTTGCGCAAAAAGGTCAGACCAAACTATGCTCCTGGGGAGCCCAATCACAGATTCATCATCTGCCAAGGTAGCCATGGGGAAATTGCCTGCCGCCTGGATATCAACCACGCTTTGATAGATGCTGCATCTATCTCCATTTTGATGAATGACCTGGTTAAAGTATATCAGGGTGAAAGTCTTCCACCAAAGATTCCTTTCAGCCATTTTATCGAGAGTATAGCGTCAAAACGCAATTCGGCAAGCATTGATTTTTGGGCACGTTCATTGACCAATATCAAGCCATGCAAATTTCCGACAGCGGATCGTATCAAGAAGCTGCAGGTCCGTCCCGAGCGTGTTTACGGTCAAATAAACCTCCCGACCAGCGCACTTTCGGTCCTTCATTCCTTTTGTCAGAAACGCCGAATTACAAGATCTGTCTTCATCCAAGTTGCCTGGGCTCTGGTTTTATCTCAATTCACAGGGCTCAAGGATATTTGCTTTGGTTTCATGGTGTCAAGCCGCGATCTGCCAATGAAGGGAATCGAAAATATGGTCGGGCCTCTGGTCAACATTTTAATCAGCCGCATTGACCTGAATCAATCCCAAATGGATATATTTGAGACGACTTACAGGCAATCAGTAGAAACCCTACAGTATCAGCATGTTTCTGTGGCGGAAATCCAACATAGGTTAGGCTTTGGGGCTGAAGCTATGTTCAACACTGCCATGACAATACGTGAGACCCGTCAGACTGCTGGGAATCGGACCGAAGGCATCATATTTGCAGAGGTGGAAAGTCAAGACCCAGATGAAGTATGATGATTGTTTTTTATAGCTGTGTCCGGGACTGGAAACTAACATTTGATGTCGTAGTTTGACCTAACTTTGACTATGGAAATTAGCGGGCCTAATACGCAAATTTCGCTGAGTTTTCAAAAAGCTGCCATTGGCTGTGAAATTGCCCAGGAGGTCAGTCGCACCCTCTGTCAAGCCATTCATTTTTTACTCGGTAGTCAAGCTCCTGTGAAAGACCTAGCCGGGTCCCAGTCTTTACATGACGAATTCTTCGTCTACCGTACTGGAGTCCACGAATCCGAAGCCAGAGAGTTTTGGTATCGGGCCTTTGAAGGAGCTGAATCGGTTCAATTTCCAGCGATACCATCGGACATTTGCAACGTGCATATCGACGATGAGTTGCACTATGAAGTGCAAGATGTGAACTGGCTGGAAAGCGAATATAACGCAACCATATTGATTCAAGCTGCATGGTCGATCCTAATGACACAGTACACAAACTCTTATGATGTCACATTTGGATTTGCAATCCAGGAGCAGCAAGTGCCCCATCATGGGTTGCAAGTAGCTAAGTTTCCGTTACGTGTGTTGATAGATCATGATTGTTCGGTCGCAAATTTACTTCACAATATCAACGCGAAAGCAGTATCTATTGCTCGGTTCCGGCATTCAGGCCTCTGCATGATTCGCTTGGTTAATGAAGAAGCCAGAAGGGCATGCGATTTTAAAACAATTCTGGAAATTTGTTTAGGACAAGCAGATGACACAGAGTCAGGCTCGTTACCTAGCGATGTCACTGCTTCAAACCAAGTTGATGCACCTAAGGCAAATTCGAATGAGATGAGAAATGTTAATGAATATGCCCTTGCTGTTAAATGCCTGACCACAGGCGACTGCATGAAACTGGCATTCACCTTCGACTCCAGATTGTTAGACAAAACACAAATACGCCGCATGGCATCACAGTTGAGCCACATACTTCGACAGCTCGCGTTGAAGTCTAACCGGAAGAAGAAGGTAAGAGACTTCAATACAGCCAGCGCTGAAGATATTCAAGAGATCTGGCAATACAATTCCGTCCTCCCAGCTGCGGTTGAGGCGTGTGTACACAATCTCATCGCGTCTAAAACACGGAGCTATCCACATGCACCGGCGATTTGCGCATGGGATGGTGGACTCACCTATCAGCAACTCGATTTATTATCGACAAAGCTTGCATATCGCTTGAGCTGTCTTGGTCTTCTGCCAAATATGGTGGTGCCTTTGTGTTTTGAGAAGTCGATGTGGACTGTTGTCGCTATTCTTGGCGTTATGAAAGTTGGTGGTGTATCCGTCCTGTTAGATATCTCCCAACCAGAGGAGCGATCAAGAAATATAATTCGCCAGCTTGACGCAGGAATTATTGTTTCCTCGGCGCTTCAGGAAATATTGGCTAGTCGTCTACATGGTAGTAAAGTGGTCACCGTGGGAAAGGACTCGGATTTTATCGGACTTGAACCAAACGGAGACCCACTACCGCCAGTCAGCCCTGATAACAGATTATATATCGTTTTCACATCTGGTACTACGGGAACCCCGAAAGGTGTGGTCATTACCCACCGTAACTTTTGCAGCGCTATCTACCACCAACGAGATTTGGGGTTCACAGCGAGCTCACGCGTGTATGACTTCGCATCATATGCGTTCGACGTTGCGTGGTCAAACGTTCTGCACACGCTCGCGGCAGGAGGCTGTCTCTGCATTCCGTCAGACGAGGACCGGCGACAGAACCTTGCGAAATCAATACAGTCTCTGAAAGCAAACTATGTTGACCTTACTCCAACAGTTGCTCGGCTTCTATCGCCCTCGGACGTGCCTCTGATTACAACATTAAATCTAGGTGGCGAGGCACTGACGCAGGGAACTTTCGATCACTGGCCTTCTCATGTCAGAATAATTAATGCCTACGGCCCTGCAGAATGCACTGTTGTTAGTACAGTTGCTGAAGTTACCAAAGCAATACAGGGCTATCCACTCGATCGCCAAAACCACGGGATCGGAAAAGCCCTAGGGACTGTCACATGGGTAGTTACAACTGATGAGAAGAAGCTAGCTGCGATCGGAGCTATTGGTGAGTTATGGATAGAAGGGCCACTTGTCGGGCAAGGGTACTTTGGCGCTTCCGCTCAAACAGACGGTGTATTTGTGCAAAATCCGCCATGGCTAGCCCATAGTGGCCTTGGTCAACTCGGCCGTCGCGGCCGACTATTCAAAACAGGAGATCTAGTACGCTATAATACGGACGGATCACTTTGCTTTATTAGCCGCAAAGATACACAGGTGAAAATCCATGGCCAACGAGTTGAGCTAGGCGATATCGAACATCACGTACACCGTATACTAAGCGAGGTTGAAGATGCTCGCCCTAATCACTTCAGTGGGCTCGCCGTAGCCGAAATACTCACGTTCCGGGACAGCGATGGGCCTTCCCTAGTGCTGTTTATTTACCCAGGCAAATCAGGTCCTGAAACTGAATCGCACCGGGCTGTAGTGCAAAGGATGACGGAGGGCTTGGCCGAGCGATTGGAACAGGTTCTACCGCTCCATATGGTTCCAAGCGTATTTATAGCGGTGGAGCACGTGCCTATGACTGCGACGGGCAAAGTTGATCGGGGAAAGCTGCGCAAAATGTTTGAATCTCAGACATGGGAGGACGTGGCTGAGATGAGTTCAGCAGGGCGTCAGCGGCGTTATCCGGAGACGCCTCAACAGAGACAGATGCAGTATCTATGGGCTAAGGTTCTAAACCGAGACCCCGAGCAAATCAGCATTGATGACAACTTCCTACGCATTGGAGGCGACTCTATCAAGGCCATGAAGTTGGCTGGTGCTGCGAGAGATAAAGGGTTATATTTGACAGTTGCACAAATTTTCAGCCATCCTCGGCTTGGCGAACTTGCACGTTCTCTTAACCGCAACACATTTAACATTGATCAGCATATCCCCCCATTGGCCTTACTAGACCCAATGATTGACAAACAGGAAATTGTTCAAAAAGCGGCGTCACTCTGTAATATATTACCCGACCAGGTTGAGGATATTTTTGGCTGCACACCACTTCAAGAAGGCCTTCTTGCCATGACAACTCGACGTCAAGGAGACTACGTTGCTCGATACATTTACGATTTACCACCAGGTACCGACCTTCCACGTTTTACTGAATCTTGGGCTAGGGTAATAACATCGACTCCCATTTTACGGACGCGGATAGTTGAGCTGCCAGATATTGGTCTCATGCAAGTCGTCGTGCAAGCTCCCATGCCAATTCTGCACGGTAGTGATCTGGTACAGTATTTGCGAAATGATCAAGCTCGCACAATAGAACTTGGCGCTTCTCTTGCTAGATTCGGCCTTTTGTCTAGCGGAAACAACACCAAAGCACAATTCGTTTTGACAATCCATCACTCATTATATGATGGATGGTCAATTCCTTTGATTCTTGATGCGGTTGATAAAGCATACCAGGGCTTGCGGCTTCCTTGCTGGACTCCATTTCAAAATTTTATCAAATATATTGACAGCACAAAGGAACAGAAAGGTAGTCAATTCTGGAAGGAGCAGTTTGAAGGGTACTGTGCACCCCAATTTCCACCATTGCCATCGAACTTATTCCACCCGCGGGCAAATTCAGTTCTAGAACACTCAATCCAATTTTTCGAGTGGCGGGGCAGCAATTTCACTTCGTCTACATTGATTCGCACAGCATGGGCCATTCTCGCGGCTCGTTATATGAACACTTCCGAAACGGTGTTTGGAGTAACGACAACCGGCCGACAGGCTGCGGTTCAAGGTATCGAGTTGATCACTGGCCCAACCTTGGCCACTACACCTGTGCGTATTGTCATAGACTGGGCCGACCAACTTGAAAACCTTATGCAGAAAGTTCAACATCAGGCAACGCAAATGATCTCTTTCGAGCAAACAGGTCTCCAAAATATTCGACAGTTTAGTGAGAATGCCAAACAGGCATGTGAATTTCAGACGTTGCTCATTGTTCAACCGGAAAGAGAACGGCTGGGGAATTCAGCTCTGTTTCGCCGACAACAGAATAAAGCTGAAGAAGGAAATCTCAATAAATTGGAAAATTTCTCAACATACGCGCTTGTGATAGAGTGTCAGCTTCAAGAGCGGGGTCTGAATCTGCTTATAAACTTCGATACATCTGTGCTGAGACCAGCAGAGGTAAAGCGGATCGTGTTACAGCTGGAAACGTTGCTAAGGCAAATTCGGTGTGAGGATAATCACAACAGACCTATTGATGGCCTTGAAGTTACGAGTGAACAAGACTTGAGAGACATTGCGAAATGGAATGCGATCATTCCGATGAATGTTGAAGCATGCGTTCATGATCTGATAACGCAGAACGCGCGAGAACGTCCCGACGACCCTGCCGTGTGCAGCTGGGATGGCGCGATGACGTATTCTCAACTGGATATTCTTTCGACCAAGTTAGCGCGGCGCCTACTCAATTTAGGACTGCGCTCGGAAGCCGTAGTCCCCCTGTGCCTAAGGAAATCGTCATTGGTACCAATTGTGATGGCAGGAGTCATGAAGGCTGGTGGGGTGTCTGTTGCCATGGACATGACACAGCCAGAAGATCGATTGCGAAGTATCATTGCTCAGGTTGACCCGAAGCTGATAGTCACATCAGCGGCGGATGAAAGCATTGTGAGTCGTCTCGGGAAGAATGTAGATGTCATTATCATTGAGAAGGAGCTGGATGTCATCGGACTTGAACCAAACGGAGACCCACTACCGCCAGTCAGCCCTGATAACAGATTATATATCGTTTTCACATCTGGTACTACGGGAACCCCGAAAGGTGTGGTCATTACCCACCGTAACTTTTGCAGCGCTATCTACCACCAACGAGATTTGGGGTTCACAGCGAGCTCACGCGTGTATGACTTCGCATCATATGCGTTCGACGTTGCGTGGTCAAACGTTCTGCACACGCTCGCGGCAGGAGGCTGTCTCTGCATTCCGTCAGACGAGGACCGGCGACAGAACCTTGCGAAATCAATACAGTCTCTGAAAGCAAATTATGTTGAGCTTACCCCAACAGTTGCTCGGCTTCTGTCGCCCTCGGACGTGCCTCTGATTACAACATTAAATCTAGGTGGCGAGGCACTGACGCAGGGAACTTTCGATCACTGGCCTTCTCATGTCAGAATAATTAATACCTACGGCCCTGCAGAATGCACTGTCAATAGCACGATTGCTGAAGTCACCAAAGCAATACAGGGCTATCCACTCGATCGCCAAAACCACGGGATCGGAAAAGCCCTAGGGACTGTCACATGGGTAGTTACAACTGATGAGAAGAAGCTAGCTGCGATCGGAGCTATTGGTGAGTTATGGATAGAAGGGCCACTTGTCGGGCAAGGGTACTTTGGCGCTTCCGCTCAAACAGACGGTGTATTTGTGCAAAATCCGCCATGGCTAGCCCATAGTGGCCTTGGTCAACTCGGCCGTCGCGGCCGACTATTCAAAACAGGAGATCTAGTACGCTATAATACGGACGGATCACTTTGCTTTATTAGCCGCAAAGATACACAGGTGAAAATCCATGGCCAACGAGTTGAGCTAGGCGATATCGAACATCACGTACACCGTATACTAAGCGAGGTTGAAGATGCTCGCCCTAATCACTTCAGTGGGCTCGCCGTAGCCGAAATACTCACGTTCCGGGACAGCGATGGGCCTTCCCTAGTGCTGTTTATTTACCCAGGCAAATCAGGTCCTGAAACTGAATCGCACCGGGCTGTAGTGCAAAGGATGACGGAGGGCTTGGCCGAGCGATTGGAACAGGTTCTACCGCTCCATATGGTTCCAAGCGTATTTATAGCGGTGGAGCACGTGCCTATGACTGCGACGGGCAAAGTTGATCGGGGAAAGCTGCGCAAAATGTTTGAATCTCAGACATGGGAGGACGTGGCTGAGATGAATTCAGCAGGGCGTCAGCGGCGTTATCCGGAGACGCCTCAACAGAGACAGATGCAGTATCTATGGGCTAAGGTTCTAAACCGAGACCCCGAGCAAATCAGCATTGATGACAACTTCCTGCGCATTGGAGGCGACTCTATCAAGGCCATGCAACTTTCAGCTACTGCCAGAGGCGAAGGGCTATCGCTTCTTGTTGCTAATATACTACGATATCCTAAACTCATCGACCTGACAAAGGTGGTGAGCAGAGACGACATTAAAAGAGTCGAGGACCCACTTCCGTTCTCTCTCTTGAAACCTAATTTCGATTCGTCTTATGTTCGTGAAAGAGCGATCTCGATATGCAACGCAGAGATTGAAGATATATTTCCCTGTACGCCTCTCCAGGAAGGCCTTCTTTCTTTGACAGCACAACGGAGTGGAGACTACATTGCCCGTTTTGTATTCCAACTGCGTTCGCACGTAGAAGTGCCTCGCTTTGTTGCCATATGGCATCAGATGGCCAGAAGTTTGCCTATTTTGCGAACGCGATTTATCTCCTTGCCAGAGTGTGGGACTCTACAGGCCATTACAACCGAGGTAAACAGCTGGTATCATGGAAGCGATTTGGAGAAGTATGTGGCAGAAGATCAAACTCGTACTTTTGAGTTCGGGAACCCTTTTTCAAGGACCGGACTTATTAAGGACGAGAGATCGAGCGAAACATTTTTCGTTTGGACAATCCACCACGCTTTGTATGACGCATGGTCTATCAGGCTCCTCTTAAACCAGATCCAGCACGCTTATGAAGGATATCGAAGTCTTACTTCTACTCCTTTCCAGAACTTCATTAGGTACCTGACCAGTATCAACAAGTCTTCTGGCGTATCTTTCTGGAGACAGCAATTTACGGGACTTCAAACTTTTCCGTTTCCAGCTTTGCCGTCGCCTCTTTACCATCCACTGGCTGACCAGCAGGTGGGACGAAAATTGGTACTTCCTAAATGGAACACCGTTGGTTTTATGCCATCGGTTCTCATCAGGTGTGCTTGGGCGATCATTGTTGCGAAAATTAACAGGTCACATGAGACAGTGTTTGGGAGCGTGGTATCTGGTCGACAGGCTCCGATTGTGGACATAGAACAGATCATAGGACCAACAATCGCAACGGTGCCCATCCGCATTAAATTTGATCAGGATGAAACGATTCGACATGTTCTGGAAAATGCTCAGATACAAGCTGCTGATATGATTGCCTTTGAGCAGTTTGGACTTCAGAAGATACGTCTTATTAGTGAGGAAGCGGAAATTGCATGTCAATTTCAGACACTACTTGTTGTTGAACCGACACAAACAACCGACGCGGAACCAGGCATTTTTACGCTACACAAAAAGAGCATAGAGGCAACACCTACAACACTCAACAATTTCAGCACATACGCGCTCTCTTTAATATGCCAGCTCGAAGAGCAGGGACTTGATTTGAAGGCGCACTTCGACTCTATCACTTTAGCACCCGCATACGTTGATCGAATGATGAAGCAATTTGAGCACATATTACGTCAGCTGATGGTGGAAGTAAACCACTCTAAATGTGTACATGACTTGAGCTTACTCAGCCCCTACGACATCCAAGAGATCTGGAAGTGGAACGCGGAGGTGCCAGCCCCCACCGAGACGTGTATACATGGTATTATCTCGGACCATGCACGCCACTATCCTCTCGCCCCCGCTATTTGCGCATGGGACGGAGATTTGACTTATGCACAGTTAGACAGCCTATCCACCCAGCTTGCAGATCAGCTGGTCGAATTGGGTGTGAAACAGGAAGTTTTGGTTCCGCTGTGTTTTGAGAAATCCATGTGGGTGCCCGTGGCCATGCTTGGTGTCTTGAAAGCTGGTGGCGCCTTTGTTCCTCTTGATACCTCGCAAGCTGTCGACCGTGCCAAGGCCATACTTGACGAGATCAAACCTGTCGTCGCCGTCGTGTCCAAAGGGAATCAGCAGTTCATCCAACAGCTGGGATATCCCTCTCTGGTGCCGGAGGAGTCTGCGACGGCAGGCCAAAGCAACAGGCGTCATTTCATCCCAAGAACTACCCCTCCTCATTCGGCAGCATATGTCATCTTTACATCTGGCAGCACAGGAACACCTAAAGGTGTCATTATCGAGCACCAGGCTGCGAGCACAAGCTTGTTAGCCCATGGAGCTAAATTGGGCCTATGCAGGGCCTCAAGGTTTCTTCAATTTGCGTCTCATTCCTTCGATGCTAGCATTATGGAGATTTTTGCGACTCTCATATATGGTGGATGTGTCTGTGTGCCCTCAGAGGAATCCCGGCTCCCAGGATTGACAATGAACATCAACGATATGGAAGTCAACACTTTGTTTCTCACGCCATCTGTAGCTCGTCTCTTGCAGCCAGATAAACTTAGTTCACTCACAACCCTTGCAATAGGAGGAGAGGCCGTATCGTCTAGCGATATTGAGCGATGGAGAAAGTTACCGAGGCTCCTTGAAGTTTATGGGCCAACAGAATGCACAATTCTGAGTGTGATGCAGCTCCTGACAGCGAACATTCCACCATTTACAATTGGAAAGGCGGTTGGCTCGGTTGCCTGGGTGGTAGACCCTAACAACCATGAAAACCTCATGCCAGTCGGAGCAATTGGTGAGTTGCTGATTGAAGGCCATATTCTAGCCCGCGGGTATTTGAATGATCCATCCCGAACAGCCACATCGTTTATCAATGATCCACCATGGCTGCTGCAAGGAGCTAGTGGCTACCCCGGGCGTTGTGGGCGCCTGTACAAGACTGGGGACCTGGTCCAGTATGATCAAGAGGGTAGACTGGTCTTCATTGGACGCAAAGATACACAGGTGAAGATCCGCGGTCAGCGGATCGAGCTGGGTGAAGTAGAGCATCACATCCGCGAGTGCCTCCCAGAGGTTATCCAGGTCGCGGCCGAGGTCATCGTCCCGGCTGGTGAGCGTGCTAATTCTATGTTGGCCGCTTTCCTCGTCACCGACCCTACAAGTCAAGCCTGTGAACAAACCCGGCCTGTCGCTCCTATCACAGCGTTCTCGGCATCCGCCTCCATCGAAGACGCACTTGCCGAACGCCTGCCTAGCTACATGGTACCAACTCTTTTTTTACCATCCCGGATATGCCTATCAGCACGACTGGCAAGACCGATCGTAAACGCCTTCGCGAGCTCGGAGCTTCATTTTCCGTCACCCAGCTTGCTCGGCTCCATGGCGCTGTCGACGGCGAGAAGCGTGCCCCCACTACCGATCTCGAGCGTACGCTGCAACAACTCTGGGCTCGCGTGCTCAACATCGATCCGGCCACCATCGGGCTTGATGACAGCTTTTTTCGCCTCGGTGGCGATTCTATCTCGGCCATGCAAGTTTCCGCAGCTGCACTGTCTCTCAATATCAGTCTTACTACCCGTGTCATTCTTACTAAGAAGACCATTCGAAACCTTGTCTCAAGTAAATTGCCTCTCAATATGGCCTCACACCTCCGGGAAAGCCTAGCGGCGGAAGAACTACTCGATGTTCCGTTCGGGCTCGCTCCAATGCAGAAACTTTATCTTGGGTTTCAATCCGATGCCGAAATTTGCTTTGACCAGGGCTTCCTGCTGAAGCCTCGCAGCCTTATTAAGCCTGCTTCATTAGCGGCTGCTTTGCGCACCCTCGTCGAAAGGCATTCAATGCTACGAGCACGCTTCCAAAAATCCTCAGACGGCAGCTGGGAACAACGCATAAGCCGTGATTTCGCTAGTTCAATACGAATGGAATGCTTAGATATCGTCGATTCCTCCCACATGGCACAAGTCATCGCTAATGGCCGCACAAAACTAAGCATTGAAGAAGGCCCCTTACTTCTTGCCCTCCTCTTAAACGTCAGTGGAGACCAGACTCTGTTCTTGAGCATTCACCATCTCGTTGTCGATCTGGTCTCATGGCGTGTTCTACTCCAGGAGCTGGAGGAAGTTGTGACCTTGAATAAACTATCGTCCCCACCACCTCCAATCACTTTTCAAGCCTGGAGCTCACTTCAGACCGAATATGTTGCTAAAAGCCTGGGTTCAAAGGCCACTCTGCCCTTTGAATTGCGGTCCCCACTTCTTTCCTACTGGGAACTGAACGCAAGCCCCAACTCCTTGACTACAACCGACACATCACAATTCATTCTCGGCAGTGAGATCACAGCTGCGCTCCTCGGAGGCTGCAATGACGTATTTCAGACCAAGCCCATAGAGCTTATGCTAGCTGCACTCTTTTATTCTTTCTCTGCCATATTCCCCGACCGTCCCGTTCCAGCGATTTTCAGCGAAGGCCACGGGCGTGAAGTATGGGACGACGGAATTGACCTGTCAAGAACCGTCGGATGGTTTACAACCATGTTTCCAATTCAAATCGCGCTTGAGGAAAATCCAAGTCTTTTTGATGCTATCCAACAGACAAAAGACTCCTTGCGTTGCCTACTACATAATGGTTGGGCTTTCTTTGCCTCTAAATTTGCTAGCCAAGCATCAACCGCAGCGTTTGTATCAGAGTTCCCCGTGGAGATCATCTTCAACTACCAGGGAATATATCAACAACTTGAACGAAATGATGCATTTTTTCGGATGTCCCGGCTCCCCGAGGGATGCGAGCCAGTCTCAGCTGCTCGGGTAAATCGATTTGCATTGTTTGAATTCCTCAGCGTGGTAGAGAATGGCCAGATGGCTTTCTCAGTCGTGTACCCCGAAGAACTACCGCAAAGGCAAAAGATTTCTCACTGGATGCACTGCTACGAGGCTACACTTACTGAAATGGTCGGTCTTCTGAATAGTCGACGGCAAGAATGGACTCTTAGTGATTTTCCTCGGTTTCCGGGTTCTTATGACGTGCTTCAAGACTTCGTCAAAACCACCCTACCACGTCTTGGCTTCGATGCCGAAGAAGTTGAAGACATCTTCCCACTCTCGCCACTGCAAGAGGGAATTTTAGCCAGCCAGGCGAAAGATTGTTCCAACTACAGGCCGTGTGAGGTGATGGAGATTCTTTGCAACCAGCAAAATGGGCAAGTGGATTTGAAGAGGTTGGAGTCTGCCTGGCAGGCAGTCGTGCAGCGCCATGCCATACTTCGTGCAGTACTGCTAGATCATCTGCCCGGAACGATGCGTGCAGTCCATGTCATCTTGAAGAACCCGTCCGTGAACATCTCCTCCTTTAGTAGCAAAGAAATTGCGGTTGGCGTCAGAAAGTTCCGCGACCACTATAACCCGCTCAATCAACAGAAGGGGTTACAGCACCACTTATCAATATGCCAAGGGGGAGGACAGCGCGTCTTCATCTGCCTCGAAATCAACCATGTTATCACAGACGGCCATTCAAGGTCAATCATATGGCGCGATCTGCTAGCGGCCTATCATGGCAACCTGGACTCTAGTCACACATCCTACGGCAACTTCATTAGCTACCTTGAGCAGGAAGACCAAGCTCCCGCTCGCCAATTCTGGGGGGATACCTGGCAGAAGTTGAACCATGCTACTTTCCATCACTACTAGGGCACAGCGATGAAGCCCGCAATGTATCCACACTGGCCATCAATGCGGAAGTGATGAACTTTGACTCTAAAGCACTACACCCTTTTTGCAGGAAGTACGAAGTAACCACGGCGACAGTTATCCGCACCGCGTGGGCGCTGGTGCTGAGGCGATACACTGGAACTGTAGCGCCATGCTTCGGCAATCTTTGTTCCGGGCGTGACCTTCCTCTGGAAAACGTGAACGAGATTGTAGGCCCAATGATTGGGATGCAGACTTGCTGTGTGCGGCTCAACGTGTCGCAGTCTGTGCTGGACACACTGAAAGCTGTCCAAGAGGATTATATTCATAGTCTGTTACACCAGACTTTTCCTCTCTCCGAGGTCCATCGAGTGTGTCAAACCACAGCGTTGTTTAACACCATTTTGTCGATCCAGAAAGTAAATGGGATTGCTAATCGCGGAGATGAATTTACTCTAAAAGAAACAGAATCACTTGACCCTACAGAAGTAAGTGCTCACGATTATGTATAGTGATAATGGAATTTAAGCTAATTTGGATAGTATGATATTGTCGTGGGAGTCGCTGATAGCATATCCAAGGTTCATATATACCTGAATGTGCGTGAACAGTGCCTTACATCGAAGCAAGTGTTAGAGGTAGCCGAATGCGTAGGTCGAGCCATTACAGCAATTATTGAGTACCCAAACTCGCTTGTAAGCGACGTGGATATTACAGGGCAGGCCGAGCGACAACAACTGTGGGAGTGGAATCGAACTGTACCCCCGGCAATGGACGGCTGCGTCCATGAGCTGATCGCAGAACGGGCGTCTTCCCAACCTGACGCCCCAGCCATCTGCGCCTGGGATGGTGAACTGACATATGGCGAGCTGGACCAGCTAGCCGCGAGACTGGCGCATCGTTTGGTTGACGAGGGTGTAGGCCCTCGAATCCTTGTCCCTCTGTGCTTTGAGAAATCGCTGTGGGCAACCGTTGCCATGCTTGGTGTGCTCAGGGCCGGCGGTGCCTTTGTTTTCCTGGATCCGTTGCAGCCAGTAGCCCGCCTTGCTGCAATCATGGAGCAGACCAAGTCAGAGTTACTTCTTTCATCAAGAACTAATTTTGACCTCTCTTGTCGCCTATCAGGGCGGGTGTTAACCGTCGACAAGGGCCTCAAAGTTACTGACGCAACTGAGTCTTATGATAAGAAAACCAACATAGATGTCAATCCCTCATCGACCATGTATGTGGTATTTACTTCCGGAAGCACAGGGAGACCCAAAGGTGTCGTGATCTCCCATCGAGCTTTCACCACTGCTCTTCATTATCAATGCACTCCTCAGGGGTATCATGCCAAAGCGAGGGTGTACGATTTTCCCTCCTACACGTTCGACGTTGCCGTCAGCCACACTCTCTTTACTTTAAGCTGTGGTGCTTGTTTGTGTGTACCATCAGAACAAGAACGGAAAGACATGCTCGAAGAGAGCATTATCAAATACGATGCTAATTTCATTTATCTGACGCCGTCAATTCTACGACTGTTGCGAAAAGATCATATGCCAACCATCAATACTATTCTGATAACGGGTGAGACTCTCACATACGAACAAGCGCAGGAGTACTTAGGGGGACGTCTTTTAGTGAATGGATATGGACCGGCCGAGTGCACACCAGTGAGTGTCATTAGCAGTTCGAGGACATGCGCGAACACTGTCGCAAAGATTGGATATGGGTTTGGAGCCGTCACTTGGGTAGTTGACCCTAGCAATCACAACATCCTCATGCCAATAGGTGCTACAGGAGAGCTATTGCTTGAAGGGCCATTGTTGGGCGAGGGTTACCTAGACGACCCTTTGCGAACCGCGTCCGCCTTTATCAATGATCCACCATGGCTGCTGCAAGGAGCTAGTGGCTACCCCGGGCGTTGTGGGCGCCTGTACAAAACTGGGGACCTGGTCCAGTATGATCAAGAGGGTAGACTGGTCTTCATTGGACGCAAAGATACACAGGTGAAGATCCGCGGTCAGCGGATCGAGCTGGGTGAAGTAGAGCATCACATCCGCGAGTGCCTCCCAGAGGTTATCCAGGTCGCGGCCGAGGTCATCGTCCCGGCTGGTGAGCGTGCTAATTCTATGTTGGCCGCTTTCCTCGTCACCGACCCTACAAGTCAAGCCTGTGAACAAACCCGGCCTGTCGCTCCTATCACAGCGTTCTCGGCATCCGCCTCCATCGAAGACGCACTTGCCGAACGCCTGCCTAGCTACATGGTACCAACTCTTTTTTTTACCATCCCGGATATGCCTATCAGCACGACTGGCAAGACCGATCGTAAACGCCTTCGCGAGCTCGGAGCTTCATTTTCCGTCACCCAGCTTGCTCGGCTCCATGGCGCTGTCGACGGCGAGAAGCGTGCCCCCACTACCGATCTCGAGCGTACGCTGCAACAACTCTGGGCTCGCGTGCTCAACATCGATCCGGCCACCATCGGGCTTGATGACAGCTTTTTTCGCCTCGGTGGCGATTCTATCACCGCAATGAAGTTAGTAGGGTTAGCTCGTCAGCATAGGCTCACCCTTTCCGTAGCCGAAATCTTCCGTCATCCTACAATCGCCTGCTCGGCTCGCGCTTATTCTGATGGGCACCATCCGCTCCCTCCAAATATCTTGCCTGTGGCCCCTGCCCCATATTCGCTGCTTTCTCCTGGTACTTATCATCAGCTTCAGTCGAACAAACTTTTGTCTTTGTTTATGGGTAGTAGCAATATCTTCGACGTGCTTCCTGTTACATATTTCCAAAACCAAACACTACGATCTAGCATTTCGTCCTCCATGCAACGGTTTAACTATTGCTATTTTGATCTCGGCTGTTCTATTTCCATTGCTCAGCTTTCGTCTGCTTGTCAAGGCCTGGTGTCCCACTACCCGACTCTCCGATCCGTTTTTGTTTCTCTTGGACAACAGCGTTGCCAGGTCATTCTAAAGGATTTCCATCCCTCACTACCATTGTTCCATAAAGATGGTGACTTGTCTGATGCTACAAAAGACATTATTGAAGCGGACTCTTCTCGTCCTGTCGATGTCGGTCTTCCATTTACGTCCTTCGCTCTCCTTTGCCACAGTACCCGAGGCTATCGTTTAATCATGAGACTCTCTCACGCGCAATATGATGGAATATGTCTTCCCACTATCTTCTCATCACTCCTTTCTGCGTATACGAACCGGCCTCTTCCCAGACTGGTCGACTTCTCTATTTATCTATCCTACATTGCCGCCATTCGCCCGGCTTCAATACATTACTGGTCAGATTTACTTGCGGGCTCCCGAGCGACTCGTGTTCTACCGATTCTGAATCCGCGTGGCATCAATTTCTCTGAGGTTACGAAGTCCGAAGCACAGCTATGCATATCTGTGCTCCCTTTCCGTGGAGATTTCACCATTGCATCAACTATAACTTCAGCTTGGGCCATAATTCTCTCCTCGATCACTGGTGATATGGATATTACCTTCGGTCGCCTTGTTGCCGGAAGAAACGCCGCTATTCCTGGTATTCAAGACGTCGCCGGTCCCTGTGTCAACATTGTGCCGGTTCGTGTGCTTGTTGATCTCAAGGAAACAGCTAGCGACCTACTCAACGCGGTGCAATATCAGCATGTTAAGCTCGGCCAGTCTGACTCTCTTGGGTTGGATGAGATCATCGAGCATTGCACGAACTGGGAAGGATCAACTTTTGATTCTATTTTGCAGCATCAAGGTCTTGACGACGAACCATTATTCGCCTTCAACGACGGGTCTGTGAAAATCCAATGGCACAGACCAGAAGATATTGGGCCTCCCCAAATAAACGTTTTATCAACCCTCAACGGCGATCAAGTCAACATTGCTGTGTCAGGAAGAATTGGCTTCCTTGGCATCGAAAGCGCGGAAGCGCTTCTGTCCGCGTTAGCCAAATGTATTTCTGCACTGACAAGTAAGCCCGATCAGCCTCTGACGGAATGGATACCTTCACTATGGCCTTCTAAAGTGGTCGGAGGCCCTAGGTGAAACTAGCAATATTTTTGGCGTTGAATGCCTATTTAGCGGTATGATGTGACGCCTAACTTTCAATACCTCCCAATTTCTTTTCATTTCGCTGGGCTATTCGTCTTCCTTTAATGCATCTTTGATACTTTGGTTATTTTTAAGTATTGTTGTCTAGGTAGGGCAGGTAAATGCTGTATTAGAATTTTCCTTCATTCCTCGCTAGTGTGTTCGATTTCATCTATTGTATCTCTTCCAAATTCGCATCGAAAAACTACGATGCATGTATTGCAATGCTTCCAAAGTCAAATGTAATTGTTTCTTGGATTTATCCAGGGTTTCAGGCCGGCTGCGCTTGATTCAAAGCAAGGGCCTGGCCAAAGAGATTATTTGGCAATGGAGTGCACTCGATGCATCAAAGAAAAGATCCTCAATGAAGGTATGGAGATCACCTTCTATTCGTTCTTGGTGGAGTCAAGGAATGTTGTCGAGATGGAAGACTGCATGATACCGCTAAGACCCACTTCTCCCCGTGTGCGTCAGATTGTTACAGGGATACTCGATTCCCTACATGTTTTGTATGGTATTCCGGGTAGACTCGGAATACAGCGCCGTAACACGCTAGACAGCAAGGTAGGGGATATTCAACATTCCCCCGCCTACACACTGTAGTGGGGAAATGGCCTACAAAGGGGATCTCTGATTGGAGGATATCTTTCCGGTACACAGTCCTTACAGGATATAGCTCCAATAGGGAAAAATATCAACTCTTACACTCTCTTTGCTCTATCTGCTTCTGCTTCCTATAGGGGAGGCTTCCTCCATTGTGGTGTGTGGTGGTTTGTATGCTGGTTTGTTGAGGCTATATCATCCTGCCTGCATTCTCAGGCTTGCCGCTGAGCGCCCTGGTTCAACACTTAGATAGTTCAGTTCACTAAGTCACCTAATACATCACGATATTGGATCTCATCTTCCATTGGATCCCGGCTTTCCTAGCCTATACCGTATCCTACCACATTGAAAAATGTTACTGCAGCGGTAAATAAATGTTCCATACTGTAGTGGGGAAATGGCCAACACTGGGGAGACCTCTGATTGGAGGATATCTTTCCTACTACACAGTCTTTACAGAATATAGCTTCGCATCTCCGATAGGGAGAGAATCAGAACTCCTACACTCTCTCTGCTTCATTTGATTCTGCTTCCTACTAGGGAGGCTTCCTCCGTTGTGGTGTGTACATTGTCGTGTGTAGTGGTTTGTTGGTTGGTTCGTTGAGCTGTCTCATCCTACCTGCGTTTTCAAGCTTGCTGCTGAGCGCCCTGGTTCAATACATAAAGTCAAATTCAATTCGTCGAGCTTACAGCGGCAGTTCGTCGATGACAAGATAATTAACATGCATCAGATGTTTTCCATATGAACTCCCTATCGTTAATAATTTCTCTGAAGAGTATTAATTCAAATTACAGTAGCTTCGAATACCTTCAACGATTCACAGTTCATTTCCATGACGTTTAACTAATAATGTACTCTTCACGGACTCGCTTCATTAATAATAAGTTTCACCGGTTTTCTATATCGCTTTTTCAGCAGTTTTCTTCTCTAATTTACCCACGACTTTCAACGTTTTCCTTCACCGACAAAAGCCAATGATCCCTTCAACGGATCTTTTCAACTTCTTTGAAGAATTACTTTGAGCGATTGCCTTACAAAACGAAATAGGCGGAACTGCTTCAACGATCTCTCAGGTTTGACCCCGAGAGTGGATCTTGATCCAACCCTTTCGAGGGTTGTTTATATTCCTTTTTCAACGACATCGAGATACTTACTCCGCTAATTATTCTCTTCAACATTTTTATGTATAACGTAAATTAGATTCTGCGAGCAATTCTTGATTGATCATTACAGAGAAATTCGAAAACAGTTTCTCCTCTGGACACATATTTTTTAGCGGTATCCCGCTCTTCAAAATTTAGTCTCCGGCTTTGGAAAACTTGAGCATCCTTCATTTCACATATTCAGTTGACACAGGCTTTCTTTCAAATATCTTGATAGATAGACACTCAAAAACTCATTTCTCATCCCACCGCCAACACTTTAGCCCAGATCACTTACATTTAATCTCCTCGCACAGACATCCAGATCTGCCATCAACCATCTCAGCCATTACTGTATCACCGAGGTTTCAAAGTTTCGATTGAGAGTTGGGTTTTCTGCCAGCACTGTAAGCACTGTAAGCACTGTAAGCACCGTAGGCAACACATCACCGACCATAAGTACCCATATCCATTAGTATCTTTCCTATATTACCGACTCAATCCTTCAAATAAACCTCCAGGTTGTCTATCAGACAGACTTTCCATAAAAAACCTCACAATCCTACATACGGCGAGCGGCTATTCCTATATTATATTGATATATTGCTTCTACCATGTGGGCAAATCTCATTCTCATTGGAGCTTTCCTTGCTGCTAGTGTCACAGCTGCAACTCTGCCACGTGACGCTATTAGTTCAAAAAGTGAGCTAAATAAGAAAGATATTGATCTCGGAATGAGTGTTGTCTGCGATTATATGTACACTTACACATGCGACGGGGGTTCTACTATTACATCAAGCGACTGCGCCAAGAAATGCACGTGTAACTCCAATGGCGAGGTCCTCTGCTCCTCAGCAATCGGTAGCTGTAGCTCCGGTTCTGTCCAGCTCTTTTGTGAGGGATATGACGATCCAGATCCCGAGTGCGGTTGTGTATCACGTTGAATATTCGCTCACTAATAGCTGCATCAAATAACTATTGTGAGTCAATTATTGTGTCCTTCATTTATTGAGTTCAAGCCTACTGACGCCACTGTCAGTAGTGATGGCAGGGTAGTTCGGAGGAACAACGTCGTTGCCAGGGCTTTTCTCTTATGCCCACGGCAGTTCTTGTTTGTGTTTGAGAAGGGACAAAGACGGCCCTGACGTTGAATTGGTCTTGCGGGAGTCAACATATCATGTTTAAATTAGTAATTCCGTTCACCACAATGAGAAAAGGAGCTTTTGTCGTAGCTTCTACATATTAGCTTCAAAAAAACAATGGTATCGTCGTCAGAAGTAGTGTGAACTCCTCCACCAATGAGCGTACTCCTTTCCACGTATTTCCTTACTAGGGTTTTAAAATAATTAAGGCAAAAAAAAGCGACGCGATAAGTTTGAAAATTCCCTTTCGTCCTATCCAAAGGCGAATTTGTCGCTTTTTGTCGCCTTTACAGTCGATGTGTAGTTTACGACCGGGGTGACGCGTGCTTGGTAAAGTAGTCTTCATCTAGCAAGTCTAGCTGCTGAACTATCTGTAGGCCCTCATCAACAGTTAAACCCTCTTCGCAGGGTATTTGATCGATCGAGTACATTTCTTTGCCACTTTCGTATTCGGTTCGCGTAGGTTTGTAACTTCTTGTGCTAGTAGCGCTGTGTTGTGTAGCGATATGCAGTGTCCTTGAATAATCTGATCTAGCATTATTTTCGACGGGCTCGAAGAGCTATTAACCGTTGATTTAATAGACCCTTGAGCATAGAAGCTTGCTTTTGTATGTAGCTGAACAACAGTCCTTGGTGTCTCTGGTGTAAATTGGCTAGATCGGCTGCTTGGACGGCTGCTTGGTAATATACTGTTCGTACAGATATATTAAGCTTTGAGAGCACCTTTTCTGCATTGATTGATGCTAAACTACTAGTTGCAAAGCTATTATGAGTAGTAATTGGTTGGTAGGCTTTTTGTCGTGCACGTTGATAGTCTTCTAAGAAATCAAACTTGTCGATACAGTTACATCCTCTGCGTGCAAGATCACTTACAGTGTAAAGCGACCATATGCACACTTAAGCACTGCAAAACCACCCAATATCAAGCGATTGTAGTAGATATGAAGAATATGCAGGCATATAAAGAGGAATAATATCATTTTCTGACAAAATTCGGTCGAATTGGGCCGTAAGATGACTCCCATAGCCATCAAGAATCAGTAGCCGAAACCGGCCACGAGACTGTGAATTTGTGGACGGGATAAATACTGTATTTTTGTAGCCAGCGTAGTCCAATCTCACCAGTAGTTCAGCCAATATTCGAGACCTCAAATCGCGAATCTTTTGGTAGATTATAAAACCAACCCGCAATGACAACTTCACCCTTAAATATCACACATAGCGGTATTGAATAGCCATCTGTACAGACTGCTTCAATAGCAGTAATCCATTCGCGATTCCCAGGTTGTAAGATAGATCTTCGGTCATAGTCTTCTACTCTTGTACCCACCTTCTGTACATACTGATATAATACACATCGCGAATCCAGTTTCATCAAAGTTATAGATATCCTCGGGTTGGATACTGTTCTCATTAACCACACGTTGAACAGTAAACAAACCACACTCGTAGTGGTTTATGGTCTTTATTTAACACGCGCTGGTAGTCGTAGCAACTCGAGAAATGTGTACGAAATTCAACGCGCTGTGAATAACTAAAGTTGATGACTAATTCTTGCCTTCCGTAGTTAGTTAGCTGACGGGTTATTACCGCGCGCAGCGACTAAATTATTAGCCATATATCGCACAGTAGTCGGTCTAGGTGCTGCTCCACGCGCATCCATAGAGATGAGTAGTAGCAGCTGGCGATTAAGGTATGAATCGCTAACTCTGGAGACAGATTTCGCTATGTGGAATACCAGTTTGAAGCCCTCAGGCGCTGTCCTCGGACTGAATACTATCTTGATAAATACCTGCAGTCATTGCCGCGTGATCTGGACGAAACTTATGAGCGCATGCTGGGCTGGGCTGACGAAGATTATACTTATGGTGCCCGACGGATTCTAGCTCTATTATGCTACTCCTATCGACCTCTTTCGATAGCAGAACTTGCGGATGCATATGCGGTTAATATCGAGAAGCTACAGCTTAATCCTGGGAATCGGCTGCTAGATTTCGACGGCATCAAGATAATGTGCAAAGGATTTGTTGAGTTCTCGGTTAGTAGCACTCCGATTAATGAGGAAAGAGCGAGTATGAACGCTTGGCTTTCTCATCCATCCGTCCAGGAATACCTTATGTCGGACTATATTTGGCCACAGAATGGTCGGACAGATCCACTACGAGTTGAGAATGGGCATACCCTTCTATCAAAGGTCTGCCTCACATATCTCCTCAAAATGAGCCCTGAGGAGGTGAACCAAAATGAGTCAACCACTGATTGGCCGCTCGCTCGTTATGCTGCTCAATATTGGTACCATCACTACGAAAGGGCTGGAGACATGAGATCGCATGTTGACCCATTGATCTTGAAGCTTTTCAAAGATACCAGAGGCTCTTTCATAAACTGGATAAAATTTTGGGATGCGGACGAAAAGGCAGGTGGCACCGGCGAAACGCTGGCCACTCCAGCTAGAGCTGCAACTCCAGTATACGTCGCTTCGTTTCTAGGGCTTCACTGGCTTTTAGAATACCTTCTAGCTGGCGAAAAGGGAGAAAATTGCGGAACAGCGACCCTTGTCAACGAAGAAAGTGGATGTCTTGGGAATGCTCTCCAGGCCGCGTCATTCAATGGCCATGAGGCCGTGGTGCATACTTTATTGCAAAAAGGTGCTCATGTTGACCAGCAGGGGGGTCGTTTCGGCAACGCCCTTCAGGCCGCATCGTATAAAGGACATGAAAAAGTAGTTCGCTGTCTACTAGATCATGGAATCAATATTAATTACTCAGGGGGGAATACGTCAATTCTTTATTGGCAGCATCGTACAACGGACATCTCGAGGTTTTCCGCATGCTGCTCAATAGTGGCGCTGACACTAGTGCTCAGCTGAGTGGTATCGGAAATGCGCTTCAGGTTGCATCCTGGAGGGGTCATACGGAGCTCGTCAAGATTATGTTAGAGAAAGGTGCTGATATCAATGCCATTGGGGGACGTTTCGGCAATGCACTCCAAGCTGCATCATTAAAAGGCCACGAAAGAACTGTGCGATTGTTATTAGAAAAGGGCGCGGATACCAACATCCAATACGGAAAGCTTGGAAATGCCTTACAGGCTGCTTCGTGGCGAGGGCACCAGAATGTGGTGCAGATGTTGCTGGATAGCGGTGCTAGGGTCAATACCTTGCACGGGCAATACGGAAGTGCCCTTCAAGCAGCCTCACTAAAAGGCCATGGAGACGTCGTACGGTTACTGCTAGGGAAGGGAGCAGATCCGAATTTATGCGGAGGTGAACATGGCAGTGCATTAATAGCTGCATCCCACAATGGCCACGAGAAGATAGTGCAGATGCTGATAAATAGAGGAGCGGATGTCAATTCTCAAGCAGACAGTAGCAATGCATTCGCAGCAGCCCTATCGAGAGGTCACCAAGTTGTCATGCAGCTTCTAATTGCCGCAGGAGCAATGGAATAACCTCTTTCCACTATCGAACAAGCACGTTAGCATTGTTTTCCCCCACAGAATGTCGTCTTGAGAACTATTGCCATGTTTGTGGCATTTCCATGCATCTTTGGTTTCATTCTGTATTTTGGAAAGTGTACCATGATGCTTGGCAAGCGTCATACTTGTTCACGCTGGCCGCCGCAATGTTCATATTGGGAAGTCTCCGCACGACGACATGAGGTGATTGAGTGATAGCTGCGAAAACATCGCTTTTATCCAAAGTTTGGAATATGTATTTTTCTCATTCCGATATTTACGCGCCAGCCGAAATATTCAATGCATGCATCCTGTCAACTCAGTAGCATCGAATAAGATCCCCCTACGTAAAACATTGCGCGGTGCGGACGCCCTTGTTACATGTTTTACACTATATTCGAAAAATGTTGCCCCTGCGGAGACTCAGACTTTCTCTCATAGGGTTTAATCAGAGCGACTTTTACAATGAGATGATCTAGCCAAAAAGTATTCTAGAAAAGGATTGGTTATCATCTCGAGGAGGTATCCTATTCCTGTTTAGCCACTAATAAGGAAACCCCGAGAAACCTACAATCAAATGAAGAATAGGCATAAATCCGGCAAGGCAACAGGCAAACGTGCGTCTCAAGAGCGAAAGCTATAGCAGGGGATCGGCTTACGAAGCGAAGGCTACAAGAAAGGGTTCTTTCATGACTTGATTTGCATATTTTTGTTTCCTTCCGCTTTCGCCATGCCATTTGAAGGATTTGGTGGCCAATAGTTATTGGATGCGTATATCGAGACCAAAACATTCAAGATTTTTCATTCAGAGCAGGAAAAAAAAACTTGATAGTAGTTTCACAAAGAAACGGAGAGTGTTGGTTGGCTTTGGTGTTCGGCTAGGAGTGCTGACGCGAAACTATGTAGCAACTTCAGCATTCAACTGAGAGTTTCAACAGCTGTATCCTTTTCATGAAGAGCTTTCGATCAAGCAATATGTTAGGAAAATGTGGTTCACCACTTGAAAGTTTCAACCAATAACAGAAATCCAGTAGCTGCTATTGGTGATCTAGCTTTCGGGGCGTACGGAATGTAGGGACAGTGGGACAGCGGACACGTTCATTAGAGATACACCTGTTGACGCAATTTACTCATGGCCAATCGGTTGATCAGTAAAAAGTGGACTAAGCGCTTCCTGATTTATACTAGCTGGCGGGGGAAAGATTCCCGAAGCAAAAACAGGGGGAAATGCGTGCAACAGAGAGATATCACTACCAGAATTGATCGGCAAGCTCACAAAAACAAGAATTTGCAAGCTCTAGATTTCCCTTGGCGCAGGTGGTATTTTGGTTGCGTATGAGCCAACGCGACTGCTTAAATTGCTGTAATATCGTTCAAGGATAATTATACGCACAGATATCATTCACGTCTAGTTTTCTGGTCCATATATTATATAGGGCATGTAGTTGACGGTGTTAGGACTCGTCCCTTAAGTGTGATTTGCGAACATCGTGTTTCATGGACAGACATGAGTCTGTCATGCCTATATTAGAATTTAACATAAAAGAGTGTTCCCAACTAGTCGGCTTCCATGAGGGTAAAGCAGGAGATTTAGCGAAGTAACGAAAGAGCTTAATTTGATTGGTGGAACTATCTTGTGATTTCAAATAATTTTTCAGCCCCCACCGTCTCCGTAGTCTCTTAACTAATATCATGATCTGTAACCCCGCTCGGGACACGTGCGCCGTTCATTGAGCCAAGCAATTATTGTCTCTGTTCTGGTCCGTCTAAAAGTGCTTGAGTGCCACGAGAGCCCCGGCTGTCTGCAACTAGTCGATCCCTCCCGCCTCACTTTTTCGTTTCAACGAAAGAGCTTAATTTGATTAGTGGAACTGTCTTGTGATTTCAAATAATTTTTCAGCCCCCACCGTCTCCGTAGTCTCTTAACTAATATCATGATCCGTAACCCCGCTCGGGACACGTGCGCCGTTCATTGAGCCAAGCAATTATTGTCTCTGTTCTGGTCCGTCTAAAAGTGCTTGAGTGCCACGAGAGCCCCGGCTGTCTGCAACTGGTCGATCCCTCCCGCCTTACTTTTTCGTTTCAACCCCCGCCCCCGCTCCCCCTCCCCAACTCCTCTTTGGGTCTCACATGGACAGGGACCAGATGCTACGCCCGCGGTTAATGTTCCAGTCTCAGAGTAATTAAGACTATATTTCAGGCCGTCATTACTTCCCCTTAAATTCGCGCTTTGTGCTTTCCAGAACGTAATAATTGGTCTTTCTATAATGCTATTGGGCAGTAACAGGTTTAGAATCCTTGCAACGTATACGTCTCTTGAGCCTCTACATATGCGTAAAAAAGTCAACTTTTCTGACGCAACTGCCATTTTTCATACGATACTAGACTCGAATGCTCAATATGTGTGATATGAGTGATCTTCGATTATTCTTGCCTTATTGATCCGCCAGGCATGCAGGGGCATAAGTTTGACTATCCCAAATGATCAACTCGTTGAAAGATATTTTGGCACTTATCAAAGAATGTTCCAGCGATGGTAACGTGAATATCATAGATGTGATCATGCCAGCATTCCCCTCTTCGTCTATTGGGTCCTAGATCCTGACCTTCAATTAGGGTCTCAAGGTCGGTCGGATTTGTGCTCGAAATCTGCGGCCACACATGACCACCCTCGGTGCACAACCGTAATTTGCTTTCAAAGCAAGGGCAATATCAAGGGCGCCAAGAAAACACAAACCATTAGTCTCGGGGCTAAGCAGATCCTGATCTAATGAATTCCCAACTTGAGCTGCGCCAGAGATAAGAGGTGGGATCAGGTCGAGATAACAAATTGTACTAATTGTAAGTTCGATAGCGCAGATAACCTCGGCGAGAATTCGCATGTTATTGGTTGGATCGAGATCCAACTCTCTTCCTCACGCTTATTCGTCAGCATGCTGATTGACATGGGCTCATATGATGCCTTTTTCTGTAAGCAATACGTACATTAACGTACATAATGTAAGCGTCGCGTACAGCCACCAAAAAATTGGTTGATTTTTAGCTTGCTTTCGCAGCAACCCTTCAGTTAGTTGGGCTTGGCTGAAGACGACCAATCAAGTGCAGAATTTCTGGACCGGAAATTAGGTCTCAAAAGTTGAGTCATTTTCCCATGCCAGACAGGCGATCTAGCATACTATGGGGTCGCTGTCAGCTTTTTTCTTATTAAACGGCCAAGCGAATTTCGAGCTTTGTCCCTTCTCGATGAGATTTTCGCGGCCGCAGTTCGCGTATCGCAGCCCGGTGAGACTAAAATTAACTTTGCCGTCGCCTTTGTGCCCGCGGAGTCTTGATTTCAGAGCAGACGCACTGAATACAGAGATCCTTGCCTTGTCTTTGAACTTGACCATATTGAGCTAAATGTTTTTTTCCGCTGCCTATGTCCTTGCGATTGTAACTGTTTGTAAGGCTTGTAACCGAACTAGATAAGTCACATTCAACTTCGCGACTAATTGACTGCCTCGGCAGAATGTTGGTTAATATGTAGCCTTATGTTGATAAGTACCTTTGAATTATGATCAGTTAACTATCCAGGACTTCTGATGTAACCTAGGGCAGGGTCCGTTCCATGCTCTTCAATCAGACATGGATGTATTCATCTGGTAGAAATATACATTTCCCCAAGCTCTCCGGATCTGTGAACAGCTATATGCTAAAGACAACAAACAATAAGTCTGTTCATTATCTTTGTTTGTCTATAATTCTTGTGAATTATAATCAACGTTATCAGTTGATACTAAGTTCTAGCCGCTTATTCGGCCATGGAGAGTCCTTCGAGCAGTGAAGCCATGAAATGCGATGAAGCAACCTATAGTCAGCGAAGAAAATTTCAAAATCGTCTCGCTCAAAGAAGATTCCGTAAGTGGTTTCTCATAGCTCTAGGAATATTCTATTGATTCGAATAGGTGAAAAAGCAAAGCTACGAAAAAATACAACCCCGAAAAGCAGCCAAACGGAAAATGATCCGTCGAAGAGAACTCAGGGGGACAGACAGCCAGGATTGTCTGATGAGCACGGATTGTCAATTGTAAATGAAGTTGACTTCATCTGGCAACACGCGAGTGGAATAACGGACGAGGCCCAGAACTTGAGTCCTTTGCGAACGGACGAATATGATAATGTTGTCCGAGCTGCGCCAGATCCACAAATTCTATCTCAACAGGTTCAAACTCCTTCGAACACCTTTCAGCTCCATGTAAGGTCTAATATGCAACTCAATGGCTTTCATACTTATATGTACTGATATCTATCTCAAGGAACCGAACGTTTCATTAGGATTCGGGCTATGTTTAGATCAAGATCATTTTGCCACTATAACGGACCAAATACGCCCTAACAGACAATCAAGTCAGGATACTCGACGAGCGTCCATTTCTGATCGGGCTGTTTCTCGAGCTTGTCCTGGAGAGTATGAGGTAGGATAGCGTTCGTTACAATCCTCTACCATCTATTCATATTTTTCTAGGCCATGCACGAGCAACCGCAGCATTATCAGTCTGTCGTACAAGGGCAAAGACTGCAGTTGTATAGCCAGGCTCGGAAATTTGTTGATCAGTCGATATCCTTGCTAGATGCCGGCGTTTTACTCGGAATTTTGCCTAGCAACCCACACCTGCGTGATTTGCTCACAAGTGCGCAAATGGCTATCCAATCTAGAGCGTCATTGAACGATAGCGAATGAAAGCTCACATATCATTTTGAAACTCATATGAAACTACTGAGAGGCGTATAATTGACTTGTCAAATTCAAAACGAGCGCCAATTCCCCAGCCTTCGCTTCATTCTCACCAAGTCTATTATCAAAGCCTTTTTACGAGATTTTTTTTGATCAGCTGTTGCGTTTCTTGTATTCAAAGTCTGCATTCAAGAGCATCGAAATATAACCAGTGTTCCCCCCTGCGGCTCTATACAAACCGTTTCTGTATGCAAAACGTACCCAGCAAAGTAGTCAATCTAGCAATGTTTTGGAAGGGCTATCTCATACCAAAGCTATAGAAGATGCCTCCACCATATCTTCTCTCCCTTTTCCGCCATAGTAGGCTCAATCTCAATCCCAAGCCAGCTCACTGAGCCGTCGGGGCTAATCAAGAACTCAACGCGGGCGGCATTAGGAACACCCCATCGTAGTGCTATTTGAAGCCAGTGTGTCCCGGAAACATGGAAAAGATCTATTCTCAAATCTTTGGAATATTCATTGGATCTTGCAAGCGAAGCACACAAGTCAGGAGTGGTTCGGTTCAGTCCGCCATAATTTCGATCACTCCCGGTACAATTACCAGAAATTTCCAGGTTTGGGTAAGCTGGGTGTGTGTAAGATCCCTCATATGAAGAAAATTTGAGCGGACTTGCCAAGGGAGGATCAGGGATTTTAGGATAAAGCTCTGATGATATGTTTTCAGAAAGATACGTGCCGTTGATTATTGCATCGCCTCTATATTCCATTCAATCAGAAACTTTTTTCGATAACAAATACAAGAGAGCGAATCTAGAAGATGTTTTCCATACCTTGCAACCCAGTCAAACCGATTTTCAATGGGAACACCTAATTCTTCATCAATCAGATGATAAGCAAGCACATTGGCAGCCGCGTTAACGCCATCCATATTGTTGCCTAACAACACTATTCCAAAATTTCGCCGTGGTAGGAACATGACGCATGCACCATATCCGAATTGGGATCCTTCATGAAACAAAACTATTTCACCATAATATACTTGTGACATCCATCCCAGCCCATAGATTGTAGGGGACTGAAACGGCTCAATTGGATTCGGTGATACGATAGAGTGGCCACCAAATAAAGTTGCATAAGCTGTTTGAGAAAAAGGTGGCCCTCGATTTAGCATGGTAGAAATCCATTTCGCGTAATCTGATACGGAAGACAAGATGTTGCCTGCGCCTCGTAAAGTATCGATGGAAACCCGATCAGTGGGAACGATATCACCATCCAGATCCACGTAAAAGCCTTGGGAAATATCTTTGTTTGCGTTTTGCGCCTCGGAAAGCGAAAGGTAAGTCTCCGTCATGTTCAGGGGCAGCCAGATGTTATCGGTCAAAAAAGTTCCTAAAGATTTGTTCGTCACGGTTTCGATAAGGTGAGAAGCTGCACTGTACATAAGGTTGCAATATTGCCATTCTGTCCGCGGAGAAGCAGTGAAAGGAAGATCCCTCATTGATTGTACAGCATCTTGAAGCGTTATATTAGCAAGCCAAACCCAGTCGTGGCGTGGCATGCCAGAACGATGAGATAGTATGTCAACAATCGTCATGTGCAATGTAGCCCAAGGATCATGGAGAACAAAATCCGCCGGGATAATAGTATGGACAGGGGTATTCCAGCAAATAGCCGGAAAATTAATATTATCGTCAACAAGAAGAGAGATAGCTGCTGAAGTAAAAGCCTTGGTCGTGCTTCCCGTAAAAAACAGAGTGTGTTCTGTTACTGGTTGAGATGTGAGAGTATCTGAAACTCCGTAACCCTTCATGATTCCTTCGTTAATCCATGCACCCGAACAAGACTTCGAAGCCTTCTTTGAGAGACTAGATAACTAACTTTCAAAAATGTTTCGCCTTGAGAAACGGCGACAGCAAGGCCAGGGATCTTGAAATGTTGGAGCGCCCATTCGACCTTCTGGTCGAAATCTACATTCAAGGGCGAAATGAAGTGGCTTGCTTGCTCTCTTAAGGGGGTTTGGAAGGTCGTAGAGCCAGCCGGGCTAAAGAAGGGAAGCATGAGTACAAACAGCAGCCGCATTTGGAAGGTATCAATAATTTTTGGTAACAAAGCTGCAAATAGTCAACGAATAAGCCGTGCATAGCTCTTTCTAATAGGAGACGTCAAAGTTATCTGCGGAGAGAGGAGTGGGTGGTGTGCGCATGACTCATCATTCGCAAAGGGGCCCGCCCCTTCTTTCTTGAGTAGACTTTGAGCTGTCCCAGCAAAGGCCAGACACGTCTAGATTGTACCAGGGACCAATACTCTGGCAGTTGACTTATTCCCTTCTTCTAGGAGGATTCGATTACTGTCCAAGAATAGGGCTGAAGCAGATCGGCTGTGTCTTGGTTACTCGTATCCTGTGCCTGAAAACAATTTGTGATTAAATTTGCTATTCTGTAAAGTGGCCCAGATCTAGGTTCAGTATTTAGCGTGGTCAGTCGCTCTGGTACTGGATTTAGAGCTGGACTATGGCGGAGTCAGCTTCAGCGGCTCACTCGGCCGCTACCCACGAAGTATCTATCGGAGTATACGTTCAGCCAGCATCCACCGGTCAATGGGTACGAGTATCGTCGGTTGCATTGATAACTAGAACATGATAACGCTACTAGCTCCGTATAACCAGGATGCTTTCCACCTCGAATAAGCGTTGGAAATATTTACTCTCACAATGGGACGCTCCACCGATGACTCAGAAGCATTTCTTATGCTATTTCAATATACCATCGTGTCCTTAGGAAGGGTTGTGCTGTCGACGTCTAGTCAAATAGTAACTCCAATCCTCGGCCTTTTCCAATGCTCCTAAGCACTAAAAATTCGATCTAAACTATCAAATTCCTCATGATCTCCTCGGCTCGATGCTTGATAGGCAGTCTCTCTTGAAATGGCGTTGCAGAAGGTCATATAACCAAAGACCAAGGCGGTTTCACGGGAGCAGAATTTAAGAGTTGCTTTCTTATGAGACTTGGCTGGTGTGTTTATCGCGCGTCAGAGAGTCTGTCTCTCCTCTCTGTGCCCAAGGGCTGCTGCCGTAGCTCCTTCCTGACCGGATAGTATACGCTTCTAGCGGTCTTCGCAGCCTTATAGCTCAGCCTCGCGCAGTCTAAGGGAGGGGTTCATAACTTTCAATTCTATTTTTTTTCTTTACACAGCCTAACGAGTCACGTATGACACTATCTTGGCGCTAGATCTGGCTACATTTTGCCTTATTATTAATCAGAAGCTCAACTAGTTTCGCGCAGGCGTGAGATTTCTTATTTCTCCAATTCAATCCTTGGCATTATGACACTATCGAACGCAGAGAGAGAATACTTACTCTACTTGACATCTAAGTCTATTAGGGCAATCAACGTCGAGACCGAAAATCAGGCAGAGAGTATAACCTAGACTTTGTTCTGAAAACTCTATATAGTCACGACCGTTGATGTAATATTCCGCAGGGTTGATTGAAATTCCAGGCGCGAGACTATGCATTCAGTTCTATATGCGCTTGGAAATGACCCTGGTAAAAGCACCAATTTGAACATTTGCCTAGAGTTATCAATAGTATAATCCACTATTCTAGCATTAGCAACTGTA